ACACCTTCGTTGAGCCACTTGCGGACAAGCCTTCAGTGCTTTATCGACTAGCTGCTTTTACCGATGCGCAGCCGTTGGAAATCCCGAGCGTCATTGTGCCCTCTACAATTCAGCAGTTATGTGAAGTACTACGGTTTTTCCCAATGTGCCCTCCCTCGCGCGTAATGCGCTACTTCCTGTCATCGTACGGCGACGCCGGACATCCGCATTTATACTGAGGCCGCCATTCGGTGAGGTTATTTCTTGTTGTAAAACCCATACATACTTCGTTATACCTTTATTTTGCTCGGAGGTCCACACAGTCTCTGATACCGGTAGCTTCCCGGTATTAGCAGTAACAACAGCAAGTACTTGGCTGCCAGCGGCCGACAAAAGCATCAAGGTAAGTCGTCTCTAAAACTTGCTTGGAGGTTCCGGTGTTGCCACAACAACAAGCAAGACAGACTGCCTTTTGCTTGGCTTACGAGGCCTTCCTTATGCCCCGCAGGTTGCCTTCCATGGAAAACCGATGCGTCGTTATACCGATTCGCGTTGGCGTTTACTGTTTGTCAACGGGTAAGCTGGCTTGGCATTTGCTGTTCCTCGAGCATTGGGATGGCGAACGATGGATGCTCATTTCCTTTCCCTTGTCGTGTGCAGGTCATCTACCATTTGAGCAACTTGAAGCGTCTTGGTGCTATCCGCTGGGTGCAGCTTTGGTTGAAACAAGAAGTTGTGAAGGTGAGGCTTCTCAACCGAAATTGCTTGAGCGGCTTGAAGCACAAGCGCGACTGTCGAGCCCTGTTATCTATCTTGCTCCTTACAATTTTCCTGTTACCAAGGTCTGAGAGTTTTTGGCATTGAGGAACATTGCTGATGCCGATGCTGGCCCTTCAGTCACGTCCCTACAGTACCATTCCTCCACTCTTTCAAGTATTACCTGCTACGACAACGACGTTTGTAACATTGTTTACCCGCCTTGCTCGCAGGCCATTACGTGCACGGGGCACCACTTCAAGGCTACCGGTACCATGGCGACCACGACCCAAGGCGTTCGGATGCAACCTCAAGGCAAGTTGTCGCGCCAGTAGACGTAGACGTTAGTGCGTGGGACTGCAAGCTTTGCTCTCGCAGCCGGCTTGTCATACATGTCACAAGCAGCGGCTGGCTACCGCTGCATGTGGCATGTCTGTTGGGTGGGCTGCGTGGGCAAAGCTTGCTGTTATCGCATGGGCAGGAGCGCCTCAGATGTCTCATGCTTGCTCGCTTCCTGCTTTCTACTTCATGCAATGCTCATGCTTAGTGTCGTATCCGTCGCCTGATACCCGCAAGGTGCTAACCACCCGCCCCCTTCCCCTTCCCTTTCCCTTCCCACCCCCCCCCGGTCCCCCGCCTCGGTTCGGATCTGCACATGATGAGCCTCTCCTTCTTCCAGCTTCAAGATGTCAAGGTGGCTGGCGACAAGGTCTCCGCTTCTTCGTCGGAGGCACGTGGGCATGCGGAGGCTTGGAGTCATCGCCCTCCCCGCAAGAGCAGATAAGTGCGGTTCCATACCCGGGCGGGGGGCACATGTGATACGGACTGCGTGGGGCATGGACTCGTCGGGACCAAGGGATAGTGTACGGGAAATGGATGAGGGGTTACATGGAGGGGTCTGTCCGCATGGCTTTACAGGCCGAAGGCAGCCCCGTAGGGATATGTGAAGGGGTCTGTCCGCATGGCTTTACAGGCCGAAGGCAGCCCCGTAGGGATATGTGAAGGGGTCTGTCCGCATGGCTTTACAGGCCGAAGGCAGCCCCGTAGGGATATGTGAAGGGGTCTGTCCGCATGGCTTTACAGGCCGAAGGCAGCCCCGTAGGGGTATGGGAAGGGGTCTGTCCGCATGGCTTTACAGGCCGAAGGCAGCCCCGTAGGGATATGTGAAGGGGTCTGTCCGCATGGCTTTACAGGCCGAAGGCAGCCCCGTAGGGATATGAGAAGGGGTCTGTCCGCATGGCTTTACAGGCCGAAGGCAGCCCCGTAGGGGTATGGGAAGGGGTCTGTCCGCATGGCTTTACAGGCCGAAGGCAGCCCCGTAGGGATATGTGAAGGGGTCTGTCCGCATGGCTTTACAGGCCGAAGGCAGCCCCGTAGGGATATGTGAAGGGGTCTGTCCGCATGGCTTTACAGGCCGAAGGCAGCCCCGTAGGGATATGTGAAGGGGTCTGTCCGCATGGCTTTACAGGCCGAAGGCAGCCCCGTAGGGGTATGGGAAGGGGTCTGTCCGCATGGCTTTACAGGCCGAAGGCAGCCCCGTAGGGATATGTGAAGGGGTCTGTCCGCATGGCTTTACAGGCCGAAGGCAGCCCCGTAGGGATATGTGAAGGGGTCTGTCCGCATGGCTTTACAGGCCGAAGGCAGCCCCGTAGGGATATGTGAAGGGGTCTGTCCGCATGGCTTTACAGGCCGAAGGCAGCCCCGTAGGGATATGTGAAGGGGTCTGTCCGCATGGCTTTACAGGCCGAAGGCAGCCCCGTAGGGGTATGGGAAGGGGTCTGTCCGCATGGCTTTACAGGCCGAAGGCAGCCCCGTAGGGATATGTGAAGGGGTCTGTCCGCATGGCTTTACAGGCCGAAGGCAGCCCCGTAGGGATATGTGAAGGGGTCTGTCCGCATGGCTTTACAGGCCGAAGGCAGCCCCGTAGGGATATGTGAAGGGGTCTGTCCGCATGGCTTTACAGGCCGAAGGCAGCCCCGTAGGGGTATGGGAAGGGGTCTGTCCGCATGGCTTTACAGGCCGAAGGCAGCCCCGTAGGGATATGTGAAGGGGTCTGTCCGCATGGCTTTACAGGCCGAAGGCAGCCCCATAGGGATATGTGAAGGGGTCTGTCCGCATGGCTTTACAGGCCGAAGGCAGCCCCGTAGGGATATGTGAAGGGGTCTGTCCGCATGGCTTTACAGGCCGAAGGCAGCCCCGTAGGGGTATGGGAAGGGGTCTGTCCGCATGGCTTTACAGGCCGAAGGCAGCCCCGTAGGGATATGTGAAGGGGTCTGTCCGCATGGCTTTACAGGCCGAAGGCAGCCCCATAGGGATATGTGAAGGGGTCTGTCCGCATGGCTTTACAGGCCGAAGGCAGCCCCGTAGGGATATGTGAAGGGGTCTGTCCGCATGGCTTTACAGGCCGAAGGCAGCCCCGTAGGGATATGTGAAGGGGTCTGTCCGCATGGCTTTACAGGCCGAAGGCAGCCCCGTAGGGATATGTGAAGGGGTCTGTCCGCATGGCTTTACAGGCCGAAGGCAGCCCCGTAGGGATATGTGAAGGGGTCTGTCCGCATGGCTTTACAGGCCGAAGGCAGCCCCGTAGGGGTATGGGAAGGGGTCTGTCCGCATGGCTTTACAGGCCGAAGGCAGCCCCGTAGGGATATGTGAAGGGGTCTGTCCGCATGGCTTTACAGGCCGAAGGCAGCCCCATAGGGATATGTGAAGGGGTCTGTCCGCATGGCTTTACAGGCCGAAGGCAGCCCCGTAGGGATATGTGAAGGGGTCTGTCCGCATGGCTTTACAGGCCGAAGGCAGCCCCGTAGGGATATGTGAAGGGGTCTGTCCGCATGGCTTTACAGGCCGAAGGCAGCCCCGTAGGGGTATGGGAAGGGGTCTGTCCGCATGGCTTTACAGGCCGAAGGCAGCCCCGTAGGGATATGTGAAGGGGTCTGTCCGCATGGCTTTACAGGCCGAAGGCAGCCCCGTAGGGATATGTGAAGGGGTCTGTCCGCATGGCTTTACAGGCCGAAGGCAGCCCCGTAGGGATATGTGAAGGGGTCTGTCCGCATGGCTTTACAGGCCGAAGGCAGCCCCGTAGGGGTATGGGAAGGGGTCTGTCCGCATGGCTTTACAGGCCGAAGGCAGCCCCGTAGGGATATGTGAAGGGGTCTGTCCGCATGGCTTTACAGGCCGAAGGCAGCCCCATAGGGATATGTGAAGGGGTCTGTCCGCATGGCTTTACAGGCCGAAGGCAGCCCCGTAGGGATATGTGAAGGGGTCTGTCCGCATGGCTTTACAGGCCGAAGGCAGCCCCGTAGGGGTATGGGAAGGGGTCTGTCCGCATGGCTTTACAGGCCGAAGGCAGCCCCGTAGGGATATGTGAAGGGGTCTGTCCGCATGGCTTTACAGGCCGAAGGCAGCCCCATAGGGATATGTGAAGGGGTCTGTCCGCATGGCTTTACAGGCCGAAGGCAGCCCCGTAGGGATATGTGAAGGGGTCTGTCCGCATGGCTTTACAGGCCGAAGGCAGCCCCGTAGGGATATGTGAAGGGGTCTGTCCGCATGGCTTTACAGGCCGAAGGCAGCCCCGTAGGGATATGTGAAGGGGTCTGTCCGCATGGCTTTACAGGCCGAAGGCAGCCCCGTAGGGGTATGGGAAGGGGTCTGTCCGCATGGCTTTACAGGCCGAAGGCAGCCCCGTAGGGATATGTGAAGGGGTCTGTCCGCATGGCTTTACAGGCCGAAGGCAGCCCCATAGGGATATGTGAAGGGGTCTGTCCGCATGGCTTTACAGGCCGAAGGCAGCCCCGTAGGGATATGTGAAGGGGTCTGTCCGCATGGCTTTACAGGCCGAAGGCAGCCCCGTAGGGGTATGGGAAGGGGTCTGTCCGCATGGCTTTACAGGCCGAAGGCAGCCCCGTAGGGATATGTGAAGGGGTCTGTCCGCATGGCTTTACAGGCCGAAGGCAGCCCCATAGGGATATGTGAAGGGGTCTGTCCGCATGGCTTTACAGGCCGAAGGCAGCCCCGTAGGGATATGTGAAGGGGTCTGTCCGCATGGCTTTACAGGCCGAAGGCAGCCCCGTAGGGATATGTGAAGGGGTCTGTCCGCATGGCTTTAGGTGCCTCCTTGTCACGCACTTGCAAGTTACCACTGCTGTGTCCGCCTGACCCTTGGTTTGCTTCGTGCCTAGTCCTTCCTTAACTCTTTCTACGCCGCTTGCATGCAGGACCGTACACCCGAGACCAAGGCATCTCAAGGTAGCTGGAGACCAGGACGAGGCAGGGGCGCTCCGTCACGTGGCGCCACAAGGTTCCGCATGGGCTTCCAAGAAGCGTCCGGGCCGTCGTGGCAGAGGGAGACGCTTGCACACGTAAGTAGGGGCCTATCCACAAAGGGGCGTTAGGGTTTGCTTAGTTGGCGCCATGCCCAAACCCAGCTCAGCACCAGGGCTTCAGAGCCATGTCAGCGCCAGCTTATACCTCAGCCAGTCAGCCAGCCAGTCAGTATCAGCGCAGTCAGTCAGTACCAGTCAGTCAGTACCAGTCAGTCAGTACCAGTCAGTCAGTACCAGTCAGTCAGTACCAGTCAGTCAGTACCAGTCAGTCAGTACCAGTCAGTCAGTACCAGTCAGTCAGTACCAGTCAGTCAGTACCAGTCAGTCAGTACCAGTCAGTCAGTACCAGTCAGTCAGTATCAGTCAGTCAGTATCAGTCAGTCAGTATCAGTCAGTCAGTATCAGTCAGTCAGTATCAGTCAGTCAGTACCAGTCAGTCAGTACCAGTCAGTCAGTATCAGTCAGTCAGTATCAGTCAGTCAGTATCAGTCAGTCAGTACCAGTCAGTCAGTACCAGTCAGTCAGTATCAGTCAGTCAGTATCAGTCAGTCAGTACCAGTCAGTCAGTACCAGTCAGTCAGTACCAGTCAGTCAGTACCAGTCAGTCAGTATCAGTCAGTCAGTATCAGTCAGTCAGTATCAGTCAGTCAGTATCAGTCAGTCAGTATCAGTCAGTCAGTATCAGTCAGTCAGTACCAGTCAGTCAGTACCAGTCAGTCAGTATCAGTCAGTCAGTACCAGTCAGTCAGTACCAGTCAGTCAGTACCAGTCAGTCAGTACCAGTCAGTCAGTACCAGTCAGTCAGTACCAGTCAGCCAGCCGCAGTAATACAGCGGCAGCGGCCGATCAGCAAAACGCAGCAGGGTTTGGGCATGCGGGCATGTGTTGTGTTTTGTCTGGGCGGTGTGGTCTTCCTTGCACGCCTAATGTCGCTGACCTGCGGCCTCCCTTTGCCCCCCTCGCATGGTCACCGGATGCACGTCCTTGGAGCACTGGAGCCAAGAGGGAGCCCCGGTGCCCATGTAAGTGGGGGCTGCTCATGGGTGTTTGGGAGCGCACAGCAAGGGAAGTGCCGCAGTTCGCGCTCCTAACCCGCCTTGGATGCGGCCTTCCTGCCCTGCCTGCTGAAACGTGTCCCCGCCCTTTCGCCCCTTGCCATGTCTGCATGTACTTCGCTGGGTGCGCGCTGCGTGCCGGGCGCTGGAGGGAGCCGGAGTCGCTGCAGCAACAACAGCGGAGTGGGACTTCCGGGACGCAGGGAGGCAGCGGAGCACGCTGGACTGGACCGCAGCCGCCCTTTCCGTGAGTGGTTGCTCCTCGGGTTGATGCCTAGGAAGGCCTGGGCCGCTGGAGGGAGGGTTTAGTTTCCCCGGGGACAATGGAACTTGGCCTCGTGTGATATGGTTGCTCATGTGCTGCTTCTTTTGTCGGGGTGCTATGGATCTTGTAACTGCAACCCCTGGGATTTGTGTGCACCAACCCTGCACCTAAACCGCAGAAATCCGGCACCAATTCCGCACCTACACCGCACCATTCCCGCGCAAACCCCGCACAAACCTAAACCTGGCACAAACCCCGCACCCAATCCCACCTCCCCATCTCGCTTCCTGCCTCCCCACCCGCTCTCTGCCTCCTTACCCGCTCCCTGCCTCCCCATCTCGCTCTCTGCTCCCCATCTCGCTTCCTGCCTCCCCACTCGCTCCCTGCCTCCTCAGCCGCTCTCTGCTCCCCATCTCGCTTCCTGCCTCCCCACTCGCTTCCTGCCTCCCCACCCGCTCCCTGCCTCCCCATCTCGCTCTCTGCTTCCCAACTCGCTCCCTGCCTGCCCACCCGCTCCCTGCCTCCCCACCCGCTCCCCGCCTCCCCACCCGCTCCCTGCCTCCCCACCCGCTCCCCGCCTCCCCACCCGCTCCCTGCCTCCCCACCCGCTCCTCGCCTCCCCATCCTGCCTCCCCATCTCGCTCTCTGCTTCCCATTTCGCTCCCTCCCTCCCCACCTGCTTCCCATCTCGCTTCCTGCCTCCCCACTCGCTCCCTGCCTCCCCACCCGCTCCCCGCCTCCCCATCCTGCCTCCCCATCTCGCTCCCTGCCTCCGAACCCGCTTCCTGCCTCCCCATCTCGCTCCCTGCCTCCCCACCCGCTCCCTGCCTCCCCATCTCGCTCTCTGCTTCCCAACTCGCTCCCTGCCTCCCCACCCGCTCCCCGCCTCCCCATCCTGCCTCCCCATCTCGCTCCCTGCCTCCGAACCCGCTTCCTGCCTCCCCATCTCGCTCCCTGCCTCCCCACCCGCTCCCTGCCTCCCCATCTCGCTCTCTGCTTCCCAACTCGCTCCCTGCCTCCCCACCCGCTCCCGCCTCCCCATCCTGCCTCCCCATCTCGCTCTCTGCTTCCCATCTCGCTTCCTGCCTCCCCACTCGCTCCCTGCCTCCCCACCCGCTCCCCATCTCGCTTCCTGCCTCCCCACTCGCTCCCTGCCTCCCCACCCGCTCCCCATCTCGCTTCCTGCCTCCCCACTCGCTCCCCGCCTCCCCATCCTGCCTCCCCATCTCGCTCCCTGCCTCCCCACCCGCTCCCTGCCTCCCCATCTCGCTCTCTGCTCCCCATCTCGCTCCCTGCCTCCTCAGCCGCTCTCTGCTCCCCATCTCGCTTCCTGCCTCCCCACTCGCTCCCTGCCTCCCCACCCGCTCCCCGCCTCCCCATCCTGCCTCCCCATCTCGCTCCCTGCCTCCGAACCCGCTTCCTGCCTCCCCATCTCGCTCCCTGCCTCCCCACCCGCTCCCTGCCTCCCCATCTCGCTCTCTGCTTCCCAACTCGCTCCCTGCCTCCCCACCCGCTCCCCGCCTCCCCATCCTGCCTCCCCATCTCGCTCCCTGCCTCCGATCCCGCTTCCTGCCTCCCCATCTCGCTCCCTGCCTCCCCACCCGCTCCCTGCCTCCCCATCTCGCTCTCTTCTTCCCAACTCGCTCCCTGCCTCCCCACCCGCTCCCGCCTCCCCATCCTGCCTCCCCTTCTCGCTCTCTGCTTCCCATCTCGCTTCCTGCCTCCCCATCTCGCTCTCTGCTTCCCATTTCGCTCCCTGCCTCCCCACTCGCTCCCTGCCTCCCCACTCGCTCCCTGCCTCCCCACCCGCTCCCCATCTCGCTTCCTGCCTCCCCACTCGCTCCCCGCCTCCCCATCCTGCCTCCCCATCTCGCTCCCTGCCTCCCCACCCGCTCCCTGCCTCCCCATCTCGCTCTCTGCTTCCCAACTCGCTCCCTGCCTCCCCACCCACTCTCTGCTTCCCCACTCGCTCCCTGCCTCCCCACCCGCATCCTGCCTCCCCACCCGCTCCCCGCCTCCCCATCCTGCCTCCCCATCCTGCCTCCCCATCTCGCTCTCTGCTTCCCATTTCGCTCCCTCCCTCCCCACCCACTCTCTGCTCCCCATCTCGCTTCCTGCCTCCCCACTCGCTCCCTGCCTCCCCACCCGCTCCCTGCCTCCCCATCTCGCTCTCTGCTTCCCCACCGCTTCCTGCCTCCCCATCTCGCTCTCTGCTTCCCAACTCGCTCCCTGCCTCCCCACCCGCTCCCCGCCTCCTCATCCTGCCTCCCCATCTCGCTTCGTGCCTCCCAACTCGCCCTCTGCTTCCCCACTCGCTCCCTGCCTCCCACCCGCTCCCTGCCTCCCCACCCGCTCCCCGCCTCCCCACCCTCGCCCCTGCCACCTGCATTACCCTCGCCCCTGCCACATCAATACCCTCGCCCCTGCCACATCAATACCCTCCCCCCTGCCACCTGCATTATTACCCTCGCCCCTGCCACATCAATACCCTCGCCCCTGCCACCTCAATACCCTCGCCCCTGCCACATCAACCCCCGCATTATTACCCTCGCCCCTGCCACCTGCATTATTACCCTCGCCCCTGCCACCTCAATACCCTCGCCCCTGCCACATCAATACCCTCGCCCCTGCCACCTGCATTACCCTCGCCCCTGCCACCTCAATACCCTCGCCCCTGCCACCTCAATACCCTCCCCCCTGCCACCTGCATTACCCTCGCCCCTGCCACCTGCATTACCCTCGCCCCTGCCACCTGCATTACCCTCGCCCCTGCCACCTCAATACCCTCCCCCCTGCCACCTGCATTATTACCCTCGCCCCTGCCACATCAATACGGTACCCTCGCCCCTGCCACATCAATACCCTCGCCCCTGCCACCTGCATTACCCTCGCCCCAGCCACCCTCCTGCCTGCCCACCCGCTCATTGCCTCCCCACCCGCTTCCTGCCTGCGCACAAACCCCGCAGAAACCCAAATCCTCGCATCAACCCCGCACCGACCCTGCACCAGCCCTGCACAGACCCCGTACGTACCAATCCCCCACGCACCAATCCCGCACCAACCCCCACTCCGCATGTATCACCGCATGTATCCAGCACAAACCCCGATCCCGCACCAACATCGCACCGACCATGCGCAAGCCCCTTTGTTTAGACAATGGGAGCCCCGGTGCCCATGTCAGTTGGAAGCAGTTGTTGGGTATCATGTTGCTGCGGGGCCGGCTTGGCGCTGTGAATGACGGATTGTCCAACAGCGGCTGCCCAGGAAAGCCTTGGGCAGTTTGAGGGTTCGAATCCCTTGGGGACAACATGAGTGTGGCCAGTCCAGTCGTGACGCCATGGGGACTTTGAAAGGGAGCTGTACAAGAGGCCCGAGACGAGGCTGACCAAGGCCAGGGAGGGCTTGTAGGTGTGCCTTCCTCGTGTGCCTATTCAGGTGGCGTGCCTAGCGAGGTGGTTTGTTTCATGCATGACCCGAGGGTCACAGCTTGGTTCCTTTGCGGTCCATGGGGGTTTGTCGTGATCAGGGTATTGTCATGAAGAGGCGTATAGGTTGGTCGTGGTTTCGCAATGGAACAGATTGCAGACATCGTTGAACCATCTTTCTTCTCATGTGTGTTTGGCCCTTGTAAGATGGTTTCCACCCTCCTCACCCTACGCAAGCTTGGGAGGCGAGGGCAACGTCCCTGCGCCTCTTCTGTGCCCGTCACATGTCGCACACGTATCCAACAGCCGCGCAGTGTAGGGCAGCAACAGATCCGCAGATTTGTAGCCTAGAAAGCAGGCAGCAGCCACTTAATGGCCTAGACTCTCAGTTCAAGCCTTGTCAGCCTGTCGTAGCGCTACAAGCATGCGTACAAGCTGCGGGCCACGTATGCGGTAAAGCGGCAAGTCAACGCCGCAACAATGTGCATGCTGCCTTGTCACGTAGCTCGGCCACACCAAACACCTTTTCCACCGCAGGGAATTTCCACTGAAAGCGAACATGTATGTGTCGACGCGTTGTATGTGTCGCTTCTTACAAGCAAGGGTGTGCTGGGGATGTCACAATACTCGCTCCACCCTCCCCCCACAGTATCCAGGTATGTCTACAAAACTGGCCAGGTGTGTCGACGCGTGGCAAAGAATGTCAGGCACCGCACACATGTCACGGTAAGCTACGCGAGGGTCCTCGGCGGCTGCGGGAACGAGCCCTTTCAATGCAGTGGCCAGGCACCGCCACAGCACCCTATAGCACCCCTGCCCAAGTCGCAGAGCGCCTTGGGCCACTGCCGTACAGCGAGGACGATTAAGGCGGCAGTATGCGGATCGCCTGTGCGCCAGGTTGTCGTCGCCAGGGGCTTCAGTAAGTCGCCAACCCGCCACCAGCCTTGGGAGGGACCTGGGTGTTGCTACCGTAGGCTTGCCACGTTCCTCCTCATCAGGACGTCCGAAGCGGTGTACGTGGATGCACACATTCGACGAAGCAGCTTCCCATGCGGCAATTCTCAAGATTATCTTTTCAGCGCATATACATACCGCTACCCTCCACAGCACATTCCTATTCGCGGCCAGCTTTCCTTACACCACCGCCACCCTACAGCGGCCGCGCATCTGCCCCTGCCTCACGCCGTCCAAGCACAGTCCTCAACCCGCCCTCATCGCTCGCCAAGTGTGCCTGCATGCTCGCGCGCCATGTAACGCCATGTAACGTTGCAACGCAGCTGAAGCCCCTCTCCACCCTCCACCAGCAATCCGCTGCCCACTAACAACGCCACACATCCTCCCGGCAACCCCTCCCCCACTAGGCACCTCATTATCCTACCGCTCCATCGCCCCCTGCTCCCGGCCTCCCTCCTCACCCAGCGCCCCCCTCCCCTCACGCCGCTACCCTGCACACGTCCTCCACCACTTTCCGCATCGCCGCTGTGACCTGGTTCAGGTTAACCACCTGGGGGGGGGAGCAGGAGGGGGCAGGAGGGGGGGGACGGGTCAAAAAGAGGAAAATGATTAGCTGGGTGGGGCCGGGGGGAGGTGAAAACAAGTTACCAGCAGACAGCAGCCGAGTTAAAAGCCGACCCAAGCATAGCTCTGCGCTTGGAGACAGCGCCGCTGCTGCTGCCACTCATCCCCTACGATAGACGCTCCGTCCCCAGCCCTCCGTAACCAACAGCAGCCCTGCCCATCCCTCCTCCCACCCCCTCCCCTCCTCCCTTCCTACCCCCTTCCGCCCCCCCCCCCTGCCCCCCCTCACTCACCCGCTCCACGAACCCGATCCGCTCCACGCTGAACTCCTGCCCGGTGCGCACGCGGATGTCCACCCCCAGCGCGTCGATGGAAATGAACACCAGCTCGTCCACCGACTTGCCGCCGCAACCCAGCTGGGAGCGCAGGACAGGCGCGAACTGCTCGTTCAGCACCTGCGAGTGAGCGGGTGGGCGGGGCGGGGTTGTGTCAGGCCGTGGGCAGGTTGTGCAGCCAAGACCCTTGCCAGTTGCCACCCCTCCACACATACACTCCCGTACCACTGCACCACCCTAGCCCCCCCTTCCCCCCCACCTGCAGCACATGGTTGGGGTTGCTGAGCACGATCTCGTCCGGGGTGGCCGCCAGGTACTCCTCCGGCGCGATCCACTGCACCGTGCCGAACCCGCCCACGAAGTAGATGTCCACGATGCGGTTCATGCGGAAGTAGACGAAGTTGCCGCTCACCCAGCGCTCCTTGCGCTCGTTGCTGTGCTTGGCGACGAAGATGTCGCGAGCAGAGTCCTGCATGAGGGGGGGAAGAGGGGGAAGAGGGGGAAGAGACAGAAGGGGGAGGAGAGTGCATTGAGATGGCTGTAAGGGTATGGGCCCACAAGGACGCCGCTTGTTCCTCCGTGCAACATGTAGCACAGCTGCACAGCTGCTAGCAGCCTGGGGCCATGGCGCCCCCTACACTGCAGCCCGGGGCAGCGGCGCTACCGCCAGCAGCCGCCCGGTCCAAGAGGCCCTCCAAGCAGATCGAGGTGCCTCACATGGTGCATCCGACCCCGAGAACACCACCCCTCCTCTCTTCCTCCTCGTAGGCCCTCTCCCTCGTAGTCCAGCAGCTGCCCCGCAAGCCCCCTACAGTCGACGGCCCTACAGCCCCAACACGGGTACCCTCCTCCTTCCCCCAACCGCCCCCTCTCCCTCCGGCCCACCCCCCACCTGCAGGTCCGGGGGCAGCTGGTACACGTCCCCGAAGATGGTCACCCGCGCGTTGGCCAGCCCCGTCCACCCGGGCATCTGGACAACCAACGAACACCTGTACGACAGCGGGGGGGGGGAGGGAGGGTGGGGGGGGGAGGGGGGGCGAACAAACACAGCTCGGCTGGCCAGCGGCAAGCAGGACTGGTACACGCAGTGCGCTGACGTGCCCACCACTAGAAGCATCCCAGGTTGGTAATTCTGGCATCAAGGCAATGAAGTACGGCAGTACATTGGTTGCTTGGCCACCCGCCTCCGCATGCCCCCTCCCCCGCCTACCTGGGTTCCTCGATTAGGTTGCGCGAGTGGATGGCGAGCGGCGAGAGGCAGAACACCGGGTAGCCGGCGCCGTCGGAGGCGAAGTCAACCAGCGTGCCGAACGGGTAGCCAGCCCTGGGGGAAGGGTTGCGGAGGGGGTGGGGGGTGGGGAGCAGGGCCTCAGATGGCGCCATGCAGATGTGAGTGACACCAGCCATGAAGGGCAAGGAGGGCAACCCCGCACCCTCCTCCTAGTGCCCCTCTTCCCACTGCCTGCCAGCGCCCCGCTGCCCCCAACCTCCCTCCCTCTTTCCCTCTCCCTGCCGGGGAGGGTCAGTGTTCCGCGGCTCAGTTATCTAACCCCCCTGCCGCCCCCCCCCACACACGCCCCCCCCCACCTCCGGTGGTGCATGCCGCTCATCATGGTGCACAGGTGGCCGAAGCGCGCGTGCTCCACCAGGTTGCGTACGGCAACCGGGGGGCTGGGCAGCTCGTATCTGGCAGGGGAGGGAGGGGAGAGGGAGACACGGGGAGGGGAAAGGGGTAAGGGCACAGGATGCGGCCAGGCGGGTGGCTTGCTCCATGAAAAGGTGCTCCCTGAGGGCGTAGATGGGCATGGCAAGCAGACTAGTACGGCCAGTAGGGCAGAGCGGCGTACAGTCTCATAGGCTAGTAAGGCAGTGCATAAGAAAGCAATGCCCGTGCAGCCCTCAGCGCCGGTCCCGTCATCCCGTCAGGCGGTCAACCCCGCCCCACCTGACCGCTGAACCCCATGCGCACCGGGTAGTCGCCGTCTTCACGCCGCCGGACAGGGGGGCACGGTGCAGGCCGGTTGTCTTAATGGGGTGCTCCAGGGGCTTGCCGTCGGGCGCTAGGAGCTTCTTGTCCGACTCGAACGCCAAGTTAAGGGTTTCAGCTGGTTTAACTGCGGCTTGTGGCTTTGATGGAGGCGCATCATGTACTGCCTTTTGTGGTTGGAGAGGAGCCCCGTCCGAGTTCTTTGTCGAGGAGCGTGCAACACGTCCGCTGACGAGTGTCCGCGCCGGCCGCAAGTGTTGATGCACAGGCGCGAATGCTCGGCCACAAGGAGCCGTATTGGTCCCCGAAGGGCCAAGCAGCTTATACGATTGCATCCCGCTGGCTGATTACTCTCACGTTTGACGGCGGGAGGGCAGAAGTAGGCTCCCACGTCGTGTTATTTCCTGCCCAACAAACAGGAATTATGACTAATAACAAAAAGGATAGGTATACCGACTATGCCCCGAGTAAGGGAAACAAAAAGTGGCAGGGTTCTAGGTCTAAGTTACTGCTCATCCAAAGAGATATGCGGGCTGCAGATAGTGGTTTGCAAAAGGAACTCCAAATTGTTGTTCCCGCTGCTTATGCCCAAACGCAAAAGCAATTCCAGAGACCAGGTCCATCGGGTAGGCGGATGCTCAAGCTCTGTAAGCGCTAATTGTCATCAGATGTATGAGTGATTTGTATTTCTCACCAGATTGGCTCCTCCTATGCGGGAAAGCTCCGGCCCAACGCCGTCAGGAAGTTGCTATTGCAAAACGGCGAGTGGCGTCTGTCGAATCCGCGGACAATTCCTTAATAATATCCTAAATACACCAAACGGGCCTGCAACAATTGACCATACTTGCAGCCAACACCCTGCCAACGCGCAAACACGGCTCAGCTGCTGTACGGACTTCACGAACGGCGACTGCAGCGGAGAGACGAACAGCCAGCCGGTGATTAACATTGCCGTTTACATCAAGTCCCAGAAACAGGCAAAGAAAAGTGTTTCATCTGCATTATCTGGCAAGGCTTTGCCATGTGCTCATGCCATCCGTGCCCCCAGTTGCTTACACTCGCTGGAACCCCTGAAGCACTTGATAACGGCTTGGAATGAAAAAGGCGAGCGTGAGATCCATGTAGTACGATCGCCGGTGGGAACAGCAGTCGGCCCCAAGGGTCCCAAGGGTCAACACACTTGCATTCAGAGCATGGCTGGTACCATGCGAAGGACAACACGCATACTCCGAAATCCTACCCTCACTGCAACCACCAACCAACAGCTACACGATGTCGCTGCAACCGCTAACCGACAGCTACACAGACGCCGCGCACTGTAACTACCATCCTACCCTGAAGACGGCAGCCTGGATTGCTGCATGCCCGTCTGATACAACCGAACAGTGCAGAAGATACCCGTTCATGCGCAGCATCCGCATTCCGGCATGATGCGCCAAATCCCAACACGCCGGAGCTGCAACCGTGTCAGCATACAAACCGTTCCCGACGCATGGCACTGCCGCGCATTGCTATCAGATGTTTATAAACCCTACAACGCCCCAGGTACATGATGAATTGCGATCATTGGAAAGAGACATGCACCCGTTCCCAACGCTACCTACGTGCCCGCTGCCAGGACGGTGGTTTCAATACGGGCATTAGACCGTTGGCCCTCACAACTCCAATTACTCCCCTAGCAAATCCCTTAACGGCGTGGTTCACTATGTACACATCCACTGTCTGTTGCCGCATTGCCGTTGCATCAGCCTCCTCGACCTCTAACGACGCAAGCCCTTACCTCAGCACGCCCCCTTGCACGCATGTGCCCCGCTCCCGCCCCCATCCCAATGCTGCTTTTGCGGCACCATGCCGCCACCTATCCCAATTGCTGTGTCCTAACTTCCGGTTTCCCATGGCTGGCCTATACCTGACTCCCGATGCTCCCCTCGGCCCCACCCAGCTCCGCCCTCCCTCACTCCGCCACGGGCAGCAGCTCCCGCTGCCTGGCCTCCCGCTCCTGCAGCTCCCGGTCCGTGAGGTCGCGGGTGGTGACGCGGATCTTGGAGGGCCGCTGCACCTGGTCCGACCCGTCCGCGTCCTCCTCCGCCGGCTCCTCGCTGCCGCCGCGCCCCCGCTTGCTGCGATCGCGAGCCAGCTTCTCCTCGTCCCGCCAGCTGCGCAGCTCCAACTTGCCCTGTGGAGGAAGAAGGCAATCGGCAATGCGGAATGGAAACGAGGTGCGGTAGATGGAGAAGACGGCACAAGGTAGCCAGTGCTAGCATCACTATCGATTGCAACCAACGCACGGGGGGGCAGGACAGATACTGGTAGTCGCCACCCATGCTGCCTCCTTGCCGTCTCCCAGCCCCCTGCACCCTCACACTCCTCTCCCTCCTCTGCGCCTCCGCCTCCATACCTGCATGCGGTAGAACCGCGCGCTGCCCTTCTCCAGGCGGATGGAGTAGTGCACGCTGTCTCGCTTGTACTCGTAGTTGTAGTCCTTGATCCACTGGTACTCCCCCTCCAGGTCCTCCGCAGCCAGCCCCGCACCCTGCGCCTCGCCCGCCTGCGTCGCTGCCGCCTGCTGCGCCGTGCGCTCGATCATGAGATCCAGGTCCTCCCGCACCAGCAGCGCCATGATCTTCAGCTCGCGCTCCTGACCCGCCTTGGTGATCTGGTGCGTGAAGCCCTTCAGCAGGTAGTGACCCACCAGCAGCTGCGGCCGCTTGGCGGGCGGCAGCGCCGACATGGCCTCCGGGCCCACCACCGCCGCCAGCTCCTCCGCCGGGTCGGAGTCGTGGAAGGTGGTGAGCAGCAGCTTCTGCGGCCAGGCGTCCATGTCGGGCAGCACCGGCAGCACCTCCACGGGCTTGAGAGCGGGGTTGCGGCTGTGCACGGGCGGCGCGCGGGCGGCATCGAAGGAGGCTTCGATGGCGCGCACTTGCGCGGCCACGTCGTTGAGCTCCCGGTCGTCGGCTGCGTTGGCGCCACGGCGTTCTGCGGCGCGTGCCTGCAGCACCTGCTTCTCTGGCAAGCCCTGCCGCTGCACTCCGCGGTTGTCCGAACTGGAGATGTAGGTGGTGCGCATGAGCCAGGAGCACTTGTCCACGTCCATGCCTTTGGTGCGCGCGGAGAACTGCTTGTTGCGGCCGTCGCCGGCGGGCATCTGGCTGCCGCCCACTCCGAGCGGCCGCGCATCGTCCTTAAGGAGGGCTGCATCGGCCGGGTCTTGCGGCCCGGGCTGGTCTGGAACTTGGTACCGCTGTACGTCTAGCGGGGATACTGTGATGTTTGGAGGAGTTAGCAGATCTCTCCGGGCCTGACGTTCCAGTGCTGTAAGTGCGAAGCGCGATAGCACCTCTGGCTGGATTTGCGATACAAGCATTTTGGGGTCTGAGGGGATCTCCGGCAGGTCGTTCCTGAACCTAATATGCGCTAGGAAAGGAGTGTCCCTCCGTAGCCGATTTTCGACGGCCATAGGAATGACGCTGCTGCTGGCATGATGCGTGGGTTGTTGCTGCTGCTGGCTCCGGTGCTGTGGATGAGAAGTCCCTGCCCCTGCTTTGCTACCAGGTGGCATCGACCGAAAGCCAGAAGGAACATCCGGCTTTTTATGACTTGTATGGTGCTGCTGCTGAGAACTGTGGTGGCCAGGAGGCTTATGTGGAGGCGGTCCGGGAGGTCTGTATCCTGCTGGGCCATAGCCACCTGATCCATGCTGGGAGTTTGGTTGACCTATTGGCGCTGGTGGTCCAGGTGGTGGAGCACCATACGCTGGTGGACCGGGAAAGCCCGCTAGCATTTTTGCTATGTTACAGATTGAAAGCCACCTGGCATTCAAGCTTTACAACAAAATAGGCTATAAAGAAATGGTGTTTTCCTGTCGAGAAGCTACAGCTTCTCTTCCGCACTTCCCAATGGAAGAAGGATGGCTGCCGTACGAGTTTCTTTCGATTGCTTGAGAAAGGGCAAGCGTGGCCCAGACTTGGGCATACGGAAATACGCTTAACCCTACAACTACAATGCTCGTAGGCACACGTATAACTTAGCAAAAAAGGTCGTGCTGCTTTGACCGACTGTTGCGTTTCCCTTTCTCTGCGAGGCCATGCTGCCGTCATATCTTCATGGCAGCAGCATGCCTGGATATGGTTCCAAGCCCCTGCGGCGTTCCTGGATACCAGACCTCAGCGGCACGCTGATCGCAGTGTTGATGCTTGCGAGCGTCCTTGCTCTCGAGCACTTCTACTTTCAAGGCGAGTGGCTTAGCTCATAAGAAGTTATAATACATAAGGGGTCATGGGCACTCTCGCCGCGCAGGCCGGTTGGCACGTGTCACCGAGCTGGAGTTCTCGCTGGCAAAGCAGCTCAAGACCATGGAGGCGACGATACAGCAGCAAAACGGGCAGCTGCAAAGGATTACCCCTAGACTGGACCAGGTTGACGCATCAGGTGATGCGCTGAAACAGGTCCAAGAGGAGGTGGGTTACACGCAGCACCTTTCAACTTGCCCCTGTCTGCCCTTGAATGCAACGGAGCTGTAGCTCCAAACCACAAAAGGCGTCTGGAAGTTGCGCATAACCCCGTTCTTATACATTGATCTCTATCCTTAACTTAGCTCCCGTCTTGCAGTTGGCTGATATCAAGTTAAGGTTCCAGAGTGCCAAGAAGGCGCTGGATGGCCTAGAACATGCGAACCTTACCGGGCAGCTTGTAGAGGTACGGCAGCAAACGCGTTCGAACCTCCATGCAGCCCCTACGCCTGCCATACAGTAGGCATAAAGCATGCTCCGACTGCCCCTGGATATCATGTGCGCCTCCCTCCACAAACCCGTGTGGCTTGAACATGGCTTTCCACCCCACGGTCCCCACCGGCCTGCGTCTGGCCCCCCACACGCAGCTTGTGGGAAGCTTCGCGGAGCTCAAGTGGGAGGTGGAGGCGCTGCAGTCGCGAGCACCCGACAGCAACGCCACCGTGGTGGCGCTGGAGGCGGAGGTGGCCAAGGTGGGTGGGTGGGTGGGTAGGGGCAGTCAAGCGCTACCCTTGCATGCTGACAGCCAGCAACCGGTAGACGACAGCCAGTACCGGTAGGCTGGCCCCGGTTGCCTGGCTGGGCTTGCGCACACGCGGACACACATGCATCACAGTACGTTTCACCTCGCGGCCAGTTATTTTAACACACATGCATGATGCCAGTTACCATCCTCACCGCCTTGCACTCCACCCATCATCCTGCTCTCGCCCCCCCCCGCAGCTGTCCTCCAAGCTCTCCACGCACAACGCCGCGCTGAGCACCCTGACGGAGCAGTTGGCGCTCCACCAGAACTCCACCATCAATGCGCTGCAGCAGCAGACGGCGGCGGTGTCGGAGGCGCTGGAGGCGCACCGGCAGCTGGCCACACGCGTGGAGGGGCTGGGCAAGCTGGGAGGAGTGGGGGCTGAGGCGGCAGCGGGCAACGGCACGGATGCCAAGGCGGCCACTGCAGCTGCGGCTGCGACAACAACCCAGACCCTGGCGGCCAACCGCACCCTGGCGCCCGGGGCAACCGGGTCAGAAGCTCCCCTGTCCAATGTGACCGGAGCAACCACCACCGCACCAGCAGCAGCAGCTGGGGCTGCAGCTTTCAACAGCAGCAGCTTCCTGAGCAACACGCCGGCAGCCGGCAAGTCCCCGCTGGCGACGGCGGCTGCTGATGCGACTGGGCAGAGCTCCACGGGGGCAGTGAATGGCACGAGCGACGTTACGGCCGCTGCGGGATCCGGCTCCTCTCCGGCAGCAGCTTCCAGCGCTAAGGGCGCCGCTGCGGGCAGCAGCGAGGACATGTCCGCGAAGGAGGAGCAGGAGGAGGACCACCTGGTGCGCGGCCACACCGACCTGGCGCTGGAAGACGGCGAGGAGGGCGGCGGCAGGGGCGGGGACACGGACAGGGCGGCTACTGCTGCTGGAGCGGAGTCGGGTGGGGGTGCGGGTGCGGGTGCCGCGGCGGCTGGTGGCGCGGTGGCAGCCGCTTCCCTGGGCACCAGCGAGAACAGCAGCAGCAGCACGAGCGGCAGCAGCAACGGCACCAGTGTCAGTGAGGCAGCTGGGGCTCAGTCGGGTCCCGAGGGCGTAATTGGGACAGTGAATGGGACCAGCTTGGCGCCAGCGCTCGCGAGCAGCGGGTAGGTCAGGGACTGGGGTGGCTGGCCTTTGGTGGGGTGTCCAACGCCGGCTGTGGTGCGGGTGCTGAAAGGTAGCGCTAGTTGACCGGCGCTGGGGCTGGCTTTGCTTTGGGAAGGGATAGGGTGGCAGCTGCCCTTGGCCTGGCTGCTTCGGACCGTGTATGCACATAACCTACTAGCACGCTTTCCTCATGATCTAGCCCAAGGCACATCCTAGCGGCCCATCTTGTACCGGTACGGCTTCGTCTCCAGCCATGTTGCTTGGCGTCCGTGCGAGCTATTCATTCCTCGCACCTGCGCTGCTTGCCACTGTCCTTGCGATCCACAGGGCTAATGAGACTCTGGGAAGCGGATCAGCGGCCGCAAACACGACGAGCTCCCAGGCGGCTGCCTCCAACGCCACGTCTGGCGCCGCTGGGAAGGCGTCGCCCGCCGCTGAAACGCAAGCCGCTGAGGACAGCGACGACTCGCTGGAGCTGACCCGCAGGACGGACGCAGCTGCTTCCCAACTTGGCGAGGGAGAGGACGACGACGAAGGCAGCGCTGCCGATGCAACCCTTTCCACGGCTGGTGGAACAGTTGGCACCGGCGAGGACGGAAACGGTACCGCCACGGCCTCCGCCACATCCTCCGCGGATAAGGCCCTCGCCAGCAGCAACACCACCTCCGCGCTGGACGCCCTGCATGCCCTCGTGACGGTCACCTCAGCAGCCTCCAACACCAGCGACATCCTCACGACGAACGCCACGTCATCAGCAAACGCAACAGCAACCGCGAACACCACCACCAGCGTATCGGAGTCCACGGGCACTGCTGGCCCCACCAATGCAACGGCTGCTCTGGACGCCCTGCATGCGCTTGTGGCCTCTGCCAATACCACCAAGGTGATGCAAGGGGATGCGGCTGCAGAGCAGCAACAGCCGACGGTGACGGCAGCGGCGGAGGCAGCAGCGGCCGCCAAGATTGCTGCACTGCGGGGCCGGCATGCGGCTTCGCGGCCAGCGCAACGGCAGAAAGGGAAGGGTTTCGTTCGCATGCACGAACAGTTCTTGAAGCAGGAGAAGCAGCACAAGGCGGCCTTGGGCGCAGGCGGGGATGCAGGCAGCGCGGGGGCGACGGGCGCTGGCACCGGCGCGGCGGCAGCTGGTGGTGGCGAGCAGCAGCAGGCGGCTGTGGGGCTCGTGGAGTAAACAGTCGGGACTTGTAGGAGCAGCGATCAACGACAGAGGGGTGCTTTGGGGGTGTGGAGAGCGGGTGCACATAAGCATGGGGGTTGGCTAAACCGCACATGGACATAAAAGGAACAGCGATTGTGAGGTGTGAGCATATCGGTATGGCTTGAAAACGGAATGTACGCTAGCGTGACTTATGCGCGGAAATTGTGCCAGATAGCCTGGTAGCGGAGGCTCAACTGCTAGGTGAGCAGCGACCTAATAATGTGTGAGCCAATACTGTGTCATTTGTTACGGACCCCGGCTGGAATCCAGCAATGGGGTGCAGCAGGTTGGGCCAGCTTTAGGCCACGTGAGCTGGGCGTGCGAGGGCGACCCCGGGACGGGGTATTGGGACGGGCGGGCGCCGTGCAGCAAACGTCGCCGCTGTTTCGCCGCGACGTGAACCTCATTAGATGAGATGTGGGCGGTGACGCAGGTGCTCTATGTGCGACTGCCCCCCCAGTAAGTGGCGATTCAGCACTGAGGACAAGGACGTGGTGTCTGAGGCGTGCTCCCAGCTATAGAATTATACGCATGGACTGCATGGAAGTTGAACATCCCATGGTCTAGATAGTGAGGTTTATGCGAGGTACGGCACCCGTAGCTGGGGAAGAGGGACCAGCATCTGCGGGTGCAAATGGCATGTGGTGTGCGTTACCGCAGGGCTGCTTGCTTCCGGTACACCTCGTGCCGCGTCTTGCATTTCGTTGTAATGTGTTCAACGCTTGCAGCGCTCCAGCTACACTGCTGCTGCCGCTGGCTCGGGCGCATGTACGAAGCTCGTACAATGTGAATCCTTCGGCATGTATGAGGCATGAGGAAGAGACAAGATGTGGTCCAGGGAGGCTACAGTCCCTGGCACTTGTTCGTGTCAACAAACGGACAGAAGGACCAAAGTCTAGTGCGATAGGCCCGGCCTCTTGCCACCCGCTGCTCGGCAAAAAGAATTGGATCGGAAATATGGTAGTGGCCTTATTGAATGCATCTCCATCCTTGCCCAATGCTCCACCCCCTCTGCACAGACTCTTCAGGAATGCTTTCCCAGTAACCTTCTTCCTCTCGCCGCCTCTCCTCTCACGCAGTCAACTTGTCACCAGTCAACGCACAGCCAGCACGGGTGCCCCGGCCGCCCAGGGCGGCACGCATGCGCCCCCACGCAGGCCCTCCGGTGCCACCTCAAAGGGACTTACCATCGCCGCCACCCCCGGCCTGCAGCAGCACCCACCAACGCCGGCACCAGACACAAGTTCTCCTCGAGCACTGCTGTCTACAGCTCCGTCTTTCGCCTCAAGTGTGCACAATGTGTGTGTGTTAAAATAACTGGCCGCGAGGCGAAACGTACTGTGATGTGTGTGTGTGTCTCACAATCAGGTGTCATGCGGGAGTTCTCCGCTCTACACCGTCATGTATTGCCCACACAGCCCTCTCACATGAACGTCAAAGCCCCGAAAAGGACACCACCACCTGCGCCCACATAACAACAAACCCCGCCCCGCCAACCCGTCGTGCACCCCAACTACTACAACCTTCCCTCGCTGACGGCTCCCCACCGACCTCACCCCCACCACCAACGCAGCGCACCTAGTGGAGCCTGTCACACGGTTAGCACCCTCCTCTTCACCCTCACCCTCACAACTCCCACTCCTGCACGACAAGTCCCACTCAGCATGTGTACCCTAATCCCCACACCGCCTCCCCCCCATGTCGCCTCTCCCCCTGCCGCCTCCCTCACGACTGCTTGAGCGCCGCTGCGGGCGGCACGGGTCCGAAGTCGGTGATGATCTCCCGGTGGCAGCTCCACACCAGCCGGATGGCCTCCGGGGTGCCGATGCCGGCACCGCGCGGGTCGCCTGCGGGGCCGAACCAGTGGTTCTGGGGGGCACCTGCAGGGGGGGAGGTGGGAGGAGGGGGGCAGAAGAAGAGAGGAGGCGGCACATTCAAACTGTATTCGGAGGTTCTCTCGGAGAGCAGGGCTTGCCGCAGTCGGAGGCAGACCCCGCACGCTTTGTGAGGAGCGCTGTCACGTCACTCCATGAAGCAGGTCAAGCTTGAGATTAGGCGGCGCACCTCTCCCCTCCCCGTCTTTCCTTCTCCCCCTCCCTTCCGCACGTTAGTTGCCTCCTCAGCTTTCTTAACTTCCCCCTCTTCCCGCACCTGTGGTCCGCGCCCGAATGCCCACATAGGTGGTGCCGTTGACTGTGTTTGCCAGCACCTGCTGCACGAAGCGCACGTCGTTGGACACCACCGCTGCGGTCAGGTGGTGGCTCATGCGCTCGCACGCCTCCAGCACCTGGGGCAGCTGGCCCTCACCCCACTCGGTGACAACCTGGGGCGGGGGAAAGAGAAGAAGAAGAGGAAACACGGTGGAGGAGGAGGCGCGGGTGCAAGGCGGGAGGCAGGGTACAACGCTTGGGGCAGTGGTGTCACCAGCATAAGCGAACCACGCGGCCGGCGGAACAAGGCAACAGCATACCGTAACCGGATACAACGGCAGGCTTGCGGCACTCCCGCATATTTCGCCAACCGCCGAGTCCCTCACGCCGCAGCCTCATGCTGCTCCCCTCCCACTCCCTCCACCTCGCTTCCCCACCCTCACCCCCCACCCCCCTCCTCCCCCCTCGTCCTACATCCCACACCCCCACCTGGAAGGGCCCGAACACCTCCGTGGTGACCGCCTCGAAGTGCTCGGGGCGCAGCGCCTCCTCCAGCGGTACGAACACGGCGGTGGGCTGTACGGCGCCGTACACGGAGGGGATGGAGTGCCCGGTGAGCGGCTGGCCGCCGAACAGCAGCTTGGCGCCTGGGGGGTGGGGGGGTGGGAGGTGGAAGGGGGGGAGGGAGAGGAGGCAGGAAGAAAGGAGGAGGCAGGTGGTTGGGTGGGATGGCAGGAAGGGTGTGAATCCCCCTCTCGGCCCCTGCCCCATTCCCACCCCACCATACAGCGCGGTGGTTTCCTCTTTTCACCCATGCACCCCCACCCGATTCCGCCCCCACCTGGGATGCTGAGCAGGCGGCGCGTGTGCGCCAGGATTGCCTCCGTGCTCCAGCTCAGCACCGGGCCCACCGTCAGGTCGGCCAGCTGGCGGCGGGAGGCCAGCGAGGCCAGCCGCTCCAGCAGACCCGCGCGGACCCAGTTGCTGTGGTTGCGAGGGGGGAGGGAGGGAGGGGAGGGGAGCAGAAATGAGGAGTGAAGCAAGCGGTGTCCCAATCCGATGGGGGAGAGAGGAGGGAGGCGGTGGAGGAAGGGAGGAGGAAGAGGAGGAGGAGGGAGGACACCGCGCCCTGCAGTTTTGTAAAGGTGTAGCGGTTCGGACCATGTGCACCCCTTCCTATGGTATGGTACGGTCTTTGACCCCCCCCCCCACCTGTGCGCGAACAGCATGGACTGCGCGCTGCACTTCTGCCCCGTGCATGCGTACGCGTCCTGGTCGCACTGCCAGGCCACGTACTCCAGCTCCGCCACGTCGGGCCCCAGCAGCTTCCAGTCGAACCCCGCGTCCTCCAGGAATACCTGCTCGGGGGGAGGGGGGGAAGGGGGGGAACACCGGATGACCCGCATGTCTTGATTTCCCTCCTCCCCTCTCTTCCCCTTGCCTCCCCTTCGCTCCCCTTTCCTTCCCATGGCGGAGCCGTGCCACATGGCTTATCATTCCTCTCTACTTCCCTCCCTCTCCCTATCCCCATCGTTTTGCCCTAACTTCCGGTCTCCTATGGTTTGGTATGCACGTATGGTCTTCAACCTCCCCCTCCCCTCCCCATTCTTTCCCGCACCTTCCCCGCCGTCTCCACCGCCAGCCGCTCCGCCACCCTCTGGCTGCCCGTGAAGAGTGTGGAGCGCGGCTGCGCGGCCCGCAGCACCTCGCCGCAGGTGGGGCCGGGGCCGTGCAGCAGGTCGGCGTCAGCGGGCGGCATGCCGCAGTGGTGCAGCAGCCGCAGCAGCTCCTGGGCCACGATACTGACCTGACAGGGGTAGAGGGAGGGGGGAGGAGAAGTATAGAAGGCTAAAGGTTATCAAGCTCTATTGGGTTGCAGGCTTTTCCCCCCACCCCGTCATCGTCATCGTGAGCGTGGCGAACACGAGTTTGCGCTGCCTCATCCACCAACCCCCATCCCCCGCGACAATCTCTCCCCCATCACCCCCCTCCCTCATCTATTTGTTTCCTCCCTCCCTCCCTCCCTCCCCCCTTCCCCTCAGCCCCAGCCCCCCCCCCACCCGCTGGTCCACATGCAGCAGCGGCTTGTTGCCCATGTACAGTGCGCCCATCAGCTGCAGCGCCGGGATCTCCAGCGGGAAGTTGAAGGGCGTGATCAGCGCCACGGGGCCGTACGGCCAGCGGTTGCCGCTGCTGGTCTGCCCGGGGTGGTCGCCGGGGTTGGTGAAGCCGCGGGCCAGGAAGCGAACCTGCGCAGCGGGGGAGAAGGGGGATGGAGGGGGAGGGGGAGTGTGGGCGGGATGCGTGCGGGAGAAGGGGGAAGAGAGGGGAGGTGCGCCCGCAGTGTGCCCGCACGGCGCCCCAAGCCCCCACACCTTCAATGCCCCTTCACCCCATCCTCCAATATCCAACACAGACGCCTCCGTTTCCCTCCTACATGGCTCCCACTGCCACACCCTCCCAGCACCCCACCATCCACCATCCACCATCCACCCGGCCCCCCCACCTAGTTTGACTATGCGCAATCCTAAAATCCATCCAAATGCGGAATCTTCATCCTTATTAACCCCCACCGCTACCACCCCACCGTCCCCACCTCACCTGGTCCCCACTGAAGTTCTCGAAGAACTTGCGTGTCACCCGCACCTCCCCCAGCGCCTGGTCATAGCTCTTGGGCGCCACCCGCTGAATGAGCCGCGCGAAGAAGTCCTCCACCACCGGCCGCCGCATCTCGGCAGCCACTCGGAAGGACACGTCGCCGTAAAGCAGGTACCTGGGGGGTGGCGGGCGTGTGTACGGAAGTGTACGATGAGGAAGTGATGAGGACGTGTACGGAACAGGAGGCATACGGAGCAAGACTGCACACCCCAAAACAGTGAAGATTACGATAAAAGGGTGATACAGAAGTAAAGGTGGACAGAGTTAACCTGTAAGGCAACACACATAGGGTTGCGGTGTACCCTTTTCAGCTCCCAGCCCACCTCTGCGGGTTCTTCAGCGGGTTATGCAGCCCCGACTTGGGTACGGCACGCAGCGAATCCACGAAGGGGCCGATCTCGTCAGGCTGCGTGTGCGGCACGGTGAGGAAGGGCTCGCCGGTGAGGGGGTCGGGCAGCTGGCGGCTCTCGCGGGCGGGGCCCCAGCGGCCGCCCACTGCAGCGAGGGTGAGGGAGAGTGCGAGTTTGGGAGGGTGTACGGGAGGAGGAAGAAGAGGTAAGATGGGATCGGAGGTGGGGTGTGCTAAGGCTGCAGTCCCGGCTTCAGGTTTGCTTATGTAAGCCCGACGACATAGAAAGTGGTACGGGTAGTCGCGTATTTTTGTGCATAGCAGCGCGATGGAATAATCGGGAAGTTTGGTGCTGCGGTATCCCCTAGATTACAGCTGCGGTGCAGCCCTTCTGCGACGTGCGTACCGAGGTTTTGGCAAACCGCCGGGGTAGATCCGCTCATCTTGACGGGATCTACCGTGGCCCACTCTGTAAGGTTACGCACAAGCTGCAGCAGCGGCTGCGCCAAACCTGGCGCCTGGCCTAGAGCGCGCACTTGTTGGGAGAGCATTGTGTATCCACGTGAATAACCGTGTGCTGCACCCTGAAGACCTCTCTTAATGTAAAATTGTCCCAATGTACAGAACTGTATATCCAGTTGTGTGTACACGTTAGCATTTCCGATGGCACATCCTGTGCTTCCATAACGTCCGTACACGCTGCGTTGGCCTATTCGGCCGGACTGTTCCTGACGCGCACCTATTATAGTTGTAGAGTGGTGCTTTATCTTACGTAGTAGTAGGCGACTGCTTTACTATTATTGCGTTTGGCGTGCGGCAGCCTTAATCCGGAAGTCACCTGACTATCAATTAGGCCTTCCAATACTCAGTAGCGTATAGTACATGCATCAGTAACTCTAGGTATTTTAAGGGCACACAACACTTTTATTGTTAGGGCCGCAGGCGCCATGCTGCTCAACGGCGCGCTGCGAGCCTTTACGGTGGCGTCAGGAGCATGGAAGCAAGCCGCTGCTACGATTCTCTCCGCTTCCGCCGCAAAGAGCGGCGGGTGCGGCTTGGCGATGATGTCGAGGACCTCGGCAGAAGCAAGCGCGGCGGCTATGCCCTTCGGGATGCAGGAACTTCGGATACGTTGCGCCTCATCACTCACAGCCGTTGCGGGATCAAGTAGTGCGCCAGCGCCCCTGCTCCGCGACGCGGACGACGAGGCGCTGTCACCCCACCCCCCTACAACGGGCTCCGGCCCGCTCACGGTGCGCTACCCCTTTGCTATCGACTACTACAAGGACCGTGAGGCGGTGGTGTACTCCCTAGACGAGCAGCCGCTTGGCCTGGCCAGCCTTCCGGGTGCTGCCTTCAACGTGCCCGTGCGGATAGACATCCTGCACCGTGTCGCTCGCTACTGGCGCGCCAAGTGGCAGCAGGGCACGCACAAGGCTAAGACGCGCGGGGAGACTAGCGGCGGCGGCCGGAAGCCCTGGCCGCAGAAGAAGACGGGTCGTGCTCGCCAGGGCTCCATCCGCTCTCCACTGTGGAAGGGTGGTGGTGTCGCACATGGCCCGCGCCCTCGCTCGCATGCGCACGGCCTGCCCCGCAGCACCCGGCTGCTGGGTATGCGCTGCGCACTGTCAGCCAAGGTCAACGAGGGTCGCTTCTTTGTCGTTGACGACCTCCTAAACATCCGCGATGCCAGCGCCACTGCCGGCAACAGCGGCCGCAGCGCTGGCCAGCACTCCATCCGGGACTACCGGGAGCTGAAGGACCGGCTGGGGCGGCTCACGGCGGGTAGCTACGGTTCCACCTGGCTGCTGGTGGACAGCGGGGAGGCGGGGCGCGACGGAGGGGCGCGGCTGCGGAAGCTGCTCAAGTGCTCGGTGATGATGGAGGTGATGTCCCCCGAGCAGCTTACCGTGTACCACGTGCTCAAGTACCACCGGCTGGTGGTGACGCGGGCGGCGCTGGAGCGGCTGGCGGAGCAGCTCACGCAGCCGCACCGCGTGGCGAAGCCGCTGAAGCATGCATGGTGGGCGCAGCGGAAGGAGCAGCTGGAGGCAGCGGTGCGGGAGCTGAATGAGGCGGCGGAGCGGTCGTAGTGGTGTTGGTGAAAAGGAGGGGCGTGGGGGGAGGAAATGGCGATGTGGTGCCGGCCGGGCGGCCGCATGGCCTGGTGGCATAATAGGGCCGTGGTACGATGGCAGTCAGGGCGTGAGGGGTGCGACTCATGGCCGTCCTGGGGGTCTCGCATCTAGGTTATGGTTGGTGGAGGTTGCCGTTGCCATAAGCCCAGCACTGTCCCGTGCAAACAAGCTTGCTGTAAGCTCCGTTATATGATGATAGGGAATAGGCATTAATTGTTGTTGGACGGGACAGATGTGTGTCTTCACAACAGGTTTTGAACCCACGGTTTGTGCAGGCATCACCTGAGCTAACGCCGTTACCTCTGGACAGTCGGGTTACAGGCTGTAAAGTTTTCTTCGCTGCTGTGCTCGCAGCGTGAATTAAGGAAATCAGCAGTGGGAACCAGCCAGCTCCTATCATCCCCACAACATGTATCCTTCATATACCGATACCTGCATGTACCCTTCATGAACATTGCCTATTAAGATGCCAATATCAAACGTCAGTCCCGATAAGTGTCAGCTAGCAAGGAATCACATGCAATACCGACGCTACGCAAGTCAAAATGCATGTTGCTCGACCTGATCCCTTACCCGTTCATCCAACCCACGACTCCACCCAAAGTTTCCGCCTTGTCAACGTCCCACACGTAGTCACATCCTAGAACAAGCAAGCTATTACTCAGTGCGCATGCCCGACCGCGCGCGCCGCCTCAGCCGTGAGACGCGGGGCACGATTGCCAGGATCGCCACCAGCACCACCACCCACAGCAGCAAGGCCTGCCATGTTGTGAGGCGACCCAAAAACGCGCGCACGGAGAAGCCCACAGCGGCCGCATCCACGACGGGCGCCTTGGCCTTCTTGTCCGCGTGTTGGGCGATCGAGAGGTCCTCCAGGTCGCGCGAAACAACACGCTCCGTCTTGGTGTTGGTGGTTGAACTCGGCTCCACGACAGAGGCACGGGTAGTGGATGAGTCAGACTCCACCGCGAGGTGAGCCTCGGAGTGCGTGTTGGCCGGCGCGGTGACCTTCTTGGGCTCGTAAGAGACGCCCTCCTTGGCGGCCTTGACGCAGTCCTTCACCTCGTCCAGCGGCAGAGCGAGGCGGTAGCAGCGGATCATGAGCTGCTTCTGCGTTGCCTTCTTCTGGGATGGAGGCGGCGGGCTGGGCGACGGCGAGGGGCTTTCAGGCGGTGGCGAGTTGGGAGGCGGCGGGCTGGGTGGTGGCGGACTTGGGGGCGGTGATGCCTTCTTCTGCGTTACGGCGGCAAGGGAGGAGGAAGGAAGAGAGGGAGGAGTGCTTAGCCGTCAAGTTTACCATGCAGCATGATGACGGCATAACCGAAAAAGGCGCCATGATAAGTACATGCGCGTGCTACTGCAGTTCACAACTCTTGGCCGCGACCTCCCGCGCACCTCGGGCTCTGTGTTGCGGGGAACCACAACAACCGGCTGCTCGTGCTTGGGGATGATGGCCGGGCTGGAGGTCTTGGGCGCCGTGCCCGTGGCCCCCTTCTGCTGGTCCGGGTCCTCCGACAGCGGCTGCAGCTCCTTGGCCATCTTGGCCAGCTTCTCCTCCAGCTCCTGCAGCACACGGCAGTAATGGTAAGCAGCTGCTCCCCAGCGGATCCCATGTGGCAGCCTTTCAGCCTACCTACTTACCCTTACACAAGAGGTAGCATGGAGCGGGAATGCAGGATATGCCTAGCGGGGTATCCACATGGGTGCACGCACAATGTCCCGGCCCATTGCTGCGGATAGCTTGAAAACATCTTACCCTAGCGTGTTACATCGGCTACGGTAGCTGGTCATCCAAACACGCAGCCTACCTTGGTGGTGGTCTCGGGGAAGTACAGCTCCTGCGCCTTGCAGCGATTACAGCTCTTCCGGCAGTTCTCAGTCATGTAGGCGATGTTCTTGTCGCACTCGCCCTCGCCCGTCCACTCCTTGCACTTGGGCTGTGGGGCCGCAAGCGAACACATTAACAAACGCATCAGAACAGGTCCGATAACACACCACACTTTCGAAGACAGCATGCATCAGGGGTGTTCTGTGCATAGCAGCATAAGCCACAGCCAGCAGGAAGCCTTGTGGGACGGGTCGCGTACGGAGGCAATTTGCTTACATGGAAGTCCTGGCAGTCGTAGCGCGACTCGGCCTCCTTGATGTACTCACGGGCCTCATTGTAGTAGCTGAACACCTGAAAAGGGAGCGCGACGAACACACCAGGGCTCTCTTCAACCAGTTGCTCAGCAACATACAGGCAAGACAGGTGAGCCACGTGGGTTTGCCCAGAAGCGCCGGTCCTTGCGGCTCTAACGCCCCTCTTATACTCCATACTACTTCATGATGTCCCTATCCGAAAAAATTGTGCCCCCGCCCCCGCCATCAGCCACACATTGGATATTCTTTTCCCCCGCCATCAGAGCTGTAGCCGTTCCATTTGCTTCCCGACAATATCCCTCCATGCCCACGTCGCACCTCTTTGCAAACCGACACCAGCTGCTCCGACGGCGGGCAGTGGGAGAGGTGGTAGTCGCAGAAACCAGCGTTCAGAGTTGCGAGCGTCTCAATGGCCAGCAGGTCGCGGTAATAGCTGAGGAAGTCCTCCTGCAGGGTTAGCAGGCGGCAGGCAACAACATGAAGGCTCGCCGTTCGGGCCGTACATACGTCGCAACATACTACCAACATCGCACAGCATCACTTGGTGAATAGCGGCAAGGACACGCCTTGCCGCCTAGCGCTGCAGAGGCGACGGCGAGAGGCATGACAAGCTTCGGCACCACCTCACCATCGGTACCACATCACTGGGCTTGGAGAACACCTGGGGCTGTAGCATGGGGCAGGATCAACGTGAAGGGGCGTACGGAGCAAGATGCAGCCAGGACCAGCCGCTGCACCTACCTTTTTGAGCGTGCTGGGACGCGGTGGCTCCGGGAAAATACCATGGCGGCGGCGCTTGGGATCCGTCAGGTCCCACGGAGGGCACTTGGTGACGTCAAAATCATAGTGCCAGTGCTTATCGAAGGAGTAGTTCTTTCCAACTTCGAAGAGCAGCCCGTAGTGCATGAGCTTGGGGATACCCTCTGGAAGGAAAGGACGGAGGGACAGGGCTATATGTTAGCACCGCGCCCGCCAAGACGGAAAGTAGCAGTGCAAAAAGAAACTGCCGTTGCGCTGGCAACAGCCGGATACCCACCCCGAGGCTCGTAGCCGGGGTAGATCATGGAGAACGTATCCCACTTATGCCACACGTTGTGGTTGGCTGCCCCAAAGGCGTAACCATACATCTCTGAAATCCAAGGCCGGTCACCGGGATGAGTGGCATACACGTCGCCCGAAAGCCGATATGCCTGGGAAAGAGCAAGCACGAAATGCCAGGTTTGAGGCGCCGTACAGCTCAGTACCACGCAACTGTTGCGTTACCCCAGCTGGATAGGTTTTGGCGGCACCTGGTCATCCATGCGCACGTCCTCAGAGAACTTCAGCCAGTCATGTGACATGGCCTTAAGGTCGTCCTTATGGATAAAGAAGAAACCGCCGACCTGGTCGGCTCGGCGGCCGTATGGGCCAGCCAGCGTGTCATTGCGGGGTGCAACGTGGGGTATGTGGCGCACCGCCAACTCATTGTTCACGCCAATCATGTATGTGTATCGGGCGCCAACGGCCAAGCCCTTCTTAGGCCCCATAGACTCCACAAAAAAGGGCCGCCGAAGGACCATATCCGAGTCCAGTACCAGCACGTACTCGTGCTTCGGCACGTTGTGGTCTAACCAATCAATAACAGCTTCTGGTTTGTTATACGCTGCATACCTGTTTCATGAAAACCGTTACCAGTAAGGTCAGGCTGGCCCTGAACATCAATGGACCACTGCCCGCAACAGATAGCGCAAAGGACTCACCGGTCGCCGTTACGAGGGCTCGTCGACATGTCAGGTGCAATCCATGTATCCATTATATTCAGAAGGTCTTTGTTATACTGCTTAGCATCCTTCTCAGAGCAGCACATGACACGGATCACACTACCAGGTTGCCCTGACATCTTAAAACTAAAGGCGTTTCCAACAGCCATCCAGTCTGAGTACATTGTGCAATCCGTTAGGAATGCAACGTGCACTGGCTGACGCTGTTCAGCTGCGGTTGCGCCATGCTGCACAATCGCCAGCAAAAGTGCGCCTAAAAGCCCCCGCAACATTTTCGGAGGATACTGATCTATTGTTCTCAGCGTACAAACACTATGGTAGTTGTCTTAGCACCATGGGCTTCGCTTGTTTGAAGGTTTCTCTTCGATAGCCCGTGAATGCTAGTCAGCGAATGCGACTCTGTGTACATAAAATAAGAATACAAACTTGTTTAGAGCAGAACATGCGCCATAGTGGTGGTTGCCTACAGGTAACGAACTTGTCGCAGACGGGACGTACGAATCTTCTAAATTGAAACGTACCTCTCTTGTAAGCCCTATCCACTCCCTACCTGCACTAAGCATCCCCTCCGCTTCCACCTGCTCACCTGTGGGCCTATATGTTGGGTACATCATGGTGCGCTTGTCCCACTTGTGCCACACGTTCGCCTTCGCAGCCCCGAAGGCGTAGCCATACATCTCGGAAATCCAAGGTTTGCCACCCTTCTCCACGTACTGGTCGCCACTTAAGCGCCATGCCTACGGTTGTATATACAATAGGAACCAGACAAGAGGGGTCACCGCTATCGAATTGGAAGGAACACGTGCCAGCCAGGGCTAGCTGTGCCCAATAACCAAACATGGTCCAGCACAAACCCGCAAGAGAGACTTTCCAACCGCTTGGTCATAACAACTGCGTTGCTCGCGTGCTCCAGGCAACAATGGCATTCAGTGGTTGGACGAACCCGGACAAGGCACACATCCCTCGACTGCATCGATGCAACACGTCACCGCACCTCAGGGTCCTCGCGCACGTCCTCAGTGTACTTGAGCCATAGCGGCGCCACACGGCTTAGATCATCTCGGTGCATGAAGAAGAAGCCCCCGACCTGCACCGCAAGGTTGAACAGCGCTGCCCATGAAAGGCTATGACCATGCGCTCCTGGCCCCACGGTGCGCCATGCAAAGCCCTGGTCACACGCACGTCTGGAGGCTGAGTGCATGCCTATAGCATGCGGGCTTTATCCCACACGGCAGAGCCTTTCATGCTGGGCTGTTGCTTTACCACACAGTAGGCGCGGAAGGCATGCAACGCCACTTTCCAAACCGTTCACTTCCCGTTCACTTCCCACCTGATCACCGCGCCGACCCCGCGGCCCCGCCAGCACGTCATTGCGGGGCTCAATCTCCGGGATGTGTCGCACCGCCAAGTCATTGTTCACCCCAATCATGTAGGTGTAGTCCGCTGACACGCACCAGCCGCGGGTTGCATTGAAGAACTGGGGGTAGAAGGGCTTCCGCAGGTACATGTCCGAGTCCAGCACCTGATGCAGGGGCCAGCACAGTCGTGAGCACGGTGAGGAGGAACAGAGTGACACCTGTCGTCACTGCAGTTTTGGCGACGAGGGGTTCATAATGATGCAAAAGAGGCTAACCGTTACATAACTGACGTATTGACAACCTGTTTTCACCTAGTCGTTCCCCCGCAGACACAAGCAGTCTACCGGTGACCTTAGCTAAGCTACCGGTAGCTAGATGCGGCAGTAGCTCTTAGTTGAGTTGGCAGTAGCTTCCCTACACGGGTGCCCATGATTGCGTGTTGCCCTACTAAACACCTACCAAAATCCAATCCTCTTTCGGCTTTACGTGCTGGAGCCAGTCAACCACCGCTCCTGGTTTGTTATACGCCGCGTACTGCAAGGTGAAGTCGAAAAATGGGCAATAAGAGGAACACAGAAGCAAGTCCGCTTCACCCACCCACAACCGCGATCCAAACCAAGCCCCCTGCTTTCCACACAGGCTCCCAACGTTGCATGATAACAAACCTTGAGGCCCATGGTGGCTTCCACATGGGAATGGTCCCGCCCCCTCCCCACCCAAGGACAGCCCCACCCAGCAAAGCCCCACGCCTACATAATCGTTCGTCCTCTCGTTACGGGCAAACGAGTGAGCCACATGGGTTTCCACGATCGATAAGAGCTGCTCGTTGTATCGCTTCCGCTCCTCCTCGGTGCAGCACATGATCCGAGTAAGAGTCGAATCCAGAGGTTGCCGCGAACGCTTGTAGCTAAACACCATTGCTACGGTCTGCCAGTCGCTGTACATCGTGCAATCCGTCAGGTAGGCGATGTGGACTCCATTCCCCTCAGCTGCCGAAACCTCCCTTTGCAACAGCGCAAAAGACGCAACGCAGATAATTTTTAGGAAGCGGCTTATGCTATTCGGTTTATCCATGTTGTTTAAGTCCAGTCAAAACCGACCGAGGCCTGTAAGGTCAAGCCTCGATGGCTACTCTACTGCTTCCCGGGTACCTTGCATAGGAGCATGATCCCATACATCAAAGTGATCTGTAGATAGCAATGTCATAGATACGTCTTTTACCAGTATGAGCTGAAACGTTTTTCGGTTGCACCGTATTTTGGCTGTCCGTACACATATTCTCCAACACAAGCATCCCCGCCCGGCTGTCGTTCATTTTACCAAGGCCATCTGTCAGTCTGCACCGTCATCCTAATGCTTTACACCTTGGAGGAAAATCCTTGTCAGTGAATCACAGAGGTCAAAACCACACGCCCAATCAAGCCCAGCTGTCCCGGACCCGGCTGTGTACTTAAGACAACGAAACAGCAGCACACGGCATAAGCCACGGGCGTCAACAATCCATTGTCCTCCTGTGTAGTTGCAAGGAACAGGGGTGTATAACGACCTATAACGCCCCAGGGCACAGCAGGAGAGCTCTCGGCCCTGTTGGGGGGATGCTGCTACAAAGCCTGCTACATGTTGCTTCCAGTGTATCTGAGGCGCTTCTGGCGGGCAACAAGAGTGTGTCTGTGCCGCTGTTTCGTAGCAGCTATGATCTGCAACTCGGCACGCCATGGCAAACATGCCTGGAACCGCATGTAAGTGCCGGCCTCGTCCACCCAGAAGTAAACGAAATTTATGTAATGATATAGCGGGCGAACCGCTAAAAATTGGCTTATTGGTTGCTCTGTGCATCGCAATCAGCAGGCATCAGGGTAACTGTATGGTCGTACGACAGCATTGCGCCGCCTCAAAACACCTCGCAGACGACGGGATCATTCTCTTTCTACTGCTAGGTTAAATCTGCCTTGCCGGTAAAGACCCGGTTTGGTCCTTCAGTAGTCAAAGCTAAGGTGCGAGGTGTCAAATTGGAAGTCCAGCGGCTTTGTACCTAGAAGCTCTACTTTTCCACGGTTCCACTGGTCGCTTTACATCGCTGGTTTTGTGTAACCTAGTTAATTCTGTTCTTGGCCAAAGCGCCTGACGTTGCCCGGCGGCGGCTGCCCTTCCGTGCAGAAAAATGGTGGCCGAGGAGCGTGTCTCGCAGAAGAAGAAGGACGTAAGTAACATGACTCAGTTGTATGGGCAACTCCTTGTTCTATTAATTCGTCCATGACACTGACGCTCATTCTCTTTTCCTCCTTTCCCCACAGTACCGCAAGCGCCTGGGTCAGTACCTGCAGACCTATGAGAAGGCGTTCATTGTCAACGCGGACAATGTGGGCTCTAAGCAGTTCATGGATATCCGCAAGGTGGGGCCATGGGCGTGCTGCTAATAGTTATTGTCGGTTCTGCTTCACCCTCGCGCATCTGGTGGGGACATGGTATAAAGCTATGCTAAAATAAACATCAGGAAGAAATATGGTAATCGGGTAATATGGTGACCACTTTGGGGGACCCTGCTGTAATGCCCCTCCATACCACTCTGTAATGCCCCTCGTCTGCTCCTCCCCTCGGTATGTACCCCCTCCCTCAGGCTCTGCGCCCCAACAGCGTCATCCTGATGGGCAAGAACACCATGATGCGCTACTGCGTGGAGAAGTACCTGGAGGAGACCGGCGACAACCGCTGGGAGTGCCTGGTCAAGCCCGGCAAGAAGGGTCTGCTGGAGGGCAACGTCGGCATTGTCTTCACCAACGGTGACCTGAACCAGGTATGCCCGGTTGCCTTGGTGTGAGGGGCCTTGTTGCTATGGGAGACGAGGTAAAGCTGAGGACATAACGGATGGGTCACCTTGGATTTGTGGCGCCTATACACAGCTGCAAGGAAAACAAGTACCCCGATAGGCCCATAATTTACCTTCCCTCTTCACGCTCCCCAGGTCAAGGATGAGATTGCCAAGTACAAGGTCGGCGCCCCCGCCCGTGTGGGTGCCACCGCCAACGAGGACGTCATCATCAAGGCCGGCGGCACGGGCATGGACCCCTCGCAGACCTCTTTCTTCCAGGCCCTGGGCATTGCCACCAAGATTAACAAGGGTACCATTGAGATTGTGTCCGACGTCGTGGTCGTGAAGACCGGCGACCGTGTGGGCGCTTCCCAGGCTACCCTGCTGGCCAAGCTGGGCATCAAGCCCTTCAAGTACGGCCTGCAGATCACCAAGGTGGGTTTGCGTCGTCCCCCTCCACCCGCCTGAGGACTTGCCTAATGCATACTGCAAGTGTATCGCATAACCTGTTTTTACTGTTAACAATGCTTCCTTGTAAGTGCCCTTGCTCAACGGTTTACCTGACTGGTTCGCTGTTTCACCTACCTGCTCCTCCAGGTGATTGAGGGTGGCGCCGTGTACGACCCCGCCGTGATGGACATCACCGACGAGGACATGATGTCGTCGGTGCTGACCGCCATCCGCGAGGTGGCCGCGCTGTCGCTGGGCGCCAAGTACCCCACCCTGGCCGCCGCGCCCCACGTCATCATCGACGGCTACAAGAACGTGCTGGCCGTCGCTCTGGAGACCGACTACACCTTCCCCCTGGCCCAGAAGGTGTGGAAGAAGGGGCTGCCTTTCATATCATCAAGTTGTGCTACTTGGACTGCTGATATAAGATATGCCAACTCGTTTCCGTCCTTCCAATGAATGAAAATGTCGGTTCTTGCTCCCTACAGGTCAAGGACTACCTGGCCGATCCCTCCAAGTTCGCCGTCGCTGCCGCCCCGGCTGCTGGTGGCGCTGCCGCCCCGGCCGCCAAGAAGGAGGAGCCCAAGAAGGAGGAGCCCTCCGAGGAGGAGGACATGGGCTTCTCGCTGTTCGACTAAGCGGCCGTATCGGCTGCGCGGTTGTAGCAGCAGGACGCTGGGCGCCCTTTACTGGGCGCACGGCGTTCGTGCTACCACAGCGGGGTTGTGGAGCGGCACTGGTCTGCGCAAGGCGTAAAGCCAAGCTGTAACCATGAAGCCTCTCTTTTGTCCACTGTGCCCCTGGAAACGCATGAAGAGCATGCTTTGGCGTACATCGGAAAAAGAGCTCCATGCGCTGTTAGCATCTGATGCATTCCACTCCAGCAATTCTGACAGGTGCTTCGAAGTAAACGGCCATGTACCGGTAGCTGCACAGCCACACCCTTTGGAACACAGAATAAAGCTGCTGACAGGCTCGGCCATCAGTGCTTGTCCAGTCGCCCCACACAGCATGCATTAATGCCACGGTCCCATGGGTCCCGGCTTCTGCCAAATGTGCTGGATACTGGGAATTATGGTCGTAACGAACCCGAAGGTATGATGGGGATGGAAGTTAGGGTTGGATACCCAGTGTCAACAGCGAATTGCTTCTTACCTTCAAGGGACAGCTGGCGTGATGGCTCGTACATGAGGGCAGCTCCGTACATCTCTTTGTTCATTCATCATGAATAGGATTCGCTCAATCATCCGCTGCAATCTTCTCTATGAAGTTCCTGCAAGGGCACTGTAAAATGGGGTCCCAGGAAAGCCCTGGGTTGCAAACGGGCGTATGAGAACGACCCAATTGTAGTCATTCCGCAGCAACCCTTTCCGTCTGCGGGGTCTCTCGACGCGTCTTTCTCCACAACCGTACGTACACTAACACTTAGTTTCGCCTTTCCGAGCGACTCGTCCAAGCAGGGCAGTTTCTTAACTTCTTAACTTCAACCGCACGCCAAAATGGATACAACAATCCATCACTGTACCCGGTTACCTGCCAAAAGAGGTCGATGTTCTGCAGCAGCCTAGTGACTACTATCCCGTAAAAACCAGATCAGTTCGGTTGGTCGGCACGGCAGGTAATAGTCAATTGTCAACTGCTAAGGCGTGTGGCCGACCGGAAACTAATAGGTAGAATGCATTGCTACAAGGCTTACTGTGTTCCCCTTACAAAGAAGTATTAAGGTGGCTCGTTATGGTGCTATCTTAGCCTTGCGCCAATAGGAAATGAGCACGTACTTGTAAACGATCAGCCCTTTGTTTAATTGAACACAAGCTTCATGGCGTCGACCGTGTGGGCGCCGACACAGGAGGGGGTTCATAAGCTGGTCAGCCTACTCACTTTATACCAACAACCAGGGACTAATCAGAGCCAGGTCAGCGTTATAAAAGTGCACTTGCGCGCTCGAGCAGATGGGGCTGGTTTGCCGCCATCTCTGGTGTGGATCTTCACCATGCTTATCATCGCTGGGCATCCATCGGCGTGCAGATATTTCAACAACTTGAAGCATGTAGAGCGTATCCAGACTTCAACAACTACCTTGCGTTTATCTTTGCGACTGGAGAACAGCTGTCGGTGGAGGTAGGCAGCTGAAGGGTCGCTCGTGACGCGGTTAGGGTGCTGTTGCCCATCACACACGCTTGCCGACACCCAGGTACGCCAAAGCGCGGGGCTTTTGCTAAAGAACAACCTCAGCAAGCATTACAAGGATATCCCTGCGGAGTTTAAGGCGTACATAAAGGTTGGTGGGGCTCACGTTTGTGGCGGGAATCTGGGGTTCATAGGCACCATGGCTACTGCTCCAGGTTAACGGTCTGCCCATACGGGTGGGAGCGCCTTTGGTAGCGTTTGCTGCTCCCACGTCTTGCGGGGCATGGGGCAATGCAACAAACCTCAGTCCACCATACGCACACACTACGCCACTAGCCGACTGCACACATGGACGCCGGTCACCTGACACCCAAATGCCTTTCTACCACAGCCCTTTGAGCGCGCTTGCATGCAAACATCAACGCCTCCCCCGGCCGGCCACAACCCCAGGGCGCCCTTCTACCGCTGCTGGGCCATGCCAGTCGCGAGCTGCGGCACACCGCCGGCACCATCGCCTCCGTCATCGTGGGGCAGGGCAGCCTGGAGGAGTGGCCGGAGCTAGCAGCAGCCCTGCCGCGCTGCCTGCAGGCGGAGGACCCCAATGTGCTGGATGGCGCGCAGGACACCTTGTATAAGGTGCGGCGCAGCGACAGGGTGGTGGGGGGGCCGTTGCGGGGCGCGCTGGCGAGTCGTGGCCTTGTGCGCCAAGGGAACCTTAGCACTCTTCACTTGCGTCCGTGCCTCCCTTCATGTACCCCCCCTGCTCTGTCCCTCGCTCGCCGTGGCCATGCACCCCCGCTCAGATCCTGGAGGACCACCCGAGGCAAATAGAGACCCCGGTGGCCAGCGCGGGTGGCCGGCCCGCCAGCAGCCTGGTGGTGCCGCCGCTGCTGCGGCTGATGCAGTCGGCCGCGGAGGACGTACGGCGGCTGGCGGTGGCGTGCCTCAACCTCATGGCGCCGCACATGCCCAGCGGGCTGCAGGAAAACGTGGACAGGTGGGGCGCTGCTAGCTGCAGCTGTAGCGTCGGCCCAGGGGCGACGGTAGCAGAGCAGGGTGGAAGGGCCTGGCTGCTAGAGGCCGCGACAGGGAGGTTCGCAGCTGGAGTTCCGGGCCTGCTGCCTAGCGCTTGCAACGGAGCGTACATGGGGGGGCTGCTATGCCTCGCTAGCACGCGCTGGGGAGTGTGCTGCGCACCTACGTACCTCGGTCCTCACCCTTTCCGCGGCACAACCTCCCCCCGCCTCCATCAATGTAGACACCCTGCCCCCCAATCCCCATTCCCCTGCCCCCAACCCGCCCCACAGCTACCTGCAGGGCCTGTTCGCGCTGGCCAACGACGGCTCCAACCGCGTGCGCCAGGAGGTGGTGGGCGGGCTGGTGGTGGCGGTGTCCACCTGCTCCGAGCGGCTGGCGCCCTTCCTGCCGCAGCTGGTGGAGTACATGATCGGCGCCAACGAGCATTCCGACGGGGCGGTGGCGCTGGCGGCCGCGGAGTTCTGGACGGCCTACCTGGAGCTGCAGCTGGACCCGGAGCTGCTGCGGCCCGTGCTGCAGCGGCTCATACCCGTGCTGCTGAAGAACATGGTGGGAAGGGGGGTCAAAGACCATACCGAACCATAGGAAGCCACAGGTTGGGGGGAGGGCATGAGAAGTGAAGCACAGTCCCGGATGCCGACTGGTGGGAGGGAAGAAATGAAAAGTGATGCAACTGGTGGGAGGGGAGGAAGCTGAGGTGCAAGGTTTGGAAAGGGTGGGTGCCAGGGCGGGAGGAAAAGGAACGGTGTCGTACGCATTTGCCCTCTAAAGCAGCTGTAACGGTGTCGTCCCTGCCCTTGCTCCCCCCTCTTACCTGCCCCCCGCTGCCACAGGTGTTTGGTGAGTACGATGACGAGGTGTCGGAGGCGGAGGCGGCGGAGGGGGCGGCCACGCAGGCGGAGGACCGCGACCAGGACCTCAAGCCCTTCACGCAGCACCGGGCGAGGTGTGGCACGGGGTATGGGAGGGAACGGGAGGAGGCATGTGGGCAGCGGACAGCCTGCGGACAGCCTGGAAGCCCTGTGGTTACGGACAACAAGGTTGCTGCCTCGTTTGGGCTGAGGGTTACATAAGATTTACACTATAGGACGCGCATGTGCGCGAGTGTAGTCATCCACCCACCCTGCCGTGCCGTCGCCCAACGCGCAGAGAGCACGGCTCCGCTGCGGACAGCGGCGAGGGCAGCGAGGGCGCCGGGGAGGAGGGCAGCGGCGACGACGACGAGGAGGTGTTCAGCGCCTGGAACCTGCGCAAGTGCAGCGCGGAGGCGCTGGACGTGCTGTCCAACAGCTACGGAGACGACCTGCTGCCCGTGCTGCTGCCCATCGTGCAGCAGAGACTGCAGGTGCGTGGGGGGCCTAGGCCACCTAGGCAGGCAGGTGTGTGCGCCTGTAGGTGTGCGGGATGGTAATGCACGTGCGTCCCAACACAAGCTGCGTTCTAACACCCTACAGAGCTCCTGAATGTGGAAAGCAGCAGCGGGGCATCGTAGGGGCGTACCCCTTAGCGCATGCATGTACGGCAGCTTTCAGAATATCTTGTGCGAGCTTCTCCAAGTTCTGACTGCCACCTAGCCATGTCTCAGCCGCTGCATTGCCGCCTGGTACCGTATTAGTGCACTGGGGCGCTGTTCTTGTTCATACGGATGCCGGTCATGTGTTCCGTCCACCCGCAGGACGGCAACTGGCGTGCGCGCGAGTCCGCCATCCTGGCCCTGGGCGCAGTGAGCCACGGCTGCCACAACGGGTTGCAGCCCTTCATGGAGGGCATGGTGCACATGCTGCTGCCAGCGCTGCGGGACCCGCGACCCATGGTTCGCATCATCACCTGCTGGACGCTGGGGCGCTACTGCCACTGGCTGTTTGAGGGTGCGTGGAGGGGTGGCTGGGGCGGGAGCATGCTGGGGTAGACGCGACGCGTGAGCTGGAGGAGGATCGGATGAGAATACCTGGGCGCGCAGGCATGGTTAACTTGGTATCACCCTCAATTATCAAATTATCATCTTCCTGCCTGATACCTGCCCGCATGAGCCAAGCGCCCTGCTCCCCGCAACTCACTCCACATTCCCCTACCCCCTACCGCTCCCCAGACGTGGTGGCTCGCGGACCCGTGGGTCGGCCGCTGCTGGACCAGGTGGTGGGCGGCGTGCTGGGCGCCATGGGCGACAACAACAAGTTCGTGCAGGCGGCGGCGGTGAGCGCGCTGGCGGTGATTGTGGAGTCGGCGGAGGCGCACAACAACCCCGAGCAGCTGCTGGAGCCGTACACCAAGGTAGAGGCTCAGCGCTGCAGGGGGCTTGGGGGCTTCCAACCTTTTGCTGCTTCTGCCTGCATGCCTTACCCGGGCATCCGTAATCCCCGTTAGTACGAGATTGCAGCAATGCGCCCTTGACTTATTCGGGGTTAACCCAGGTTGGCCATCCACGTGAGGCATGGATTCCATTGCATGGGGTTGAGGACTGGTTCCAAGCCTTCCCATGGCATCGTGCCCCTGCCCCTGGCTGGGCCCCCAGGCCATACTCGAGTCGCTGGCTGCAGCCCTGTCCCGCTACACGCGACGTGGAGTGGCCGTCACGTACGACGCGCTCACATGTACGGCTCGGGTGCTGGGGCCGCGGATAGCCGACCCCGCGCTCGCCACCATCATCCTTGCGCCCCTAACGCGGAAATTCACAACGGCCAAGATATCGGATAAGGTAGGGCAACGCAGCATGCCCTGCACTGCGGCGTCTGGAGTTGGGTTGTTCCTCTTGGTTACCGGAAGAACCTTGTGCCACGTCACGCAGCAGGCCGGATGTACGGTTACCCAGCTGCTGCTGAGGCTCCAATCCCCGGATGATGTCCACCTGCTCACCTCTCACCCCTCCTCGCCAACCCCCCTATTCCGCACGCAGGACCTTCTTGCCGCGATGGAGTGCCTAGCCAACGTGACGCCCCACACCGGCCGCGCAGTGGAGCTCTACGCAAAGGCGTTGTACGACAGAGCCATCCTGCTGACCGCAGTCTACATGCAGGCGGGGCTGCGCAGCCGAGCCAGCGGTGGCGCCGGCGCTGCAGCAGCAGCCGCCGCCGCCGCGGCCGGGGCTCCCGGCAGCTTGGCGGCCATCATGGGCGCCTGGCCGGGCATGAACGGCAGCAGCGAGGTGGAGTACGACCCCACATTTATCGTACTGGCGTTGGACGTTATCAGCGGCCTGGTGCAGGGCCTGGGCGCCAGCATTGAGTCGCTGGTGGCGGCCAGCCCGCTGGTGCCGCTGCTGATGCAGTGCTGCCAGTGAGTGTGGGCGAGGGGAGTGGGTGGTGGGCAGTGCTGCGTGCGCAGGAGGTGTGGCATGGTTTGGCCATATAGTTGGATGGGAGCAGCGTATAAAGGAACCCTGATCCTTCATGCTGTTCTGTGAACGGAGCGAAGGCCACATGGGATTTGGAAGTCTGGATTCACAGTGAAACACATCTGTCCTCGACTCAAAAAGTTACATCCGCTCATGTTGCGAAGGCTGGAAGGCCGCCGCTGGGATTCGTTTGTCCCGCCTAGCCCATACACATCCCTCCGCCCCTTCCTCCTCTGCCCCATCCAGAGACGAGTCTCCGGACGTCCTGCAGAGCGCCTTTGCGCTGATCGGCGACCTGGCCGCCGCCTGCGTGGCGCACCTGCTGCCGGTGCTGGAGGCGCTGGTGGGCTGCTCGCTGGCGCTGCTGGAGCTGCCCCGCATCACGGACGCCAGCCTCTCCGCCGCCAACAACGCCTGCTGGTCGCTGGGGGAGGTGGTGATCAAGGTGGACGCGGAACGCGTTGCGCCGCATGCGGGTGGGTCGAATGGGTGAAAGGGGTGCAATGCGGGAGCTTTTTAGTGAGACTAACCGGTCGGCTTGTGGGCAAACAACAACTGCTGACAAGGGCCCACACGACGCGCTATTATGCTCAACAAAGTGCAACATTGGCCGTTTCCCACATCTGCCGTACTAATCCGTCCCTGAGCTTGAGCATCCTCTATCCTCGCACCAACACCTCATCCCCTCCGCAGAGGCGATTGCACACCGCATGACCTCCATCCTGTCCTACCCGGGCCGCATGCCGCCCTCCCTCATGGAGAACTGCTCCATCACGCTGGGCCGCGTGGGTTGGCGCTGCGCCGAGCAGCTGGCGCAGTACCTGGCGCACTTTGTGGGGCCGTGGTGCGGGCAGCTGCGCAACATCCGGGACGGCACGGAGAAGGAGCATGCGTTCCTGGGGCTGTGCAGGTGGGCAGCGGCGGAGGCGGAGGCGGGGGCTGCGGGATAAGAGTGGATATGATTTTAGACTTGCGGGTTGTGCAGCTGGTGCGGGGGATTAAGGGAAGAGCCTGTGGGTAAGTAATCGGTAGCTGCGTTGTCGCTCTCTTTCCGTAATGCCCGCTTTGGCATACAGCTCCGTAACATGATGTGCGCTGCTGCCTTCCTCGGCCTTGCCGCCTGCCCGCCATGCAGGCTTGTCCGCCTAAACCCGGAGGCGGCGCTGCCCGCGTTCCCCATGATGTGCATGGCCTTCGCTTCCTGGCGGCGAGTGGGCTGCGAGGGGCTGCGCAATGAGATGGCCGGTATCCTGCAGCTGTTCCACGCCAACCTGTCGGCCTCCGGTCGGTGGCAACAGGTGTACTCAGGAGTGAGCGAGCCTGTGCGCGGGAAGCTGGGTCAGATGTTTGGGCTAGGGTTTTAGTTTTATTGCCTTGAGTGGTATGGCTGTCAGCGTTACAGACAATACTTGACTTGTAGGGCCCTTTTGAGCAGTAGGGCATACGGAACAACATGAGTGTTCATTGTAGTTAGGTGTGTGTTCATCGTGTGGCAGGTTGATGGGAGTAGATGGGTAGAAGCCATGGGATGTCGCACGCGTCGGGGCCGGAGTTTGCCAGTAACCAGCTTTGGGCATGTTGCGTCGAGTATCACTGACAACGCGTTGGTGGCTAGTTTGCATGGTACTGAACGTGCATGCGTAGGCCGACATCTCTCTGCCAGGATAGTCCATGCCAAATGAGTTGTCTTTGAGATGGGAATATCAAAGACACAGGCAAAGGTTGGCCGCCGGTTGCAAGGCCGGGTGTTGCAGGTCTCACAACCTTCTGAGGCTACATGGTTGTGTTGGAGATTATGTGTTCGCGCCAGCGCATAGGTTAGATGGATATGGGCATGTAGATGGCGATATCGGCATTGTTTTACAAGTCGCTGCGAGTCGGCATTGGCGTCATTAGCGACGCGGCTGTGGGGTATGCCGCGTATGCGTCGTTCCTGCTGCGTCATTCCTTCACGCTTTTGCGCACCCGGACGTAACCCTGCAGTTGAGTTTAGGCCGTGCCCTCTTCGCATGCACTTTTCATGGCGTGATGGTGCTGCACACCCTCGCTTGCAGGCACACCAAGGAAAGGAAGACACAGTGTGTTGCTACGAGTGCCAGCCCTAGCGCAGCTCTGAGCATAGGCCGTCATAGATGTCACGTCTAAGCAGCAATAACGTTATAATGACGGGCAGGGAGTAAAGGTGACCATACTATGTGCGCATTCCTAGCGCGTGCATTTGTGTTTCTCATGCTAGACGCCAATCACCACTTGGCTCCACCACCTCATCACTAGGCGACCGGGCCATGTCATAAACGCCGTTGCTGTCGCAACAAGTAGTAACGCGGCCAAATAGTATTCCCTTGCCACAACCGCCCCACAGACGACATGGCTCTATCCGGAATGCAGCTTATGCAGGATGGTCTAGCGGGTAGATGCGCAAGTTACATGTGTCGTGTACCGGTAACGCTGGGCCTTGCGACAGCGCAATGGGCTGTACCAAATAGTTCATCACCAGGGAGGTAGGAAGCGTCACGGGGAGGCCCTTTGTTGTCGCACAGCTCTTAGGACTCTTGGCCTCCATAACCATTTCGGGTGGGCTTCCCCTTAACTTGGGTTTTCCAGGAGCGGTAACATACCCTCGACAGAATACAGGTCCCCTATCGTTAATAACGGTTGATACACAGAGCCTGGTTGATGACAACGGGAACTGGGTGCCGAATAACGCCTACTTTCGTTGGGTATAATGGCGCGTACGATTGAGACACCCAGCCTATCACACGCGGTCGTGTCATTTACAGATTGCAAATGTCCTCGTGCTGTGTAACCATGCTTGTGCAAAGAAGGCTTTTCGGCCGTACATCAGCGTTAATTACTCAAAGAAGAACCTTCCACAGCTCGCTCATCCATCAGTCTACACTTGAGTCAAAGCATCCATGATCGTTTGTCTAATGACCCCAGACTTGAAGCTGCTTAATAACTGTATCCCGGGGTAAACCTTGAAAGTGCCCTGCGGGGTGTATCACCTGTTAGCTAAATTAGTGCATATTGAACATTTAGACAAATGGACTCAGATAGGTGAGCTTTGGATCGCAAGGTTCTGTGACCCGCATGCCTCTTTTTTATCAAGCATTTTTGGCCGCAGCGATGATGAAAGGGCAGCAGGATACGTGCCGGTGCTTGCAGCGACGATGTCGCAGGCCGCTCGGGGTGTCAACTCTCCACAGCGGCCGGACACTGCTATTCTCCGCGATGGAGGTGGGGCTTGCTTGGGACCCCGCCTACGCCCGGCTTGTGGGTCTGCAGAATAATATATTTTCTTCCCTAATGGTTTTTATTTCCCTTCAGTCTCCTTGTACACAAATGAGCTGTTCACGGATGGCGATGTGCTCGGCGAGGGACCCAATGTCACCTCTCCAACAGGAGCAGCTGCTGCAGCAGCAGCACGGAAAGGACCATCCCTTGCAGCGAAGCGGCAGGAAAGATTGCAGGCTGGCACCCCTTACACGCCAAACTCACTCTACAAAAATACGTCATTGCGCTCTCAGTCACCAGCAACCTCCAGCATGAGAGGTGTGCCAGAATCGCCGTCCTTTCGGCCATCTAACTTGTCGAGCACAGGGATACCGGTGGCAGAAGCGGTGCCAAGCCCCTCACGCAGCAGCAACCCGGGTGGCGTTGGGCTGATCCATGGGCTTCGAGCGTCCTACGATCCGAACGAGGGAAATGAGGAAGTAGTAGCTCCATCGCGCTTTGCTGGTACAGAACGGCAAGGCGTAACAGCCGTGCGGACTGTGCCGCAGCTCGACCTCAACGACATGCCGACATTTCTACTTCAGCCGGGGCCGAAGAACGGGCCCGTGCAGTGCGTCATCGTACGGGACCGAGCTTCTGCTAAGTTGTTCCCGCGGTATGCGCTGTTCCTTGAAGAGGGCCGGCGCTTTATGCTTTCAGCACGTAAACGGAAAAAGCAGACGACAAGCAACTACGCCATTTCGCTGACGTACGACGACCATAACCGTGAAAGCGGCGCCTTCTTCGGAAAGGTCCGGTCAAACTTCGTTGGCACGGAGTTCACCATCTACGACAAGGGCTTGAAGGCCGGCAAGAAGGACAGCTCCGGCACGGACCCGGGCAGGCAGGAGCTGGGCGCGGTAACGTACCAATATAACGTGCTGGGCACCCGCGGGCCTAGAAAGATGATGGCGGCCATTCCTGCCGTTGACGGCAGCGGGCGGAGGCTGTTCCAAGCCACTGGCGAAGCGGACTGCATCCTCGAGCGGTAAGCTCTTTTGCGAGGGCAGGTGGGCTCAGTTGAGTTCAACGGACGCGGGGGGGGCCGATGGGGTTGCCTGGACTGGGCCTAACTGAATCATGCGGCCCCTCCCCAGGTTGAAGCACCGCCGGGGGCTGGACGAGCTGGTGGTAATGGGCAACAAGCCGCCGCGCTGGAACGACGAGGTGGGCTCGTGCAGGGAGTGGCCTTATTGGGGCTGCTCCAATGAATGGACTGCCAAACCTAGAAGGGCTGACCGGGGTACGGGTGTACGTGGCCTTTGAAATGCAAGGAATTTGCAATAGGGGTAGTAGGCTAAGTCTGGGCGTCCCACTGCGGAGTGCTTCCTTGCCATGGGAGACCGGTATTCTAAGGAGAGATTAGCTAGGACCTAGGGGAGGTACCACGTGTACTGATGAGCGAAGCCGCGTCTGTCCTGATCGTTTGTCTCCAGGTGCCCCCTTGCCACTACCAGACTCTGCTCTGCATTGCACTATGCTCGGTCCCACCGTGCGGCATAATGGCATGTCGTACGGGCTTACACCGTTCCTTGGAGGGTCGACCGATGTGCATTCCGCTGGTCCCCTCATCTATTGCAGCTGAACGCCTACTGCCTGAACTTCAACGGGCGGGTAACGGAGGCGTCGGTTAAGAACTTCCAGCTCGTCTCGGACGACAACCACAACCACGTGATCCTGCAGTTCGGCAAGGTGAGCTCATATGCGGGATTGGGCTCGGCAACGTTAGCGAGTTTGCATGGATGTTTATGGGCGTCAAGCGTTTGATACAGGGCCCTGGTGTGCCTAGTATGGGTGATTCATGATTTTAGACCGCTGGTGTCTCACTGAACCGATCACCGGGTAGTGCTATTAGGGATACGCGTACGGTACCCCTTCTCCTTTCAGTCAGTTAAATGTTTACTTTTTACCCTCTCCTTTCCTCGCAGGTGGGCAAGGACACGTTCACCATGGACTACCAGTGGCCCATCTCGGCCTTCCAGGCGTTCGCCATTTGCATGTCTTCGTTCGACAACAAGCTGGCGTGCGAGTGAGGCGTGAACTGCTGTGGGTTTTCCAATGACATAAACCGAGTGGGCAGGGAGAGCTGGCATTAAGCCAGGCGAGCATGTGTGGTGTTGTACATTTGTAGTGGTGGTGTACGGGCAGGGTTGTTGGGTTTCTGTTACGCACCATGTGCTAGCCATGATACGGCACGCAGGCATGTGCGCCAGAGGTTAACCATCATTGCATGACTTCGTTACGAGCTAACGGCAGCCCTGGCTGTGATATTGTCGAGGGAATGTTACCTGGGACTGCGCATGACGTTCATCTTGACACACACATATATAGACAGCTTGGACATGTATGAATGGTATGATCATCACCGATGACCCGATGGACGCCCGTATAAAGGATGGACATCTCATCCGGATGGGCGTCCGTATGATGGCCGGTTTTGCGGTTAGGAGCTGTTCGTGAATAGACTTGCGATGCGACGGTGTTTACGTGGACATAAGTGTATGAAATGTAAGTCGACTGCTAGTAGACATAAAATCTCGTTGGAATAATACCGGTTGAAAAGCCTCAAGTCACCATACTATGTCAGTGCCAAACAGGCGGTAAGCTTGCTCAGCGCCATCTATATCCCGACCAGTGATGTTGTTATGTAACTATAACAAAGGAATAATGCATTTGGATGTAGAACTTGGACGGACGAGGAAATCGGCATAAGCGGACACGAGCGCTTCGCCCTTGAGCTGGAGTTTGTACAATGCTTAGCAAATCCTCTATACATAAACTGTGAGCTGAAAGGGACAGACCATTGGCACAGGCCCTAGGGGTCGATGCTTAGCAGCAAACTGATCATTGTCGCAGGGCTGGCCACGAAACAGTACTTCGACAATCCGTCGTTCTTAAACTACCTGAAGTACCTGCAGTACTGGAAGCAGCCAGCCTATGCTAGCCATATTACGTAAGCTCCAGAGACGGCCGTCCATATTGCGAAAATTGAACTTGTAGCGGGGCCGTGCATTACATTGTTACATACTTTTGTGTGATGTATGAAGGGGGTGTAGACGGGATAAACGAGGGGGATGGGTTCGTGCAAAAACCCGTAGCAGGTGATGCCCCAAGTACCAAAGTTGCTGTTCCGGATCGCAGGTATCCGCACTGCCTCTTCTTCCTTGATCTGCTCCAGGATCCTGACTTCCGCTCCGCCATTAAGGACTTCTCATACGCGGAGCACATAAGGCAAGCGCAGGAAACGTTCTTCCGCACCTTCCACAGCAACCGGGTCGCAGAGGCTGCCGGGGCATCAAGTGATGCAGGCGGCGGGACCGGGGTATAAGCCCTTGCACCTGCGTTGCAGTCGAGTTCGATGGCAGGGCTACACCTAGGGCATTCCTGCTCCTCATAAAAGGCGAGCCCTCTGGTTGCCTATTGTTTAACATGAATAGCTCTGTTTTGGGGCTAGGCCTTGGTGGAATCTGTGGCTGGAAGCTACCGGTACGTCCTGGCGACTGTGAACTTTGCAGGGAACGTGCCAGTGCATGGTTTCAACTGCCGTAATGTTTTAGGGATTGCCATCCATGTGTAAGCGCGTCCGGGTTCTGTGGGCTCATTTGTCGTGAGGCCCCTATCAACAAGTGAGACCTATGAGTGCACAAGACGCAAAGCACAATTTGGGATTCGTCTGTGGGATGGTGCTAGCAAGCACGGAGTAGGCAGGGCAGAAGGAAAGGAAGGCAATGGCATGGTTTTAGGACCAAACACAACACACAATGCTGTCTCTGTGTGTTGCATCTATACTGAACGATTTTATGGCACGCTGTCGTTCAATTACATAGTGCCGTTTCCTTGGCCGAGTGACATAGTAACTAAACACCCCCATGGATTGAACAACACACCACGGGTAATGCGCACCCCATGTCACGGTTTTGCACGGTACGCCGTTGGGGCACCACACTATGTTGCCTGGTGCAGCCCCTTTTGGAGGCATCTTGCATGACGCCCAATAGTAATTCTGCGCTTTGTACAGAGTGGTTACGTACTTGGCTTCAGCCAGCCGTTATCATGATGCATCCTAGGATAGCGACCTAGTGAGGTTTCCTCGTTCGTTTGCCCACCAGACATCAGTGTTCAAGGTCATGTTTGCCGCGCTCACATACGGTAGACGGGCTCCCCATCGACTCTCCGTCGATGGCCTACCGTACAGTCCGGCGCCTAGTCAACAGTCACTGTAATACAACCCTGTACCGCACCGGTTCCGTGCATACCATCCCACGCACAGTTGTCTTCACACACGCAAGTCACTTCGCTCACGCTACAGCCTGGCTCTTCATTACGTTTGCCCGGATGCAGTCATCCAACCGTTCAAGCTGCTCTTGCGGCGTGTCATACTCGTGGGATACGTTGAAGAGGCGGTAGGCCTTGACAGCTCCGTCCTCCCCGCCGCAAACCACCACGGGGTAGCTGGGCGCGAAGAGCAGGCAGGACAGCTTCATGGGGGTCTTCTGGTGCATGACGGGTTTGACGGTGGACAGGGAGAAGTCCCAGATCTGCAAAGGAGCAAGGCAGCCGTACGGTGACGAACATACACATGACAACCCTAGATGTGACAACGGCCAGCCAACCACAAACCACACTGGGAGGCCTACGCACAATATCTCGCGCACATTTTGCAGTACCGGCTGTTCTTTCCGCACGGCGCTAGGTGCAAAGCATAATTTCCCCTTACGCTGTCTCTGCTTGCACGGCATAATCATGCATATCAACATAACTAAGCCCCGACAATAATGGTTCTGGTTGCAGCACCCACCTCCAGCCGCCCGCTCGCCGTCACGGAGCCGAAAACCGTTGAGTTGGTTTGGCACCACTGCACGTCGTTGATTTCCGTTGTGGACGCCTGGAACGTCAGCAACGGCGTGTCGCGGCCCTCCTGCCACAAGCGTATCGTCCAGTCGCCTGACGCGGACACAAACATGTCCCGCTTGAAAGGCGAGAACTGCACCTGGTACACAGGGCCCATGTGACCGCGGTACGACTCCAGGTACTGCTCACTGTACGATGTACTGCACTTGTGCAGCCAGCCATCCTCCGTAGCTGCAACGTAGATCCGCTCATCGCGCGCGGAAAAGTCGAACGCCATGCCGGACGTCAGGCGACTGATGAACGCGTCCTGCTGCTCTGCCACCGCTGCCGCTGCCTTGGCGCTGGTACCGTCCTTGGCGGTGGCGGCGGCGGCGCTGGATCCCGCGCCCCCTGCGCCGCGTCGGGCCATGCGCTTGAGCTTCATGAGGTCGGAGAACTCGAGGCCCTTTGCGATGGACCACTGCGTGACGCGGCCGTCTGTGGAGATGGAGACCAGCGGCTCGTCGCGCTCGGGGCCGTGGTCCAGCCACTTGACCTGGGGGGCGGGGTATTGCGGCGGGGAGGGGGGCAGCGGCGGGGCAGGCAGCGGTTGGGGTGTTGTAAGAGTCGTAGGAAGAGGGCGTGTTGACAAGGTTGGGTGGTACAAATGCGCATGCGCCCATGAGTAGCCCTTACCTTCCACACGGGGTCCGAGTGCTTGCCGCTGTGCACGTCGCTCTCCATGGAGGGCGTTCCCTGCCGCGACTTGATGTCGTAGATGGCAACCGTACCGTCGTACAGCCCGATGGCCAGCAGGTTGGGGCTGTACGTCGAAAAGTCCAATGCCGTCACGGCCGCCTTCACCTCGAACCACCACAGCGGGTGCTGCAGGTTCTTGAGCGACCAGAACGCCACCAGGCCGCGAGGCTCCGTGGGGCCGGTGCCGTCCGGGGCGGGCTGCGAGTTACCGGATGCGAAGGAGTAGGAGCCGTACCCCACCGCCAGCATGTCCGGACTGGCCTTGTTCCAGCCCATGCACGCGACGTTCTTGCCGGCCGTGAGCGGACACACCCAGTCCCACAGGTGCTCCATGCGGGGCGCGTCGTCACCCAGGTCCGCCAGCTCCTGAGCGGAGGGCGGGGGGGAGGTGCAGCATGGCGGGGGTATCGGTAAGTCAACTGAGCTGCGATGAGGCATGGACCGACTGGTGGGGAGAGAGGGGCCGTAGTCACCCGGCACGCATGGGAGGAGCGGATGCGTACCAACCTGCCCTGATCCCTTCCCGCACCCACACTGCCGCACCTGCAACAGCTCCTCAGGCCAGTTGCTCTCCGCCACACTCGCAGCGTAGCCAATCCTGCCTCCCCCGCCACCTCCGCCGCCGCCTCCTCCCTCCGCGCCCCCTCCGCCGCCTGCATGTGAGTGCCGTGCCGACCGCGGCTCCGCCCCTCCCAGGCTGCTGTGCGCCGTGTCCCGCATGGACATGGCCCGGGTGAAGGGCACACTGCGCTCGGAGGGCTGCCGGCTGAGGGTTCCGGGGCCGGAGGAAGTCGTACGCGGCCCATGTGCGGAGGAGCGCTCCCGGTTGAGGCTCTCCGCATGGCTGCGGCCGCCGTCCGAGGGAGCGGCGCTGAGGGGTCGTGCGTCGCGGGCGCTGGTGCCGCCGGCGTGGCTCATGCTGTCCGAGTCGCCGTCATCGCCCGCGAGGCCTCCCATGCCTGATGCGGCCCCGCGGAGTGAGGAGGAGGCCACGCTGGCTCGGACGCCGGGCAGGGGCTGGATGTCCCTGTACAGCAGCAGCTGCGGCAGGTAGTTGTTCTGGTTGATGGCGTAGTCCATGAGCATCAGCGCGGAGGGCAGCCCCGACAGCGCCAGCAGCGGGTCGGCGGGCTCGGGCGGCTGCGCGGAGGGCTCCATGGGCACTCCGTTGGGCAGGTTGGAGCTGAAGCCGGACATTGGGCCGCCCACACCTGGAAAGGGGCGGGGAGGGGAGTACCGAACCGGGAGGCGGGGGCGGGGGCCAGGAAAACGTGGGGCTTAGGTGGATGTCGGATGTGGCGTAGAGTTTGGGTAGAGCAGGCACAGAGTGGTGGCACGATTGGGCTGCTTGCAGGCGGGGAGATGCGCAGCGCGCATGCAGCGCCCTTCGTTTACATCCGCACGTCCTCTGAGCCCTACCAAGCTCCACTCATGCAGGACTATACAGCCCTGCTCAACACAGACACACACACACCTCCGCTTGCACATCCACTCCCACCCCAACCCCGCCCCCCGCCCGCCCACCCCCCTCCCCACCCACTTGACCACGCACTTGAGATGAAGCTGGGTCCGCTGTACATGGACGACTGCGCGCCCGCGTACACGGAGCTGCGCATGAGGGTGGACTGGCTGGTGCCGCCCGCCATGGTGCCGCGGCTGCTGCTGTCCGGCCCCTTGCCGGCGGCCGGATTGTACTTGGCCACGCTGCCCGCCATCTGGCTGATGGTGGGCATGGAGGCGGAGGCGACGGCGCGGGGGTCGTCCTCCGCGTCGGCGGCAGCCTGCGGGGGTGGGGCAAGGCGAGGGAGAAGGACAGTGGTGTGTGAGAGCCAGCTTGCAGGGAGGATGTGGGTATGGCGTGTGAAGCTGTGGACGCAGCGGGGTGTTGGCTGCGGCCCAGGCCCGTTCATACGCCCCCCTCCAAGCTCCCACCCACCTCGTCCAGCGCCCGGAATGTGTCCGAGATGTCCCACGCGGTCGCCTGCACCGCCACCGCGCGGGTGCTCATCACCGCCGACTGCACGTCGCGGCTCTTCTTCAGCGCCACCAGCGTCTGCGCCTCCGCATCCACGTACTTGTCGGTGGCCTAGGGGCGGGCAGGCGGGGCAGCCGGGCCGGGGGGGTGGTAGGATGGGGGCGTTACTGAGTGAAGGGGAGCCGGGGATTGAAGGCCTCTATCCATGCAGGCCCTGATACCCTACGCGCATGTCCGAGTCATGCGAGGGTTGTTGCCAATCCCCTGCTAAGCAGCTTGCCGCTACTCCACCCCTGCCCTCCACCCCTGCCCCAGGTCCCGCCTAGCTGGTTGCCATCTGAGCCTCCACACACCCCCGCCCACCTGCTTGGTGCTCAGCAGGTTGGCGTAGCGGCGGTTGGCCTCCTCAACCGCCTTCGCCTCCTCCGTGTCCATGGCCACCGTCACACCTGCGTCACACCAGCCGAGGGGGTAGGGGGCAAGGTGTGGAGACACACAATGAGTGGCTTGGCCTCGCCTCATGCGGCTCCATGGCGGCACCTCCTCGGCGGCACCACCAGCCCAGCAAGACAACCCCAACACAACCAGCAAGAGCAGTGCATGGCTTAGCGTGCCCTACGCCCCTACCCCTTCCGCTTCCCCTTATAGAAGCCACTACAGCGACCACCCGTTTCAGTTTCCCCCAGCAACCTACCCGCCGCCTGCCAGATGAATATGGTCTCCGTCTCGTGCAGTGTGAGGTACACGCTGCGCTCCAGGTCCCGCTCCGACAGCAGCACGGGGGGCGCCGGCGGCTCCTCCTCGCGAGAGCTGCGCCGCGCCGCGTCAGCGCCCGCGCCCGCCTCCTCCCCCAGCGTGGCCGCAATTGCCGCGTCCTCCGCCGCCTTGCGGTCGCGGTCCCGCTTCTCGGCTGTGTAGGAAGAACGCAGAGAATGGGGAAGAGAAGGTGAAGAAGGACCATGCGTGGGATGAGGCAAGGAGGGAGTGGGCGAGGGAGCTCGTGGCTCTAGGCGATTTGGATGAGGCGCGAGTGATAGACTGACGCCCCCCCAATCGTCAGTGTCTCATTGTTCCCCCCCCCAATGACAAGCAGCACCAGTACACAGCAAGCTCTCATAATCCAGTTACCGGTAGCTAGACCCCCGCTTACTAGTTCTCTCCCTTTTCACCTGGTCTCCCTTTGAACCGCCAGACAACCCCCAGACAGACAGCGGCTGCCTCACTCACTCTCGTAGTCGTACTCCGCCTCGCTCTTGGGCGTGTGGTTGCCGCTGTCCGCGTTGCTGTACCAGCCCGCCTTGGTGAAGGCGGTGGTGGACATGCGGTCCATGAAGAACTCCGAGACCTCGCTGTTGGGGGTGGTGGTGTCGCCCTGGGCGCCCTTGAGCACCGTGGGGTTGAGCGACAGCAGCGGCTTGGGCGTGCGGTCCACGCCATCGATCACCACCTGCCGGCGGTGGTGGCAGCGAGGGGGGTGGCAGCGGAGGGGGTCTATAGCAGTGGGCATGTGCTTCCGTGTGTGCTTCAGTGGGTTGGTTCATCAGGAGTCAGGCCTATGCTAGGGAGGATGGCTCCGTGTGTTTTTATTCTGTGTGCAAGCAGCCAAGTGGGGCACTGGTGTCCTTTGCGTCCGGTATAAGCGGAAGCGCAAGCTCATATGCGTGCGGAGGGATAACTAACTATGAGGCCTAGGCAAACCAACTCGCCGAGCCCACCGACCCCGACCCAGATTAGCTGGAGGGGGTAGGATTCGCGCTAACCGGGCGAGTGGCCACACGTGCAACTCCATAAACCCCGCCACATGTCCTTGCCTGCAGCCGCTCCGTCTCCCCGCCACCCTGGCTCCTGCTGGAGTGGCGCGTAGACTTGCGGAAACTCGAGCGGGTTTGTCCTAAAGGAGCATTAGCATGGCACCGATGGTTGCTCAAGTATTTACTGCGCGACCATAAGCAAGCTGCCGTTACATCTGCCTTCGCTCATAGAATCCAAGCCCTACCTGTGCTGCTAGCCCGCGGTGGTCCAGAGGTCCATCCTTGAGAGCTTTGCCGTGGCTTATAGCCCCCTGCCTGTTGACCTGTAACTGGCTTTTGGGGAAGCCCCGGCTTCGAAGAACTCCTTTGATCCGACATTTGCAACAATTAAAGCTAGCTAAGCCGCGTCACAGTATATGAATTTACTGAAAAAACTTAGCGCGCTCATCCTCTTGTCAAATTATCATTGTCGATAGAAAGAAACCAAAAATACATGCAGAAAACCTGCACTTCAGAGTTATGCCTTACCGTACGGTCACGACAAGTCCCCCATTCACAGCGCAGGCTGTGAAGGATACCTTTTTAGGATTCAGTAAACTTCAATATTTGGTTCACAGCTAGCTGCTTGCGCAAGTAGCTAGGGCTTGTTTGGTTGCGTTTGGCCTTCCATGCTCTCCATCCAACGCAACGCGTAGTCCTAAAGGCACTACTGCAATCCCGCCAGTGGCCCTTATGCCCTTACATAATACAGGCATAATGCGCTAGGAGACACCGTGTTGCTGCACTTGCATCAAGCCACCCATTCCTGCATATGTACCGTGGGTCATGGCCTCTTCCCAAGCAACCAGCTTCAACAAATACCCACACTGTGCTACCTGTGTGTCAGTGCGGTGATTGTGCAGGCAGATTTTATCCAGTAGACAGGGGTATTAGATAATTCCGTAGGATCGCATGCGCGTTAGCAAGACGGTTCGAATTAGAGCACCCCCAACTAATTTCGTACAAAGCGGCTACCTGACATCCGCCATTTCTGAGTTTTAGGGTTTTTGGGCAGCTGGGTACGTAGGACCGCGCAATGCCTTGCCCCAGCGCACCAAGTACAGCCCATGCAAGGTGCCTACCGGAATGCTCATGCAGAGTAAAAGAGGTGAAGGAGGCAGAGGTCTAACCCATCCTGCTGGACGGTGAAACACGGTCCAAAGCGCGCATCCCAATCTTACAATGTCAGCGTTTTGTGGATAGGTGCAAAACGTCGGCACTTTGCGCCATAAAAGGGCGGCATGCACAAGAGTAAATGCGTTGTGCACATGCGAGATCTTCACAAGAGCAGCCGTATCCATGAGCATGCAGCTATGGGTTGAACCGCTCAAATCAGAAGCTATAAAAGTACAGTCTTGAGTGGAAGAGGTGAGTAAGCAAGAGCAACAGTGTAAATCACTTCATAATCCTAACAAAACTCTCATAACTCCCACAGTTATTGCACTCGATGAAATAACTCTCGGCCCTCTTCGGCGCAACCCTCCGCCCACGCCAAACAACCAGCTCGTTAGCACCAGCATTATGGCATCCTTGCACGTCATTGTACAGCACACAACCCGTCAACGTGACATGCAATCCAACCAACATGGCGCCGTGTCAACTCAATGATACCCTTCTTGGGAGCAGCTACCATGGGAAAGTGGAGGGGGTTACAAATGCGGGCTGTTCTACGCTGAGTGGGGCTCAGTGTATCATTCATGCCATTAGCGCCTCTTCAACAAGCTGTCGCGTCTCTTCCGTGTGCTTTATTTTTGTCACGAGGACCTTTCCTAGCAGGCTGCTGGAGCCACTCCCCTTGCCGACACCGTGCAGCTCGAATGCGTGCTCGTCCACCAGTTGCGCCTCCACCACCCAGTCTGGCAGGTACGGCTTGCCTTTCACGAATTCCCCGTCCATCCGCTTTACAGCCACCGCTGGAAATCGTAGTTGGCCGTCTCCGGACGACGCCTAGGGACGGAAGGGGGTGGCACGAGGAATGAAAGTTCGCGGGATTAGAATTGCAACATACATTGGGGCGGTTGGATATGCGTTGAGCGATGATGCAAGGTGCTGTATCTGAGTACGGTACAGGTACACGGACGCGGGGACATAAGGCATGGTGTATGGGACGGGGACTACTCGGTAAAAGACACACCTAAGACATACCTGAAGGGTCCCTTGACAGCATAAAGCAAACCACTTGCCCTCCTCCACAAGTTGCTGGCCTGTAGGCGTGCTGATGACGGCGTACTCAGCAGGCCCCGACTCCTCTGCTGCTAGGCTGGACTGGCATGGAGCGGCAGCCGAGGCAGTCGAAGCTATCCGCGTCGCTAGTACACGACCTGTGCGCGCATAATTGCAGACAGAACTGTAAGGACTCTGAGTTGCTGAAGCACACGCAGGTACACGTCACACATGGCAGCCACTCAAATGCACGAAATATCGTTTATCAAGCCTTAGAGGCCAGTGCATTAAATATCGGACCTGTACATATGCGCCCCCACGAACGATGCTGAACACGGCCGCTTGTGCTGGGTACACTGAGGTTGCGGCTCTGAGACGAGGCCAGCATGACTCCCTAAGCTTGGGTAGCTGCTGTGGAACAGCGTAATCTGAAAGTTTTTGGAGGAAACTAAATTACACTTGTCTCGGGCCCTCGATTCCCAGCTTTAATTATGCGTCAATCCTGAGCTGAGGGCTCTAGGTTTCCCAAACTCTTGATTATGCGCACCAAAAGCTCCTTATAGATGCCCGTTCACATAGCATTGCCCGCAGTGAAAAGCTATGGCAGTAAGAGACTTACACCTCTGCCCAGAGATTTTGCCCGTACGAACGCAGGCCCACACATGTGGCTACCGACGCGGATCCGAAGGCAAATAGGTCCTCAGAATATCACGGAAGCCTCATTGACAACCCAGTGCACCACTGCCACAGCATGGGCGTGTGAATACCTGAGATGGACAGCTTAGTAACCAACATGTACCGGTACCGGTAAGCACCCAACAGTAAGCACGCAACATCCACCCTGCGCAGCTATATCTCCCTAATCATCTTTCCGACCCTGCTCAGTAATCCCGGAAGCGCGGCTTCATGGCCGTGATGTATGCCTTGCGCAGGCGGTGCTCCGCCCTGCTTCCGAATTTGACGTATGCATCCCGCTCCCGCCCCTTCTCCACGACGTGCTCCTTGCGCCTGCAATTACATGCAGCAGGGGCCCATGCGGATCGTAAGACAAGGTACCCGAGACGTCGGGTCACATGAAAAGGCAGCGGCTGTCTACGCCCCGCACTTCCATCCCAAGCCAGCGCTTTGCCGACATTTGCCGACACTTTTCCGACAACTCACCGCTTGAGGTGCTGCAGCGGTTGCGGCAGCTGCTCTTGTCCTGCAGCCGGCTGCGCCGCGGAGTCACCCGCGCCGGCGGAGGCCCGGCCGCAGCACTCCCAGTAGCGCAGCCCCGTCAGCTCGCACACCGCCGAGGCACTAGCCCACGGCAGCTTGTTCCGCAGCGGGCAGGCGCCAGTGTCACGCCGAGCCAGCGCCCTACCCAGCTCCTCCTCCGCCTCCACGCGCTTCATGTACTTCACGGCAGCGCGCTGCTCCTCGCCTGTCTTGGGCATGGGCTGCCCGAACTCCTTCGCGTAGCGGTAAAAGTGCTCGGACCGCTCACGTGTCTCCAGGAACTGCTGGATGCAGTCCTTGACCTGGGTGGGGGCAAGGCGTGGTTTGGGGACTTGGCGGATGCGGGTATGAGGACAGCCGGTTAAATGACCTGCTTTCCCCTTACAGTACTGAGGGCTGCTGCAGCCGTGCTTTCCTCCCCGTCCCTCTTCACTTCCTTGACTCACCTCCAGGTCAATGTATACTCCCGTCCGGTCAGCAATGGCCTCCAGCAACGCCCTGTCGCGGAGGATCTCCTCCCGCTTGGCCAGGATCAGGTCGCTCTCTTCCTTGGTGATCAAGCTGGAGGGAAGGTTACATGCACCGAGGAACAAGTTGCGCAAATTAAAAAAGCAGGCCACGGAAGAGAAGAAAAGGAGATCCAGGATGGCATGTGCTCCTTTATTAGCAACCCGGGAGGGTCGGGCGACCTTATTGTTTGCTGGTGTCAGGACAGCCATCGTCCTGGCTCACCTGCCTATCCGCTCGTGCTGCTGCAGGCGCAGGAATGTGACGCGGCGCGTGTCCTGAAAGGTAATGTAGTCGTAGTGATCGCGTGCCATGGGCGGTCGGCGGGGCCGCGGGGGAGCAGAGCCGCTCCGCAGCTTCTTGCAGTAGTCAACATAACCTATCGCATGGGAAGGCATGGCGCAGCCATGGGGCGTAAGGAAGAAGAATATAAGTACCACTAGTACCACTAGTACTGCAAACCAAAGGCTCCATAAGCCATCCGCATACATTGCCAACGAGGTGGACCTCCCCCAAGCGTCGACACACACCTTCCATAGTCATGTTCCGCAGCTCCTCCAGCTGCTTCATGTCCTCGGCGTCGGTCGTCGCACTGCCCTCGCTGCTGCTAGCACCAGAGGACGACGGGCTGACGGCCTTTGCACCCACGGCCGGCCCCAAGTCTTTGCCACCTGAAGAATCGCGGTAAAGCACCCCAAGGGTGGCGGCGGGTTTGGGGTGTGACGTGTGGGGCAAAGACGAAGCCCGCAGAAGACGGCACTTTACAGACCATGTTGGCAACATTTAGATAGGTCACCTGGAAACATGGTCCGCAACCACTTTGGGAGCGCAAACCCGCCAGATGCTGCACTCGATGATGGTGTACTTGCTGCAGATGCCTCTGCCGCCCCAGACGTCGTCACCGCTGTAGATGCTGCGCTGTAAGACCGATATGAAGGGCTACCAAAGCTCGCCGGCGCATAGCTTGGCCACCCAACAGGTTGATTGTCCGAGCTGCAAGATGAACCCGTGGCCACGTAGTTAATCGCAATGCAACCGCTGTTACTAAAAGTAATGGCCCTTGACGCAGCCGGAATCCAGCTGCTTGATCGGAACAACCATCCGGCAATCGGCTGCGCCATTTATCCTAACCTAAACACACGCAGCTACGATAAAAAGATTACCACTATCTGCTATTTATTTACAGGAATGTAACTGGTGGACATAAGTCGGATATGGTCGATAAGCACTGATGGGCGCAGAGACGCCCCAAACTACGCCCTGCTTAATGCTTGGCCTATGGACGCCAGTTTGGAGTCCTCAGACATTTTATCTGGCTCCCTGGAGTCATCGGACAACCCTCCTAAAATGACTAGTTATCGCAATTGCAAATACACCGAGGAGTATGTTATAACGTCATATAATAGTATCAATTGTCCTCTGCCTTCAAATAGGTGTGGTCGACATACTTACCGCATGCACAATGTGCCCAAGCAAACCTAAACGCCGTGCCTTTGTTACGCGCTAGCTGTTGTGGAATAAGGAGCTAGGCATATGAGATTTGTTGCTTTAGTATGTTGGCAAGTCACTGCTGAGCCAGTCGTAACTGGTTGCGATGGTTAGTTGTAGGTGGCCGCGGAAGCACCTTCCGGCGCTCACAAGGCACCTATTAAGAAGTTATTATCAATAACTATTGTTCTGTAGTTTGCCTGGCTGGTGGCTGTGTCGTGCGGCGAAGTTGTGAGTTGACTCCAGGGACCCTAATAAAATGTCTGAGGAGTCCCGTACGGAGTCCTTGGCCTATAGCAAGAAGTTACAGCAGTACAAGGGTGTGGTGAATGCACATTGTGTTGCAATAGTAACGAGATGGAATCCATGCACGGGTTGAAGTTCACAACGACAGACCGCAGATGACGAGATGAGTACTGCGCGGCTTTCACCATCTTGCTCAATGAACTATCGGCTACAGAACAGAGCATAGCAGTAACGCTAGAATTAGCAACAACACACGTCTATCATCATCTTTCGCTTGAGAGCCGACTTCGTCAACAATGGCAGCGTACAAGCAGGAGGCTGAAAGAATGCACCTCTTGCGGCGATTGCCCGGTCAGTCAAGCGTAGCCCAAGGCCTACACCTTAAGCCGCGGGAACAGTTGCAGGCGGAACACCACCGTCCGCCTCAGCTTACTCACACTCTCGTCCAGGTGGCTTTCGTTGTCACCAACGCTTGCCTTGATACACGGTCACAGACATGAAATGGGTATTATCTTTTGTCACAGAGACATTACTTTCCTGCGGAGGGGGCTATCCAAGATGGCGTTGGTGAGGAGATGGTTACGGACACGAAGAGCAGCAAGTTGGACGACAATCGGCTCTCGGAATACCATCGTCTAGTTCGGCGCCGGGCCGCCGCGACCAGCAAAGCGATTAAAGCAGAGCAGAACGCCAAGTCTATGGAGGTGAGGCCAAGGCAGAAGCGCTTTTGGAGCCTAGGCGTGTCTCTTCCGTTACGCCAAGCAAGTATCTGCACCTTGATTTGCAGGCAGAAGCCGCCCGCAATCGCCTACAAACTGCGAAGGATTACGGTGTGTTTTGGAGCGCGGTAGCACCACAGATACATGCACGGGCGAGCAAGCGTGAGGTACGCCTGTCAGGTCATGCATCGTGTCATATTCAGGCAAGAGAGCCTTTGAAGTCGGAGGCAGTAGCACCCAAACCGGTATCGACGGGGGCAGCAACAGGGCAGGGGCCAGCAGCGAAGAAGGCAGCAGCTCCGATGGCGTCTGGGTTAAAGGAGCTAACGCTGCCTGAGCCAGCTAAGCCAGCGCCGCCAAAGGGCATGGCATCGGCTGAGGAGGCACTGGTGACACTTTCGACCCCAATTCATCCGGACGAGGCGGGCGAGGAAGGGTCAGAGCAAAGGAACACCACCGGGGTGCAGCAGGCTCTGTCTACCGCCAGTCTTCCCCATGGTAAGCAGTGCGCCATGCACACAGCATAGATGCCTGGTTACATTCTGTTAATACTATGGCTATTTTGGCTTACTACCCCAGGCGAACAGGATGGGCACCGAGCGCATGCCGACCCTGGCGCTGAGGTGCAATCGCCCGACACTGCTGCGGCCGTGCCGGTGCTGCCCGCCAGCCGTGCCGCCCGGCAACGGCTCCTCATGTACTGCAGCACCTCGGACTTCAAGTCAGCCGGCGCCCAGGGGCCAGCGGCCTCCGCTTGGCCTGCCGAGTACCGCCCCGCGACCGCCATGCCCCTCCATCCGGAAGTGCTCGACCCCCAACCGCCGGTGATGAAAGCCAGGTGTGTGACCTGGCCTTTGTCGTTGTGAGCAGTCTAAGAAGGTTTCGTCTGCATTTCCGTTGTTGGTTGCGTGACGCGCTGTCCTGGCGCTTCCTTTTTGGGCAGGGCACTGAGTGCCAATAGCATGTGCAACGACGTGTTGCTCACATTCTGCACGTATCCTGGACCCGTGGCCACAACCCTTTTGCGCCCCAGGGTTCTGCAGCCGGTCAACGGATCCGCCGGCAGCCCACCCCCAGCCAAACTACACAAAGGGAAGCCGCTGCCCGTTGCAATCTCCGTCAAGGATGACGTCGGCCTTGCGCGAGTCTCCCGCAAGGTGGGTACAGCCTAGCCGCATGACTCCACTTCAATGCCATCCTACGGTCAGAGGCAGGGATACCGGTAGAGGATGTCTTCACTCGTTCCACAGCAACGCTTGCAAGCATCACCTTGCTCGCACTTAATAGTGCGATGCGGTGGTACTTCTGTCCTTTGCGCTACCTCCACGACTCTTGGAAGGCTTTCTGTTTTCCGTTGCAATCCTGCGCCCTGCTCTTCCTGGTGCCCCGCGCGCAGATTGCCGACCTGGGCGGCAAGCTGGTGCTGCCGCGCCTGTGCGCCTGCCCCAACAGCGCCAACCCATGCGACCCCAACTACGTCACCAAGTGCGCGCGCAACTGCCCGCTGTACATGCAGCCCGCACGCTACGAGGCGCTGTTTACGGCAATGCTGCGGGCTGCAGACGTCATCTGATGTCCGGGGCATGGGACGATGAAGCTAGTGCGATGCAGGGCTGTCATGCGTGTCTGTCCCGTCCAGACAGGAGGCCAGGACACCCTCTTGTCTCCTTCTTGGGAGTTGTTGAACCAGGGTGCTGGCACGTTAGGCGGAAGAAGAAGTGATTGCACAGTTGCTCTACTCAACCTACATGCAATTCGTGTCAACGGTGGACGTGTACATGTCGCTGCGCTGCTGAATTGACGTTGTGCGGCTGCATTTGTAGGAGAGATTGGGTTAAGCACGCTTGTGAATGCATGTGGTCTCAAACTCAGCACGTACCTGGGTGATGTGGGGTAAGGTTACTCATTCCGAAGCCAACTCCTTGCTAAGTTACAAGATGCCACCATACCACACAACTGATTACTACTACCGCAGTAGGAGTCGAGGGACTACCTGCTACTTCGGGCCCCCTCAGGTAGTTGAAAGACACAGCCAGCACCCGGGAGGTGCACCGGCAGACTGGCTTGCACGGCGTCAGCGGACGGCAGGAAATAGAATGCTCAGCAACATGTATTGTAATCAAAGATCTGCAGCTTGTCGTCATAATATCATAAAGCACACAATGCGATCTCTCTTTCCTCTTCTCCATGACATGCGGCAGGTGAGGCGCCGATGTACAAATGCGCCAGGGCTTCCCCGAAATACATCTCGTACATCAGAACACACCAGTAGACGCCGAGAACTCCTACTCGGTTTCACTCAGTTCGAGTAGGTGAAATGGTATACTCTCTCGTCACAATTCATTCTCTCTCTTTAAAATAATATCAGAATCGACATAGTGAACATAGGCAGCCCCCGGCTTCACCCTCTCTCCCCTCAGCCAGGGTTTTGTGCACCAGCATCCACGGCAAAGGGAAGAAAACACCCTCAGGAAATATAAGATACTGCAGCAACGTGAAATATAGCTGCTATCACTCTTCGATCTTCGCGCACTTTAGCACACGCTCGTCAAGTTGTGGTCTAGTAGCGTCAAACGCCGCGGCCGTCGTATGCCTGATATTGAAAATTGGCTACGCAGCAGTGTCTTCACTTACACACGCACACGCGTACATACCCCCTCTCGCATAAGAACTTAGGCACCCATGGGCTCAGCAACTCGCACATGCATGCATGTTCTGACTCACAAGGCAGGACCAGTCAAAATACATTAGCCACCATTTACACACTGCTTCGCGTCCTTGCATCCAACCGCCCTGAGTCATGCATGCACCTATAAGGTACAGGGAGCACCTCCCTAACACCGGAGCAGCATTGACTATGCCAGCACCCAGTACCCGTATACTCTCCAGGTCGCCTATCAACGACCACCGGAGTACGCAGCAGCAGCAGCTTGCAGCGCGTACCCAGCATAGTTGTTGGACGGTTGGTTACCGTACGAGGGCCACAACGACCAAGACGGCCCCGATCCCATCCCAGATGGCAGGCCGCCTGCCCCCATCCAACCAGCAGCACTCAGATCGCAGCCGCCGTTAGCCGCAGAGGCTGCTGCATGTGCCTGTTGAAGCATGTGTGCGGCCGCCATGGATCCGCCCATGACACCACCTCCGAAACCGCCCGCGGCGTTGGCAGCAGCGACCATGGCAGCTGCGGAAGAGGACTGCTGCGCTTGCCCGGCTGCGGCCTGGATATGCATCTTGTTGCCCCCGCTCGCGGCTGCAGCTGCCAGAGTCAGCCAGTCTGCTGCACCGCCCACACCCGAGTTGCCCACTGCCGCAGTCGGCTGGTGCTGCATGAGGCACGCGGCGGTGGAGGAGCTGAGTGACTGCGACTGCAGCGCCGCCGCCGCCACCGCCGCAGGAGACGACAGCACGCCAGGCAGCCCGGACCCTCCCTGCAGCCAGCCGCCCATGCCGCTCAGGCCCGCGGCCTGATGCAGCAGCGCAGAGCAGTGTGCGCTGTCCAGCGCCGCTGCCGCCGCCGCGGGACCTGCATGGTGCTGCCCCAGTCCATGCAGCAGCGAGTGCTGCGCGCCTAGGGCTGCCGCCGTAGCGATGCTGTTGCTCTGCGGCATCACCAGGCCGTTGAGCTGGTACAGCGCCTCCTGCTGCTGCTGCAGCTGCTGGTGCGCCAAGGCGGACTGCTGCAGCTGTTGCTGGTGCTGCTGCAGCGCCAGCTGGAGTTGCTGTCGAGCGTGGCTTTGCGCGTGTGCGACCTCCGCGGTGGATCGTCCGCTGCCGTCTTGCTTGCCGAGCAGCGGGTGCAGCACCCCGCTGCCTAGGGAGGCGCTGGGTGCAGCGCCGGGGCCCATCACTCCCGCCAGAGTGGCCATGCTGGGATGCAGACCCAGGCTGGCGATCTGGGTTGTGCTGAAGGGCGAGCTGGCCGCACCGCTCACCACAGTCCCCAGGCAGCTGCTGCTGCTGCCTTTGAGGGGACCCATTCCGCTGCAAACTGTGCCCTCCGCCTCCATCTTCAGGCGGATGCGGCGGCCGGCTTGCGCGCAGATCTCCGTGCCGTCGACGCCGCCTTCGTTCGACACCGAACCGCCCCGCTGAAGCTGCGGAGGTGAGGGCTGCTGAGAAGATTGCGAGTTGAGCTGCTGGGGCGAGGAAAGCTGTTGCTGCTGATGCTGATGCTGCTGCGGCGGCGCCGTACAAGACGGTGGCGGGGAGACCGAGCGCGCAGTGGACTGCTGCTTCAACGGCTGCACGAGCGTGCTTATTGACAACACGTCCAGGTTGCTGTGGTGGCCGCCCACTAGCAACCGGGCATCCAGCCCAGCCAGCTGCGGCTGCCCGGACAGCGCCAGACTGGGGGCGGCTCCGGCTGTCCCGCGCTGCGCCTGCAGGTGGTCTAGGAGCGCCAGACTGCCGCCTAGGTCGGCTGGCAGGTTGCTGCCGCCTGCCCACTGGTGGCCCTGGAGCGCCGGCATGCCAGATAGCCTCACTCCCGTCATGCTGCTGTGCGCACCGAGGAAGGGCGGATTTGCGTAGCCAGACGAGGCCGCAGCGTGGCCACTTGCCAAGAGGCCGGGCGGAGGAGACGAAGTAAGCAGGGCCGGGCTAAGGCCACTGACAGGCAGGCCAAATTGCGCTGCTGCTGAGAGGTGGTCGGCTAGGGATGCGCTGTCGCGTTGCTCCCGACCGATGGTCTTGCTCTTGCTCTTCCGTCGCCCGGAACCCGGCGCGATGTTCCTTAACGTGCCGCCCGCGGTCCAATATCGTTGGCAGGACTGCGCAAGGGCGCAATTTATATTATCAAATGGGAAGAGAATACTTGTTCGCTGTTGGCGCTTGCTTCAGAGATAACGGTGCCAACAATTGCCAAGCGACTAGCTTATAGCAACGCCAGAAGTAACCGCATACCTTGCAGTAAAATCGCGGCTGCTTCACATTGTAATTATTATAGTAACAGAACTTGGTGTCCATGCTGTTGCAGCGCGGACAGGCCCGTGGTGAAGACGGCCTGCAAGCAACAACTCGGGCTGTGGGAGTGGGGACCTGCGGTTCGAATCCATGCGCGCCAGAACCGACTCTATGGAAAAAGGATCAGGACAGAGCACACAACGCGACGCTTCCTCACCGTGGAAGCTTTGCTCGGTGACCGTCCGCGGGGCCTTCCTTGGCCCCATGTTCGTCCTCCTCAGCGCTCGATTGCGACTCTTGAAGTTGCCTGGAGCGCTTTGGCGTTCCAGAGCATTGATTTGAAGTTGCGCGTTGGCGCTCTGGGCTCGTCGAGGCCCGGTCGACGGACCGTCGCTTATCCTCGGCTCGGTCCTCGTTAAGGTCAGCAGCAACACCTGCAGCCCAGTCTTCCAGCTGGCCAGAAGAGCTGATTGCCTCCTCACTACCACCTTCCATCCGTCTGTAAAAGCGGAGTAAGGCGTTCAACAACTACCATCCGGACGCGCTTTGTACCGTTAAGCCTTTACCGCACTTACATGTGGCCAAGACCGCAAAGCCGGGGCAAGCCTACCGTGTATTATATATATTGAACACAGCGCGCCCGGCGCCGTTTGCAGCGGTGCGCCAGGGCGACGCGCCGCCTGACTTTCAGTCGCTGTGTTGGACTCTCACTAGAACAAAGATCTTTGCGCAGCGATGCATACCACGTTCAACCCTTTGCACCTCATCACACACCTAATTGTCCGAGGGGGAACATAAGCGCGTTCATTAAAGTACGACACAGCGCTACCTCAGCCCAAGGCTTCGATGGGCATAACAGCAGTAATACACGGCGAGTGGCCTTAACTTTGGCTGGGGATTTTTGATGGATTAACGGCGTTGAAAACACGTTAAAGGGGACCTTCACGCGTTTACTGCTTGTACGTTTTAAAGTCCGGCCAACTTGTTAAATGCTCCTGTTACCTGTTCCCCCTCACAGTTGCTTACAAGTACTATGCCCAACACTCTTTGCGTTTGCGCAAGAAACTCTTGCAGCGAATGAGCAACAAACCCTTGGACAACGGGCGTAATTGAGGCATGCATACCACGGGCTCAAGCAGTTTGCTCACCCACCTGCTGCCGGAAATGGCAGCCATCCTAAACTCCCCCCTTGCCGATTGGGTTGCCTGCTACCTAAGGCCCAGGCTACATATGGTTACTGAACAGCCGAGTTACTGCAGCCAAACGCTGCACAGGAGCAAGAGCCTACGCCAACCCTGCAGCATCAACCCCGCGAAGCCGGCCTACGGCCTACAAGCCCAACAGCCAACAACTTGTTTCGGTGTTTTGCCCAAACACCGAACCCACAAGCCCCCATCTCCCCAACTGCGCTATACCCAGCACACGGAGCCACTTAGCCCCACAGCGCCGCAAAACAAGTCAACACCCGCTGACCTCCCTCATTTCTTGGCGGCCGCCTTACCCCCGCCGCGCCCGCCACCGCGACCCCCCGCACCCCCCCGGCCACCCCCACCCGCCTTTGCGGCCCCGCCTGCACTGCTGCCGCGCCCGCCGCCCCCCTTCTTCCCCTTGGCCCCCTTGCCCTCGTCCTGCAGCTGCACCACCAGGCCGCCCTGCGCCAGCCGCCGAGCCAGTGTCTCTGGGTCCACCTCCTCGTCCTCCTCCGCCGCCTCGCCCTCGCCCTCGCCTGCGCCCTTCTGAGTCGGCTTGGCCTCCTGGGGTGGCGAGGAACGGATGGGAAGTAGTCACGCGGGGAAGTAGTGCTGGGACGCTGGGACTCCGAGACGCAAGAGAAGCACAAAAGAGGGACAGTGTCGTACCTGCCATGCGGCTCTAGTGTCGTCGTCATGTTGGCAGGGGTAACCCGCCAGCGAGCAGCACGGGAACGCCAGCCCCCCGTTGTGCCTGACCCAACCCAACCCGGACTCGCACGCTGGCCCGCGGAACAACAACCTCTCCGCCCCATGTCCCACGCTGATTACTATCTGCTCCCTGAGAGCCCCAAGTTCGCGCAGTTCGTGCTATACTCCTTATGCACTTATTAAAGGCTATCAGCAGCCAAAGACGTACCTCTCCTTCGCCTCCCTCCCCTCCGAGCTCCTCTTCGTCGTCCTCCGCCGCGGCCTTCCGCCCCTTGGCCTTCCCCTTGCCCGCTCCACGCCCCAGCTTCACCTCCTCCACTTGCGCGTTGCAGCGGGCGGCCGGCAGCGTGGCGTTCAGGCTCCTGCGGGCGCCAGGTGTGTGTGTGGGGGGGGGGGCGGCCACCACACGGGGTGCTCAGGGTGGGGAGAAAACTGAAACAGCTCGTGCAGCTGTTAGCAGGTTGTCGTACAGCTGCAATTTCCTCTCTCCGGCGAAAGAACATTTAACAGTAGTAGTTTAATGAGAGTTATGGTTTTGAAACAATTGATGTCTTTATCCTCGTCTTCTAGCTTGGTACGCTTGACTCTTGACGCTGCCACACGGGGCCACAGGGCAGGCAAGGAAGGCAAAGAGCGGCATGTTGGGTGGCTTTGCAACGCGACATCGGGATTCACACATCTCGCTGGCTCGCTGGGCCGCACCGCACCGCACCGCATGCCCCATTCCTCTCCAGCCCCGCCGGCCGCACCTGGTGAACGCTGCCTTGACCTTTGTGGGCACCTCCTTGTAGGGGTCCTCCGCCCAGGCCGCCTTGCTCTTGAAGGACGTCACGTCCAGGATGTAGTCCAGCTGCTCCCTGAGGGCGGGGGGGGAGGGGGCAGGGAGGGGAGGGGAAGCGAGGGGAGAGAGGGCAGGACTGGTGGGGCGCAGGCAGCAGGGGGCCGCAGGACGACAGAAGCGTCGGGGATGGAGGGCAGCAAAGAGTCAACCCGGGGGTTGCTAGCCGTTCCCTTCCTGTCCCCCCCACCCGCCCACCTGTCAATGCAGTACTCATGCATCAGCTCCACCACCGCCGGCACCGCCGCCTCCTGCTGCGCTGCCAGCGGGCGCGCCAGCAGGTGCCGCAGCGCGCTGGCGTACTCCAGCCGCACCGCACTGCGCGCGGAGGAGACGTGGCCCGAGGCGGCCAGCGTGGTGGACAGCTCGCCCAGCAGCCGCCGCTGCTTGTTGCCGCTGGAGTAGCTGCCCAGCCAGGCGGTGAACCTGGAGGCGGGCGGGAGGGCGGGGGGGCGGGGGCAACGTGTGTGTTAAGAAAGTTGGCCGCTGGCAACGTGTGTTAGACACACTGGCAACGTGTGTGTATGGGGATGCTGGAGGCGGGGGGGGCCGGGGGGTACGAGGTAGCGGGTGCGCCAAGCGCAGTCGCCCGGAGTGACCTGCTGCCGGGGAGTTAGGAAGAGGTGGGAGTGCAGGGAGAAGACATGGAGAAGACAGGGGTTGGGTTGCATGGGAGCCAGCGGCACCGTACCTGGGGAAGTTCATCTCGGTGGGGTAGAGCCCGAATATTTCCCGCGGTCCGCGCATGTATGCGGCGGGCAGCAGGCAGCTCATGACGGCGGCGAAGGGCATGAGGCCCCAGTTCTGGCTGCGGCGCAGGGTGTTGTTCACCACGTCACCGAAGGAGATGCTGTCGGCCGCCTTGGCGATGGCGCGCAGCCGGGAGGCGGGGTCGGCTGCGTTGGGAAGTGGGTGAGGGTGCAGGGCATGTGGAGGGAGGGTGTGCTGAGGGTGCGGGCAGGTACGTGTGGAGACCCCATAACCCTCAAGTCCTGCTGAGTTCCCCTTAGCCCAACCCGAGTCCCCCTCAAGAGGCTCCCCCCTTGCGCGCTCCATCCCCTGCCTTTCCCCCCTCTCACGTGCGATGGTGGGCCGGTGGTTGATGTAGTTTTCCTGCACCAGCAGCGGCACCAGGTCGCTGTCCGCGAACACCAGCTCCATGCGCTCGCCCATGCTGAGCAGCGCGGCGGGCGGGTCCAGCAGGCGGCGGGCGCACTCGAAGGGGCTCATGTCGCTGTCCTTGCTGGCGCCCATCTTGCCCTTCACCTGCGCGGGACGAGGGGAGGGGGGGAGGAGGAGGAGGGGGGGAGAGGGGTGGGTCAAACGCAGGGGCCCCATTGAAGCCGCCTATTACTGCCTTCTACCCCCCCCCCTCCCAATGCGTGCAAGCTGTGCCCCTGCGGCCTCACAGCCGCACCCGCACATGCTACTTCGGCCACACCCCCATGCGCCACCCCTCCGTGCGCCTCCTCCCCCCACCCACCCCCCTTCGCACCCCTCACCTCGTCGTACGTGAGTGCGCGGGTGCGCAGTCGCACCATCTGCAGCTGCCCCAGGATGAGGCGCAGGTCGCCCCCCGCACCCGTCACCAGGGCGTCCATGGTGGCCTGGGGGCAGGGGCGGCAGGTTGGGCGGAGGGGAAGGACAGGTTGGGCGGAGGACAGGTTGGGGGGAGGGCAAGTTGGGGGAGGGGAGGTTGGGTAGGAAGGAGGGCAGGTTGGGGCTTGTGGTGGTGGGCCCAAGAGGTCCGAGCATGGTGAGGGCCGAGGGCGGGTGCAAGGCGAGATACACGTGCCTCTCAGGAGGGAGCACAAGCCGGCCCCGTCCAACACCGGGACCCGTTCGGGAGCATTGCTGCTGCTGGCGGCGTAACCGGCCCTCACCCCCACGAGACATGAGGCCCCTGCAAAGCTTCTGCACACCCTACCCCGATCCCCGCAGACGCACCTGGTTGACCTGCAGCCCCTCCTTCTGGCAGATGTCGCTCATGCGCTTGGAGATTTGCTGCACGGTGGGCTTTCGGAACTCGAGCTCCATGCAGTGGTTGCGCAGCGAGCGCAGCTTCTGGTTGTACTTGTCGTTGCAGATGCAGATGATGGGGATCTTGGAGCGCTTGATGGTGTCGATCAGGTCCTGGATGCCGCCGCGGTCGCCGCCTGGGGAGGTGAGAGGAAAAAATACCGGTAAGTGAAAGTGAAGCAACTGGAGTCCCAAACTCATGCAGTGAGTACCCCAGCATGCTCCCTCTCCCCCTCGCCCTGCCTAATCACACGGTCAGCTCTCCTCTTCCGCCCCTCCCCTCCAACCTCCCCTCCCTTCCACTCGTGTTTCCATCCAACCTGAGCCTGTCGTCTGGTTTTCATTCTCATTCAACGCATGGGGAATCCTTCTTTCCCCTCCCCCCACCCCCCACCTGACATGCCGTCCACCTCGTCCATGATGAGCAGCTGCTTGCGCGGCGCCCCCCCTCCCGCGCCCCCTCCCATCAGCCCCAGCGGCAGTGTGGTGTTGGACACCATCTCCTTGATCACGTTGGACTGCTTGCCCGCAATGCCCTCCGACACCTTGCTGCTCTTGTTGCGGGTGTCGCTGGCGTTCATCTCCACCACCTCGTAGCTGGGGGGTGGGGGGGGGGGTCAAAGAGCATACCAATACCATAGGAAACTAGCAAACCACAAGTTAGGGCAGGTTAGTGCATAGGAAATGAGAAGTTAGGGCAGAGCAGTGGGTGAGAGGGGGCAGTGGGGGAAAATAAGGTAACTGGGGAGGGGCGTGGCTTACATCCGGGGCCAAGGGATGGATGGACAGGGGAAGAGGGCGGCTGGGTGTGTTGGTGAGGCCAGGTAAAAGAGAGGCTTGCGAGGAGGGAGAAGGAACACGCGTCGAAAGACGGCAGCGGGAGTTGCGCCATGGTAGCAGGCAGCAGACAACCCAACCAAGCGAGCCGCGAGTCCTCCAAGTCCTCCAAGCCGACACCCCATCAAGCGCCGCTCCACCGCCCCCCGCCCTCCCCCGCCCCTCAACCCCCTCCGCCCCTCACCCCGTCTCCCGCGCAATGATGTGCGCGGAGCTGGTCTTGCCGATGCCGGGCGGGCCGCTCATCAGCGCCGCCTTCTTGGAGAGGTCCTTGGGCTTGGAGCCGCCGCCCTTGGCAGCGGGCGCCGCACCGCCGCGCAGGTGCACCTGGGCGGGAGGGGACACAGGAGGGGGCAGAGGAAGGGGCACAGGAGGGGGCAGAGGAGGGGGCACAGGAAGGGGCAGAGGAAGAAACGAACCGTGAGGATATGAGGCGGCACAGGAGGGAGGTGTGGGCGCACAGCTAACATGGGAGCTGCTACCGAGCCACGCAGTGATGTGTTCCGGTGTCTTGCCGCTTCCCCCGCTCCCAGACAGCCGCACCGCCAGCAACAACCTCCCGCCACGTAGCACCTCCGGACAGCACCCCTACTAGGCCCTTCCGCACATGTACGTCACTAAACCCTTCCTCCCCTGCTTCCCGTCCCCTGCCCCCCCTATGGTTTGGTATGGTCCATGCCGCCCCTCCCTTCCCTCACCTGCTTTCCTCCTTACCCCCTCCCTCACCTGCTCCCACGACGCCAGCCACTGCTTCAGGTTGGCCACCAGCGTGTTGTTGCCCACCAGCTCCGCGCTGCTGCGGGGCTTGTACCTGTCCACCCACAGCTGGTTCAGACCGCCGCCACCGCCAGCCCCCCTGGCAGCGGCACCAGCAGCAGCAGCAGCACTCCCGGGGGCTGCAGCGGCAGTGCCCCGGTGCCCGCTGGGCCCCGCCCCTCCGGCGGCCGGGCCGGTGGAGCTGAAGAAGTTGGAGGAGGGGATGCTGGCGGGGCCGGCGGCGGCGGCGGCTCCGCGTGCTGCGCCTCCTGCGCCGGCGGGGGCCGCGGCGGCAGCAGGCTGTGAGGGGGGCTGCTGCTGGTCGGAGGAGGGCGCGAAGGGCGCACTGGCGCGGATGAGTGAGAAGAGGCCGTCCTCGTCTATGATCTTGGTGCCGTGCTGCTTGGCCTGGGGGGCACGGTGGGGGACGTGGAAGGGGAGGAGGAGGGTATGGAGGCACGGAGGGCGAGGGTGAGCAAGGGAGGCGAAGTCCCGCCCTTACTAGGGTACCGCTACTGGGCAGGACAGGACAGCATGGCCAGACGCGCCACGCAGCACCGACAACCCACCACACAAGCACACCACTCCCTCCCCAGACCTTGGGAGATCCAACCTAGCCGCGCCCCACCCTTCACCCCCCTCCGCTCCCGCCCCGCCTCCCAGCCCCCCTCCCGCCCCACCGTGCGGTACTTGCTGCGGCCGCAGTTGTGCCCCGCCACCAGGAACGCGGTGCGGCCGGACACGCTTTGCGTCACCTTGCCGCCGTGCCGCTTGATCAGGTCCTCCGCGTCCGGCCGCATCAGGCTGTCCAGCACGCCGGTGATCACAAAGGTGCGGCCGGTCAGGCAGTCGGGGTGGCCGCGGGGGGCCTCCTGCGGGGTGGGGGGAGGAAGGGCAGATGGGAACAGGTGTGGCGGAGAGGGGGAGAACGGACGGAAGAAAGCGGCTGAGTCAAAAGCGCTGAGTGTAGTACAGGGCAGTCAGCAGCGATCTCGTGAGAAACCCCTTCTTACCACACTCGTGCACCATACCACACATGTTGGAACACGAAAGTGCTTACCCCGTACCCTCTCCACATGCAGCTATCTCTACCATCCCACCGCCTCGCCCTCTGTAGCCCCTCCCGGTCCCTCCACCCACCTTCTGCCGGTAGTTGGGCGGCTCCACTGCGTCGTTCCCCGCCGCCTCGCCGCCCTCCGGCATCAGGCTGAAGTTCACCTGCTCCTCCGGCGGCAGCTCGCCAGCCGCCTTGGCCACCGCGGCCACCGCAGCCTCGGCGCGCGGGTCCAGGCTGAAGGCAGCGGCGCCCGCAGCGGACCTCTTGCGCGGCGCAGCGGCCTTCTTGCTGCTGCCGGCGCCCGCGTCCGCGGCACTGGGGGGCTCAGCGGCAGGGGCGGCACGGGCGGCGGCAGGCTGCTTGGCGGCTGAGGCGGGCTTGGGGGCTGCGGTCTTGGTGATGGTGACCTGAGGGGTCAAAGACCATACAATACCATAGGAAACCACAGGTTAGGGCAAAGCAATGGGGATATGAGACGGCACACGAGGGGTGGGGTGGGGTTGATGGCGGCGCGGCGTGTGGGCGGACCGGGAGTGCGGTGAGGTGTGGGGGTACCTGTGCATTTGCAGTGGCCGTTTGCACGTGATGCCAGCTTACGGGGCTGCAAGCTGGGTGCAGGGAAGCCGCCGTGCTGCCCTGGGCGGAACTTAGAAAGCTCCCACCCGGCGCGCGCCACAGCGTCCCTCACCTTGGGGGTGGCTGCAGCCGCCTTTGCCGGCGAGCGGGCGTGCTTGGTGCCGGCGAGCTTGCCGCCCTTGGCCGCCGTGGCGCCGCCGGCCTGCTTGCGCTTGGCCCCCTTCCCCTGACTGTCCGCCAACACGTCGTCGTCGTCCTCCTCCATCACCACGTCCTCGCTGTCGCTGCTCTCCGCATCAGCCTCCTCCTGCGCGGACCCAGCAGCAGCGGAGTCACGTGCTGCAGGTGTACGACCCCCAGGTGAGGGCAGCAGAGCACCTCGTACAAATGCCGCCCGGCCTCTGCCCCGCAGCACTGTTGTGCTACTGGTAAGGCTGCCTGGCCTCCTACACTGCTGCCGGTGACTGGTTCACGCTGTTCGCACGCACACGCCCTGTCAACACGAGCAGCGCCATCACAACAGAGCAGCCAGCGTCCGCCCCCGGGCAGCCCCTGCGCCCACCTCAAAATCCTCATCCGACGAGTCCTCCACCACCACGTCGCTGTCCTCGTCGTCGTTGATGACGCGGCGGCGCTTGGAGGCGGGACCCGCCCCGCCCCGCCCGCCCCGCCGACCGACCGCAGCAGCAGCGCCACCGCTGCCGTCGCGCGGCGATCTGTTTGCAGCCGGGAGGGCGGGTTAGACCTAGGATAAGTGTAACAACGAGTCCATAGCTACAGCGGCCCAAGATACCCCAAGCAACAATGGGAGGAGCGGGGGCATTCGAATGGCGTTTGGATGCCCCTGGCAAGTGCAGCCGGCTACTTGCCCCCCGTCTTCGGTTGCTTCTTTCCCCGGCGAGTTGCTGCAACACCCTGCTAGCATGTCGCCCAGCCTGCCCTTCTTGCCTTCCCGCGCCCTGCTTCTTGGCTGCGGCGGGCTTCTGCACCACCACCACCACATCCTCGTCGTCGTCCTCATCGTCTATTACTACTCGGCCCTTCCGAGCAGGCGGTTTGCCAACGCTGGGCGTGCTCTGGGAGGCAGTGGGCGGCTTCGCGGCAGCGGCCTTCGGGGGAGCCGGCTGGGGGGCAGCAGCAGCCGGCTTGGGCTGGGATGCAACCGGCTGCGAGGCGGCCTCTTGCGAGAGCTTTAGCGCTGCGGGTTGAGGGGCGGTAGTGGGCTTGACAGCCGGTGAGGCCCCCACCGGCGCCCCAGGCTGCGCATTTTCGCCCTGTTGTGGGCGATGACAGCATGTGAAATGGTCTTTGCTGGGAAAGGGCGCGCTAGAGCAGTTTGTTAAGGCGTGTGGCGGTGTTGCACCCCAAACCCACCTTAGCGCTGACGGGAGGTCCCTTGGTGAGTCCTGTCGGGGCAATATGAGAGCAATTGATCCCTTCCAAGAAAGAATTTCACCTTGTGGACTGGAACATACCTATCTCCGCAAACACCTGCCCCCCGATTTTATAACGTAGCTCTGGTTGAAGTTCGCACCTGGCCCGTCTTGCTTTTTGAAGAAACTCCTGATGTCCTTGGCTGGCGCTGCTTGCGCCTTAGGAGGCGATTTTTGCTCTGTTTTACCCTGGATAGGAGTAAGAACCAATGGTAACGTTACCCATGTATGCTCAAAAAGAAACAGCAGCAGTCTTCTTACCATAGTTAACAACACAATCCAAGGCCTAAGGCGCTCTGCCTTTGGTTCTGTGCTCCTAGGAAGGGGTTCCTAGTGGCATTAGCAGCTTGCGATTGGCGGGAGCGATGATCCTACTGTCATGCCGCAGTACTTGCTCACTGTTGCCATACGAGCAAAATGTCTATACATCTTAGCATGTATTCGCTTGATAGATTTGCCTTTTAGCTTTCAAGAGTTAACCTCCTCAACGGCCGCAAGTTAGCCAACCCCACACCGGGCAGCTTATTCCCTGGAGGCAAGGGCAAAGAGTTAATCGTCCAAAGTGCCAGCAAATTATTTCCGATTCCAACGGTCCATCAACTTCCGGACGGGGTCCTGAGCCCCACGACGATGGGGCTTGGCAAGTCAGGGATACAGACCGCTGAGGACGCATGGGCGTCTAGGCATGAGGAGAGGCGTCAGCAGCTTACAGAGGGCGCAAATCAGCGGGCGCTGCAAAAGCGAGAGCTGCGGTCGCTCTTGCTTCAGCATGTGCAACGACGAGTCTCCGCTGTTTCTGACAGCTGGTGTTCAAGTCACACCTGCGTGTCGCATGACCGCAATTTGGACGCGACGCAGTCAAGCGTACGCTATGTAGGGCTCCATACTTATGGCGACATCCACGGTGACATGCCAGCTGCTTCACACCATCGGCCATCCAAGCAGGCTGTTTCAACAGCTCGCCAACCTCAACCCAATCTCAACCCACCACACAAACCCGCCAGGTTTCGTGGAGTACCTGTGCGAAATTAACGGCCTGGACAAGAAGGCGGTAAACAACCTTAAAGCTTGCAGGGAGGGTGTACCTGCTGGACGGCCATATTGCAGTCATTGACAACAGGCAACCAACTGCGGCGCTTGCAGGGAAGGCCAGTCTGAAACATGATTTAGTCCCACTCTTGCACCCGTTCCGACGTCCCCCTACCCTACAAACATACCAATAGACTTCCCATGCATGCATAGCTTCATGTGTGCCCAAGAGCTGGTTTGCATGCGCTGGGAAATGCACCCGTGGGTGGGCCTGGTGTGCAATTTAACTGGGGTGCTTGCAGGTATACATAATCCGCTTACATGTCTGGCCGGCAACCTTGATGCAAAGATACTCGATCGTGTTTGCCCCTGCCACCTACAACACCCTCGCCCCTGCCACCTACAATACCCTCGCCCATGCCACCTATGCTATAATACCCACGCCCATGCCACCCATGCTATAATACCCACGCCCATGCCACCTCAATACCCTCGCCCATGCCACCTCAATACCCTCGCCCATGCCACCTCAATACCCTCGCCCATGCCACCTCAATACCCTCGCCCATGCCACCTGCAATACCCTCGCCCATGCCACCTGCATTACCCTCGCCCATGCCACCTGCAATACTCTCGCCCATGCCATCTAAAATACCCTCGCCCATGCCACCTACAATACCCTCGCCCATGCCACCTACAATACCCTCGCCCCTGCCACCTCAATACCCGCACCCCTGTGCGCAGGCTGTAAGCGCGGGGTCGCTTTCCGCATCACAGTCCTTGACGGCTAGGCACATGTCATCTGCCCTTTATAAGCGCGTACACACACCGTATGTGGCATAACATATGTGGTCTAACACCGACTCCGCGCCGTCGACCCTAGAGTAGGTCCTCAAGTCAATTGTGCGCAACAGTCTGCTCGCCACTATGTGCGCAACCTTGAATACGCCGGCGGCCTTCCACGCTTTGCCTCTTAACAGCATCGCCCCGGGTATGCACACCAGCCACACTACGCATGCCACAGCTATGCCACATACGCACACCCCTGCGCTCACACCCACCGCTGCTAAGAAATGCTTTAAGAGCCCGCTGCACCTCGTCCTTCCCATCGCCTGCACCCCGCCGTTCCCGTCGTCCTTCAACAAGTAGCGGTCCGTTACAAAGCGCGCCACGAACGCCGCTTCTGTGTGTGCAAACAGGCACCGCAGCATCATCATCCATCTCAATGGTGTGAAGGGATACAGGGCTTGGAAGACGGGCAGCGCCACCTTTGACTTGTACTCCAGCAAAGCCGCGGCATGGCTGTCACGCTTCCCGGTCGCGGTGTTAACGAGGTTCACACCCCGTGCGAGCTCCCGCTCAATGACGGCCAGCTCGTCCTGGTCTAGGATCTTTAATGACCCTCGGAGCCACTCATTACTCGCCAGCACGGGCGTCCCTCCAGCCTCCTTCAGTAGTTTGTGCAACGTGCTGCCTAAGCTGTCCTTGCGTCGCATGGTCACTGGTACCAACAGGACCGCCAGCGGTTGATACACCCACGTGTTCAGTACACGTGTGCCCGCACTCCATACGTACGCCAGGGTTATCATCGTAGACCCCACAAACAGTAGCAACACAAACGCACCCAGCCCAGCTATGCAAAATGGGTGGCAGAGGCGGGGTGGCATATACCGCCAGGTATATGGCGGCGGTGTCGTACAGCTGTGTGAGCGGGACCACACATAGGGCCATGCCAAACAACAACACCGCGAGCCTTAAGGGAGTAAAGTTGAGGCCAGCGTCGTCCGCAACCCATACAAGTGTACCCGCTAAAAATGCTGTCACACACATAGCAACAAACACGTGCAGGGCAAACATGCTGAACATGGTGAACATGCTCATCACCATGTACGCAAAGCCAACAGAGTACGGTGAGTGTCACATCACAATCTCTGCAAGGGGTGGCTTTTTGTCCACATCCGCGTCCTCCTCCGCCTCCTCGACCGCGTCAACCGCTGTTCGTGACGCAGCACGCTTGGCACGATGGCCAACCCGCTAACCGGTTACACCTGATCAGAAACCATGCTTTATCGACAAGCTACCCAAACTATTAACTCTTCAACATGGCGTCTGTAATTTTATGATCAGGCTTTACAACGAATTCTGCTGGGAAGTTGAAAAGCAGCAACATACCTGCAGAGTTCTTGTTGGACCCAGATGGATAAAGCACCTCATATAACTGCTAGTCATGGACCGGACGGAGGGCGTAGCCCTGCAGACCTTCTTCGGAGGATGGCTCTCGGTGCTTGCGGGGCACCGCCCCTAGCCGCGCCTACTTCCGGCGCCCTTACAACACTTGGTGAAGAAGACGAGGGCACGTCATCTGCACCGGCACAGATTCCGGCAGGAATCTTCGCTATGCCGAAGCCGCGAGCTTCCATGGCTTTCGCAAGCTGGCAGTCCTATTGGGACAAGAAGCTTGAAGTGCTGCTACCCGGCAGGCAAGCGAACACACGCGAGTTTGCTCACTCGCGATTTCGTCTTGGGGGTATGCATTGGGTACGCGCCTGTAACGAGAGATGCCGTCGAAACACGACAGCCCTCTTCCCCAGATGCTTCCCACCGAGATGCACCCTAACTGTCTCCCTCCCCTTCATGGGCTCGGGGCATCATGGATCAGAGGCGGCACCTTCAACGTGTACGTGGCGGGCGACAGCGGCCCGGTGGTGATGTGCGTGCACGGGGGCGGCTACACCGGCCTGACATGGTCGCTGGTGGCACGCCGGCTTAAGGACAAGTAAGAATACGGAAAACATGGGCAATGTGGCAGGGACCCCACTTAACAGATCTGGCGGGTTGGCTTTTGGCCGGTCTGCATGGGAAAGCAATGCTGCATGGGAACTATGTGCTGGGGCCGGGGCCCGGAAGTTGAATGCTAACAGGAGCTACCCAGCGCAGTGGACGACCTCCGCGCATGCTGTACGCAATGCATGGCATGTTACCCCTTCCCGAGCCGCTGCCAGCTCCAGCCAGCCTTCCTCGCAACCTCTGTGTGACCTCTCTGGCGCCAGGTACCGTGTGGTGGCTCCTGATATGCGCGGCCACGGCCTCACCACTACTGACAACGACACCGACTTCTCCAAGCAGGTGCGCTGCGGTGGCTGGTGAGGGCCTTGCTTGAGGGGGGCATGCCTTTCAAGGCTGCGGCTGAACCCATGGACCCTGTATCCGCCATGGGAGGGTGCAAAAGGACGGGTCTGCGTTGGACGCATTGTGTGGATAGCGGCAGCGAGGGCTCGCTGTGGATTATCCACAGCTGCCGTGTGACTTGCCCGAGAGGCGGAGGCGGAGTGGAACCGGACTCGGGTGGCATGCGCGCGAGTGTTCAGGACATCCCTCCCAGGGTTCCGTTCTGCCAGCTGGCTGCTTCTCCGCAACCGCCCTCACGGACCTCTTGTCCGCCCCATAGACCATGTCGGAGGACATAGTCGCCATCTGGGAGCATATGTTTGGCGGTGGCAGCAGCAGCGAGGCCAACAGCGGAGGCGGCGGCGGGGGTGGCGAGGCCGGCAAGGCGCCCGAGCCGCCCGCCAGCATCCTTGTGGGGCACAGCATGGGCGGCGGGCTGGCGGTGTGGGCGGCGGCAAGCAAGCGCATCCGGCGGCTGGAGGGGGTGGTGGTGATCGACGTGGTGGAGGGCACCGCGCTGGGTGGGTCGGGGGCGGGTGGAGTGGGGTTTGGGGGTCGCCGGGGTGGGCGTGTGGGGACCATGGACTGGGTTACAAGGTACCTATATGAACATACCATGCCTGCTGGTTAGGCTCTTGAAACGTTCAGTCAGAAGCATGTTCATGGCGACCCACGTCTCCCGACCATAGTCCCACACGTCTTCCTGCCTTCTCGACCCTTCTGCCTCCCATCCCCGCAGCCGCGCTCCCGCACATGATGAACGTGCTGTCGGGGCGGCCCGCCTCCTTCACCTCGCTGGAGGAGGCCGTGGCGTGGGCGGTGCGCAGCGGCATGAGCCGCAACAAGGAGGCGGCGGCGGTGTCCATGCCCAGCCAGCTGCTGCAGCGGCAGGGCGGCGGCGGCCCCTGGACCTGGCGCACGCCGCTGGAGCTGAGCCGGCCGCACTGGGAGGGCTGGTACATGGGGCTGTCGGAGGCATTCCTGCAGGTGGGCTGGGGGGGTGAGGGGGGGCTCCTGCGGGGGCGTTTTGGTGGCAAGTTGGAACTCTAGTCCTCTGGGTTTAGGAAGGGCACAGGCGGGCAGGCGACCGGTCTACAGCGCCGTTAGCCCGTTACCCATGGTCGCCTTGTCGCATGTGGTCTTTTGGATGCCTTTGCTGCATGGGCGCACGTCGGTAGTATCGGTCCCTAACCCTGTGCTGCCCCGCCCCCTCGCAGCTGTCCTGCCCCAAGGCGCTAGTGCTAGCGGGCACGGACCGGCTGGACCGCGCGCTGACCATCGGGCAGATGCAGGGCAAGTTCCAGCTCATCCTGATGCCCACCGCGGGACACGCCATCCACGAGGATGAGCCGGAGCGCGCGGCGGAGCACCTGCTGGGCTTCCTGCGCAGGTTCAGGGTGGGCGAGCCACCGCTGCAGTTCCCACGCGCCCCCACCGGCACGCGGCCATCGCTGCCGGTGGTGGCAGGGCCGGTGCTGGGTTCGGGTGCCGCGGGCGGACAGCCCCCGGCTGCATCATACGGACAGCGGTAACGGCCGGCAGGGTCCAGAAGGATTGCGAGCTGAGGCAATAATTGGAAAGGCGGGTGGTTTCAGGGTGGGTGCCAAGCGGCAGGGAATTTCCAACGGATCGAACGGGAGGTTCCAACGGATCGAGAAGGTAGCGAGATGCAAATCATGTGGTCCAATGGCAGCCAGGGGGGGTCATAAATCCCCCACAGCTCCCTAAACTTCTCTGCCTGTTCTGACATGCGCCGGTTTGACTTCTGTCAGGCGTAAATTGCAAGCACCCACTGAGCGTGCACACGTTTTCGATGCACGTTTAGCACGCCGTCGCTTGGCTCTTGTGAGCAGCTGTGGCGTTTCTCTGCGTTTCGGTGCGTTTCGCGAACATGCGAAGCGGGTGTACTGCTCAAGTATCCTGTAACGCGTGTTTGAGCAGTATGGCCGCCTTTAGTCCTTTATTCATAGGACAACATTGTAGATACGTCATACCACTCCGCTAAGCCTGCCCGACAATGCTGTTTCGATACGCGGCGTTGGCAAAATTGGTCAAGAGAGAGCCATCGCAAAGCCAACGTTGAGCCCAATTAGCTTCTTGTTGGCAGTTACTTAGCCAGACTCTTGTTGGCAGTTATTTAGCAAGCCTCGACACGTCTGCAGGTTGGCCAGCCTTACGGATCGAAGAAGCAGACGGTTTGTTATTTTGGACTATTGGCTATTGCTAATGATTGTATGTCTGTCATATCTGCAATTGAAACTGACAGGAACCTTTTCACATTCCCATACGGGTAGGTAGCAACCGTCTAGGGTTTGAGGTTGCGGGGGTGTACGGTGCTCACACGGCTCTGGTACGGCTAGCGTTATATAAGGGGAAAGCCTACGTCAGCTTTTCAGAAGTCGCGAACGCACAATACATCCAAAGAATACTTTTCACTCAGTTAACCTAGCCACACCTAGGCTGCACGCTTATGGCCTCGTCAAAGCTCAACCATCTGGCACCGGAATTCGTGCCCGGGTCTGTTAAGTCAAACTCAAGCCTATCTGGCTATGGGCAGGACACGCCTTACTTCTACGCTGATCCTTCCTACGAGGTGCGTTGCTTGCGTTGCCCCGCGACGTGAACGGTATATCCATTTGCTTACGTTGTTCACTGTTATAATTTTCCCTCCACCTCTGTAAAGTAGGTGTGCTATAAGATGTTCTCACTTTGAGTTCTCCTCGCCGATCGCGTCCGTTTCGTAGGAGGCCGTAACTTCCGAGGAACTGGAGGAACTCGAGGCATGCGAAGAGTGGGTGCGGACGATGGCAGAGCTTGATGAGATGGAGCGAGAGCACCTTATTGCTACCGCACTCTCGTAAGTTGGGAGACCTTGGTTGGGAAAGCCCTTGTCCAGATGCTTTAACGCAATCTCGACACTGCTGAGCCGTGAACCTGGAATCCTTTTGGATGTATTATCAGAGAATGTTATCGTCTTTGCTTTCATGTTTCTTACGTTTTCCTTACCTCCCGGTGCCTAACTGAAACTTCGTCATTTGCCGTTGACTGCAGTGAGGCCGAGCCTTCCCAGATTCTTGAGGTAGAGATGCGCGCGTTCTCAATGGACGCAGCGGGGAAGCGCACACAAGTGGCGAAGCGCAAGGGGAAGAAGCACTGAGCGCGAGTCTCCCGCGCCCGGGGCTTCAAGCGGCTCCAGCCTTGACATAGTCGTCAATCTAAGAGCAGGTTTCTTATTTCGCCATCCTTGAAGCATAATGGTCAAGCTAGTATTGTGCGCCTACACAACGCTTGTGTGCTAAGATGTCGCCGTGTGTGTTTTGATTTTCGGTGCATTGCGTAAGACCCCGCAAATGTAGGCAGATGACTCCAGTGCCCGGACCCATTTTAGGACCTTCCTACCAAGCGCGCTTAAAAAGCATAGATCACCTCTCGGGACCACCAGACGATGCACCATACCTTGGCTCTGATGCCCCCTTTCGGATGTGAATGCGGATTGGTTGCATCGTTTTTGTAGAGGCCAAAATCATAAAAATCTGTACAAAGGGGCGGTTACTGTATCATTGTTCACTGTTGCTAAAATATACGTAGCACGTGGCGCCGCTCCTAGCTAGCGTATGCGTTTCAAAATGCGTGTTGAGATTCACGTGGTAGCCGGTTGTAGCTCATTAAAGCTGTATATGCAGCCTTGGTTCTCAGTTGGGGCCGCATTTGCAGGCGCTATGTACATACCCCCCTTATTTTTCTATCTTTTTATGCACGTACGGATTTGTGGATATGGAAGCTTGGGCCGGGCAAGCTTGGCAAAACAGCGTAGGCAACCATTTTGCCTACTGTTCTTTTTACATTGTAACATGCTTCCGTTCTTATTGCTGCATCAGGACACGGGAGAAAGATGCATGTTTCCATCATCGTGTACGGAATGTACGTAGACCCTTACAGAACCTTAAGCTGCAAGCGCAATGACGGGCGTCAACATGCAAGTCCAACTCTGTGTGCTTGGTTGCGCATACCCTGCCTCTTTCCTGCATCTGCACCTACACATGCCACAGTTCTCAGTGTCTGGGACCCATGATCCTTCCCAAAACTTCTGTCCCACCTACACGCTCTCCGCACACTACCCTCATCGCCCCCCGCTGCGCCGCCCCAGCTCGCTCAACTGCTGCACAAACTCCTCCCCTGACAGCAGCTCCGTGGCGCCGTACAGCACTTGCCGCGGCGGCGTGCAGCGCTGCGACCAGTTGAGCAGCGTCTCGCGCTCGTAGTAGTTGCCGCCACCAATCATGAACACCATGCCCTCGCGGAAGGGCCCCTTGGCGCGCTCCACGCTGGCCCGCCCGGGCGGCAGCTTGGGGTCGAATACAGCGTACGAATCGAACTCGGGTGAGCCCACCTTGCCCTCCATCAGCGCCTCCACGCTCGCAGCCAGCGGGGCCTGGCGCGCACCTGGAGGGGGCCGGACCACAGCAGACGGACAGGAGTTGGTACCGTACGCTACCGGTATCACAGTCGGACGCAAAAGCACTTTACCGCAAAGAGGCGCGCAGGTCGGTAATGCTTAGCTGCCAAGCCGCTGAGACTCCTGAACACCAACAGTATCCATGAGGAATGCCAACCACTGCCTCCTAACACACTTTTCATCCCAAACCCGCCGTTTGGTCAGCACTTTAGTTACCACCACCATCGCACGCGCCACCAGCCCTCCACCCACCTGACAGCAGCGTCTTGACCCCCTTGGCCACCTGGCTGAGCGGCTGCCCGAAGGTCTTGTCCGCCCAGTCCAGCAGGTTGTTCTGGGAGGCCATGGGCGCGCCGCCGTGGTGCCCCAGCGCCTCCGCGCCGCTCTTGCCGCTGCCCGTCAGGTTGTTGCGCTTGAGGGTGCGCACGTACTGCAGCGCCGTCGCGTCCGCCCCGCCGCTGCGCATGACGCCCTCCAGCTCCGACAGCTCCTGCTCGCTAGGAAGGCCTGTGCGCGGGAGGGAGGGCATGACTGTCAGATTGAGACAGGATTGCAGCAGTCGTAGTGTCAATGAACGGTATCGGCAACGCCGCCTAGATGAGAATAGATCTGGACAACCCTGAAGGAAACAGGGAGCCTCTACGTATGAAACGGGATAGGGAAGCCGAATGGCTACACAAATGTGAGGCTGGCGCAGCAAGGTGGCCTGCGAATGGGCTCAGGACATCATAGACCTAGGCCGGTACCGAACGACATTGCAAAACGACCACGTTCCCTTATCGCATGCATACTTGGCCCCAGTCCTCCGCAGCCCTCACCCAGCCCCTGCCCCGGTGCAACCCCGCCCTCCCGCACCGTCGTGCGCCAGTATGTACACCAGCGCCAGCCGCAGCTTGTCCATGGGCGCCCCCTTGCCGCTCTGCAGCAGCTTCACCACTGCCTGCAGGTCCGCCTTGCCCACCAGCAGGTCCTCCGCCAGGTTGGAGTACTGGTCCAGCGCGCGCATCTTGATGGCGCCCAGCAGGCAGGTGGCCAGGTTGGTGTGCTTGTCCAGGACCTGGCAGGGGGCAGCGGCAGCAACAGCATTGGGGGGTTAAGGCGAGTTGCGGGCGACATGTGGGCCGTGGCCACCATGTACGAAGCCAGTATAATGGCGGAAGCATGCCTAGGATTAATTCCGCCACCATAATGGGCAAACCAGGATAAAGCACCGAAACACGCCCGACCTGGCGTCTGGCCGCTCGTCTTTGCCCTTTACCACCGACATGCCCCCTCCCTTATCCCTGCTGCCCGCTTCCGTTCCCCACTTCCGCCTCCTCCAGCAACCGCCAATACCATTCAGTACGTGCGACATGCGGCGCGCGTTATGGCCAGTGCCGCTCAACCCCCATACAGCTCGCTTGCGGTCTAATTTGCCGGTACGCTCCCGAGTGTTCCCTGCGCGGCCACGTGCCTTCTTCTGCTCCTGCAGCTCCGGCAGCGATGAGACCGCCTGCATGAGGTTCTGCGTGTTGCGCCGCAGCAGCTCGTCCGGGTCGAAGGCGCCCTCCTGCCCCGCGCCGGCTGCCGTCTTCTTGTTGATCTCGTCCACAGCAGCACGATAGCGCTGCAGCTGCGTCTCCACCTCCTCAGCGACCTAGGGAGGGTAGCGCGAGGGTAGCGAGCAATGCATGGGCGGTGGGGCCGTGAGGGTGCTAACGAGGCTGCACCCAGGCCGTGCAGCGGAAGAAACCAGCGTTCTTGGTTGAATCGCGACCTTATCGAAATTCAACAGCTGAAGTAGCATTGAAAACCCAGGTCGTGCCTTTGGCTGCCAGACAACTAGCACGCTCGGTATTATGGTTTGGTGCGGCACTCTGGCGTCTTAGTTTTCACTTTGCCTCCTTCACCAACAAAACCCTTTCCGGGCGATGAAGCGCACCTTGGGGAAGACATGGGCGCCACAAGCCTCCCAAAAGAAATCCTTTTCGTCCACATCATAGTGCTTCTTGCCTACAAGACCATGCGAGGGCGAGCATAACAGGGTAGCGTCATGCGCAAAGGTAAGGTGCATATAGCTAGGTAGTTCGCCCCTCTACGGGAACCCCACCATGCTGACTGGATGCGCCCACCAATCGGCCTTCCCGAGTTATAATAAAAAAACTCCGTTTTCCCTCCGCTCTTTCCCCTCCCTAGGGTGTTCCCTTTCCTCACTCCCACCTGCGCCCGCCGCCATCATGCCTGCCGGCCCCGGCCCTGCCGCCTCGCTCTGCAGCGCGATGCGGTTCAGCTTGAGCCCCAGCACGTCGTGCACCAGCGGCTTGTATGTCCAGGCGTGCTGCACCACCGCCGTCAGGTCGAAGTTGCGGTCGAAGAGGCACAGCAGCGGCCGCGACAGGGAAGCTGACAAGCCCAGCACGCCCTCGCTGAACAGGTTGGTCCGGCTTTTCAGCGCGTCCCGCAGCTTGGCGTCCAGCGCTGCTGCGATGTGCTCTGCCGCGCCGCCCCGCGGGCAGCGGATGATGGGCACCACCCCCAACGTCACGCACACAGAGAAGAGGCCGTCCACGATGCCGCCCACGGCCGCCTGTGGCCCGGAGGATTGCACAAAGGTGCAGGGCGGCAATGCATGTGCTTTAATACCACCGACCGCATGGTACCCTGACCGGTCATAGTCAGTGGTGTGGATACGGACTTGCACTCCAGTGTTGACGGCCTCATGCCAACTTGGCACACCGCTAGAGTTCCGGTGCACCAAGAACAACGAGAACAACCTAGAACACCAAACGTCAGCCCCAACGGAGGGGCACTTGTCAAGGCCTGTCGTCAACAGCGCTCCTTATCCCCCTTCGGCAGCCGAAAATGACAAGCATTACAGCACTACAACAAGGTTACAGCCCTCCGTTGTGCTCCGCCCTCACCTCAATCTGGTGGTCCCGCGCCTGCGGGTCGTTCAGCTCCAGGTAAGCCTCAGGCAAGCCCAGGGAGAAGAGTGTGGGCTCCAGGCCGATGAACGACAAGTACTGGTCGTAGAGCTTGCTGATGCGGCTCAGGCAGCCCGCCTTTACCACCCCCGCCGCTAACTGCTCCACCAGCTTGCTGGGTATTGACACAGTGAAGTTCAGGTACATGGAGTCGTATAGACTCCCAGCCGCATCAGCAATGATGCGCTCAATGTTTGCAGCCGTGGGCTGAACAAAGTACACCGCCGGCACGTCGGGAATGGGCTGGCGTTCACTCTCCAGCATAAGGTGCAATGTAACCCCATGTTTGCGCAGGTCGTTCAACCGCAGCAACGGAGCAATAATGTCTTTCGTAAATCGATCAAGTACGAGGACCTTATAGGATTCGGAAGATGGTTCCTTTCCAGGCGCACTATTGAAGTTCAGTGCACGAAGGATGACCTCTGCGAGGACGACAGCAATATGTGTCTTATCAGAACCATGAATCAAAACAACCTGTATAACGCAATAAAACTGCGCACCAGCTTGCTTTTGCCTGACGTTCAGCGTCATCCTTTCCACGCTGATCTTGCGTAAGCTCTACTGGAAAGAAACTTCTTGAGGCTTAAATTGTCAGTCCTATGAGAACTCTTATTTGCCTACGTAGGTGCCCCTATCTCAAGCATCCTTCTGTGATGTTGCAAGGTAGGTTAACTCGGTGTCCTTTGTGACGAGCAATAGAGCGGCTAGCTTTGTTATATCAGTGCATATTTCGAAAAGGAAAGTCTTGAGCCTTCTTGGGAAGTCTGCAAGACGTCCATGCGTAAACAACACAGAATACGGCAAGGTCAGTTTTCCTATCTCCTCCGAGCACCACAACGCACACAACGGCTTTTTTCTTACCATAATAGTGTTGAGTCGGCTCCAAGGAAATACACGCTTACACCTTCCCACGTGCAGTGGATAGACTGTCTTCTGTCTATTTCCTTTACTCGATGCGAAAGGAATGCGCGCAATTTTCCTTGCATCTAAGCAGGATGCAAGTGACATCGAGAAATGGGCAACTTCGCTGCAGTGAGTGCTTTAGGAATAGTAGCTGACGATGGCGTCCCCTTAAACCAAGCCGTTTAATGCCCTCCCTACAGGGCTGCTGGGGCCGCTATAAAGCATGTTACTGCCTGGTCTAGCCCAGGTGCGATGTGACGCACTTTGCTCGAAAGGGCATGGCCTATGCGCGTTGCGGCCGCGTGCGTAGGATTACAGGACATCATTTTTAACTGACCATGTCGGGTAACTGCCGTGTGGGTTCGCAGATGATTTCGGCCGGCGTCAGCTTGGAGACGCTTGCAATGTTGATACCTTCTTATTGGGCCCGGGCGCGCAGCTGGAATCGCACATTGCGCAATGTCACGGCGGAGACGCACTCCTGCTCATATCAGTTGACCCGGCTCAGCACCTGCTGCCGCGGGCCGGCGTGGTGTTGCTCATCTGGCAGCCCCAGGTGCCACTTGACATTGTCCAGGCGTGCACAGGGTTACCACCAAGCCTGGCAGACGGGGCCAATGTGAAGGGGCTGTTACTTGTCGACGCTTCACCGAGCCTGACCCTTTCAGTCACCCACAAGGCGTTGGAAGGCGCCGGCCTACAGGCACTGGCGCGCAAGCCCACAGTCCTAGCCCTGCGCACCCTACAGACACCCCAAGCCGCCGTGCAGCCGCTCTTGCAGCTAGCGGATGCCCTGCCCTCCGTACCCCTGCCTAAGCCCGCCTTGCCGTTCGGTTCAGGCGATGTTCGCATCGCAGTCGCACGCGATGACGCCTTCGGCCCCTGCTTCCACGAGAACCTCACCCTGCTGCACCAGGCGGGCGCGCAGCTGCTGTTCTTCTCGCCGCTGTACGACACCTGCATCCCCAGCGGCGCCCAGTGCCTGTACCTTTCCAGCGGGCCGCTGGAGCCGGAGCGCTGGCAGCAGCTGGCCATCAACCGGCCGCTGCTGGCAGCCGTCCGGGCCTTCTGCGACGCGGGCGGCATGGTGCTGTCGGAGGGGGCGGGGCTCTTATACCTGTCGCGTTCGGTGGACTTGGACGAGGAGGACGGGACGCACCGGTACCACGTGCACGACATGGGTAGGTCGGGGCGCATCGGGGTTGTCGCAACTAGGTTCTGGTTCTGGAGCATCGCCAACCGCATGAGCCTTACCTTGCTTGCGCTAACGCCATGTCCCGGCCCCTCACCGTTCCGCTCCCGCAGCGGGTGTGCTGCCCTTCAAAGCGCGGCTGTTGCCGGAGCCGCAGACCGCGGCGGTGCAGCTGAACGTGGCCGCGGGCAACCCGCTGCTGCCGGCGGGCTGCAGGCCTCGGGGCTACCTCAGCGCGCAGGCGGGCATTGTAGTGGTGGAGGAGAAGCACCTGCAGAGCCTGGTCTTTGGGCTCCCAGGCGCAACCGGCAAGGGGGCTCCAGCACCCTTCAGCATGACGTACGAAGTCACTGTCATGCAGCAGCGGCAGCAGCAGCAGCAGGCATCGGATGCGGGAGCAGTAGCCACTGCAGACGAGGGCCTTGGCCTAGGCCAGCCTCAGTCTGAGGGCTACACAGTCCACAACGTGCTGGCGAGCAGCTGCCTGCTATACCTGCCCTCCGTGCCGGGCCTCGCTGCGCACCTGGTCCGCTCCTGCGCCGGCATCGACCCGGTGGGCTTGGCGACCAGCATGGCACAGCAGCTGGGCTGCTCCGGCATGACCCAGGCCTCCAAGCTGCAGCTGCATTCCGCGATAGCGTCGGCGAACACGAGCCGGGGCACGTCGCGGCGTCCGAGCATACAGGACGTGGCTGCATGGGGGGCTTCCTGTCGCGGCAACAGCGGCGTGAGCAGCTGCGCTAGCAGCACCACCGGCATGGCTGCCTGCGTGCCGCACCACCACGGGCAACCCATGCATGGCGGCGGCGTTATCAACCACCAGCACCAGCACCTGCAGACCCAACACCACACCTTTCACGGCCACGCCCTGCCGCCGGCCGGACCTATGTGCCCCACTGCTCACGATAGCAGCTCGTACTTCGGGTCTACGTACAGCGGCATGAGTCAGCCCTCACCGCGGCACGGCTCCCACCTCGCGCACAGCAGCAGCACAAGCGCGATGTCACCCGGCTGGGCGGCCCAGCCTCCTCCCCGACGTAGCCTGTGTGGACCCGCGGCTCAGCTGCCGCCGCCCGGCTTGTCGTACATGCACGGGGTCGTACAGTCGTGCTCGCTGCCGCCCGCTCACCACAGCCCTGCGTCGCACGCCGCGAGGGACAAGCTGTCCGCGGTGTGTAATACCGCGCACCAGCCGGCCCCGCCGCCACCTCAACAGCACCAGCCGCAGCTGGTGGTGGAGTGCAGCACTCCGCCACCGCGCAGCAAAGCAGATCCGGGGCGGGATAGTTTGGAGGAGCTGTCGTCCTCGACGCCGGTGGGGCCAGCCCACAAGCTCCCAGCTGTCACCACCTGCTCGCCAGTGGCAGACTGCTGCGAAAAGGGCGTCGCAGCGCAGGACGAATCTCCCAAGACATGCATGGAGCGCTGTCATTCTAGTGACAAATGCGTTGGCGAGGACGTGATGGAGGGTGCAATGGCAACTCCCAAGAGCCAGGGCTCGCTCTTCCACGCCGCAAGCGTCGGCTGCTTTCCCTCATACGGAGCCGCCCCGGGCTATGGCGCCCTGGACGCCCCCCAGCACCCGGGCATGGATGGGGGCAGCCCCATCCGCACGGGCTATGCGCACGGCGGCTATGGCTGGGGCGGCGCCCCGCCTGCTGCGCCGCATGCATGGTCGCCTGGCATCGCAACAGCCCGGCAGAGCACCATGGGTCTGCTGGGCCCGATGCCCGCGGGCCCCCCCGCTCCCTCGCACCTCGGCGGGGTGGTGTGCTGCGCGCCGGGCGCGTGTGAGGCGCTGGTGGCTATGGGTCTGGGCAACCGGCTGTCCGGCATCGGTGCGGACTGCGACCATCCGGCGGATGTGTGCGCCAGCCGGCGGGTGGTGATGGGCTGGGTGCCGCCGGAGGAGGCGCCGCAGGGGGCCGCGGCGCGAGGGATCCGCGTGGTGCTGCCGGCCGCGGGAGGCGGCGGCAGCGGCCTGGGCTCAGCTGTCGCGGGCGGTCGGGGTGGCGGACGCAGCTCGGTGGAGCAGCAGCAGCATCGCGCCGGTGGTGGCGGGGTGTCACGCGGTGCAGGGGGAGGGGCTGCTGGTGGCGGCAGCAGCAGCGGTAAGGTGCTGCTGGTGGACGAGTTGGCTCTGCGTCATGAGCCGCCGGGCGTGCTGGTGCTGCCGGACCTCGGGGAGCTGGGGGAGGGGGAGCGGGCGCAGCTGGAGCAGGTGGGAGGGGCTGGGGGAGGTGGGAGGCAGCTGGCGGGCGTGGCAGGGCAAGCATGCAGAGTCGGGCAACCCCGTGTGTTGGGCGACACGAGGGTATGGGCCGTAATGGTGTGCCGTATCTACCTGAATCCACGCAGCAAACCATCAAACGCAACTCCTCCCCAACCACCTTTCCCCCCCACCCGTGACGCCAGGCGCTGGTGGAGATGGGCCTCATGAGTCCAGGCGGCGGCTCCCGGGGCGTCTGCTCCGTGCTGCAGGTGCGCTGCCGCAGCCTGGTGGACGTGATGGACTTGATGCTGGAGCTGGGCGCGGCGGCGGGGGAGCAGCAGCCCGCATCCATGCTGCTGGAGCGGCTGCAGGGCAGGATCAGGCGCGTGGCGGCAGCCGCAGCGGCGGCAGCTGCGGCGCGGAGGAGCGGCGGGGCAGCGGTGGGGCCGGTGCCTGCGGCGGCTGTGGGGGCGGTGGGGAGGTCTGTGGTGCCAGCTGTGGTGCGGCCGGCGGGGCAGGGACCGCGAGTGCTGGTGCTGCAGTCGCTGCAGCCCTTTGTGGAGCCCGGCAGGTGCGTGCGGGACGGATGGGAGGAGACGGTGTGAGGGGTTTGTCAGACGTTGAATCGGCTGGGTAAAGGAGGCAGCGACACGGCACGGTGGGGGGGGTGCTGAGGCAGGCGCATTGCGGCACACGGCAGCTCTCCAACTCCCCCTCATGGCGCAATGCGCGTCGGGTGAGGGTCATATGCACTGCTCTGCAAAGGAAATCGCGGCTGGTTGCCTGACCCCGGCACCCCCCCGTTCGCCCCTTCCCCCGTGCCTCCATACAGGTGGGTTCCCGAGATGTTGTCCCTCGTGGGCGCCACCTCCTGCCTCGCACTGCCCGGCGGCCCCGACGTGCCGCTCTCCTGGCAGGACCTCCGACAGCGCGCCGCACCGGACGTGCTCATCATCCTCACCCCGCCCGGGGAGGACCTCCTGCTGGGCGGCCGCAGGACGGCGCCGGGGCCCGCCGGCTCGGCGGCCGCATGCGGCCCCAGCGGTCACGCAGGGCCCAGCAGCTTCCCCGGCGCCGGCAGCAGCAGCAGCCTGAGTGAGCAGCTGGCCTGGCTGGCTGCGCAGCCCGGCTGGTGGTGTTTGCCGGCGGTGCGCAGCAGCCAGGTGTACCTGCTGCAGTCCGCGTACTGCGTGCGGGCGGGGCCGAGGCTGGTGGACGGCGCGGAGCTGCTGGCGCGGTTGCTGCTGCCGGGGCACTTCAGCAGCAGCAGGAAGGTGCCGGCAGGGAGCGTGATGCGGCTGGCGTTGGCAGCGGGGCAGAGGTGCCGGGCGACGTTGCTGCCGAGCTACTTTGTGACGATGGCGTTCAATTAAGGGGATGCTGGTCACAGGGGGGTGCGTTTGGGTGGTCTTGGTGTGCATTGCCATGACGTGGCGTTGTTGGTATGGTGGTTGTGAGGGTTGTCCTGCGGCATGTGCACCGGCGTGATGGTTTGCGTGAATGATTGCATGGAAGACGGCTGTCGATTGCGGTACTGCATAGGGTAGGGTTAGCGGTGCCATACGACCACAAGGCTACGGCGCAACAATTTTGTTACACGTCGGACGGCTGCTACCGAGGGTGTTGCGTTTTGTGCTAACAGGGTTCATGAGGGGTTTGTCCAGCTTTGTCGCAAATGGGCACCATCAGCTTTAGGTTTGTTGTGAACCGACATTTTGCGAGGCCTTACGACATAATGATGTCTTTGATGTGCATGGGCGATTTTCAGTGTGCAGCAGGTGAAGCCGTGATGCTTTATTTATGTGTTGCATATCTCGTGCGATAGCAGCACATTGATCCTACTGTGCAAGATATCTTCGTATGTTGGAACTGTTGCAGGCATCATAGGACGTAGGAAACATGCTGACGATGTTGCGAACATTGCGACCAGCGGTCTTGACTGCTGCGATCGGAACGAGTTCAGGAGCTAGACATGCTTCTTATGTACCCATTGTAATTGAACAGACAAGTCGGGGTGAACGTGCCTACGATATTTTCAGCAGGTAGGCCCAATGTCCCCACACGTTAGGCTAGCCCAGGCGTATCACAATGCTCACACAACTGCAGATTACTAAAAGAGCGCATTGTCATAGTTACTGGCTCCATCGATGACCATTCGGCGAATTCCATTGTGGCCCAGCTCCTCTTCCTGGAGAGCCAGGCGCCAGACAAGCCGGTACTCGATGAGACGATGTGTAGGCTTTACCCTTGTTCTTTATGGTCCTGCAGAAGGGCTGGGGTAAAACCTTGCAACCCTAGTTGGGGTCCGGTGACCAGGCGTGTATCATTCCAGTCTTTCCGGCGCGGGTCCCACGCTGGGTCCCCACCCTCTGATGCGCTGGCCCTCTGCCGCGTCCCCTCCCGACTAAGCAGCTGACCCCAGTACCCGCACCCCGAACGTGCGTGTGCAGATCACCATGTACATCAACAGCCCCGGAGGCGTGGTCACCTCCGGCCTGGCCATATACGACACCATGCAGGTGGGCTGCGGTCCTGCCCTCGCCCCTCGCCCCCTTACTGGTCCTGCCCAGCTACGCTTGCTTGCCCTTCTTCATGGCGGCGCCTTAGTATCCGCCGGAGCGTACCCAGCTACCATGCCCACAATCCGCTGCCTAGTCTTTCCCCCTGATGCCCTGCATTCCTGGAGTGGACCTCCTCCCTGCACTCTGCCTGGCTACGTCACCAGCACTGCAATCACCAACCGCCCCCCCCCCTGCAGTACATCCGCTGCCCCATCAGCACGCTGGTGGTGGGCCAGGCGGCGTCCATGGCGTCCCTGCTGCTGACGGCGGGCGACAAGGGGCAGCGCAGGAGGTGCGCAGGGGGAGGGGGGGCGGGGGGCTGGGGGCAGTGAGTCACGACGTGTGGTGTATTAGTGTTGCTAGGTGCCCTGTTGGGACAGGATTGGGGGCTGGGGCCCTAGCGCTGGCCCTGCTGTGCGGGCAGACCGCCCTGCCGCCCTGCGGGCAGGCGGGCCTGCGCTCCCACACCTGGGTGGGGGCGGTCATGGCTTGGCCTGTCTCTGACCCCACCCTGCTCCCCGCTCGCAGCCTGCCGCACGCGCGCATCATGCTGCACCAGCCGCTGGGCGCTGCGGAGGTGCGACTGCGACTTGGGGAGGGAGGAGGAGGAGAAGGAAAAAAGAAATTCCAAAGTGTGGTGTGATAATGATACAAGTTGCTGACAATCCCTGATGAGGAGAAGGGAGGCGGAGGGGCCCCTTGCTGCTGGGGTGTGGTGGGCCAAGTACATGTGCCACCGTGTCCGGCTTGGGAAGAAACATTGCTCTCTCCGACCGACGCAACGCGGCTCATTCGCATGGAGGGCCCCTTGACGGGCCTGCAACCCCCGTGACATGGAGCACCAGCAGCAGCATTCATGACGTCAATAATGTTCTCTGAGGATGCCAGAGGACAACGACCCACTCGCCCCCTGCCGCCTGCTCCCCCTTCCCTTCCCCCGCGCAGGGCCAGGCCTCCGACATCATGATCCGCGCGCAGGAGATCATGCGCATGAAGGACACCCTCACCGGACTCTACATCCGCCACACCGGCTGCTCGCGGGAGGCGGCGGGTGGGGCGGGGGCCGGGGAGGGGCGGGGGGGAGGAGGGCCTGGGCACCGCCGGGGCAGCTGTGTGCATGCGCCGACGGGCCCATTACTACCGTAATCACTCGCTGCATTGGGCCTGGCTGTATAGAGCCGTTATGCGTCACCGGCCCTGCAGTGCCTAGGTCCTTTGCGCCGCAGGGGGCATACGGTGCAGCGCTGCTAGCAGCACCCGTCTGTCCGCCGCCCCGCCCTGCTGAGCTTACCCTCTCCTTCCCACCCCCTTTACCGGCCTGCCCCCCGGGCTGCACCCCGGCCTGCACCCGCCTGCAGAGAAGACTCTGGACCGCGACTCCTTCATGTCAGCTGCAGAGGCGCGCGAGTTCGGGCTGATAGACGAGATACTGGTGGAGCGGCCCGCCAGCGAGGTGCACAGCTAGGGGGGCGGCGGGGAGGGGGGCAGGAGGGGGCAGGGCAGGAGGAGGGCAGGAGGGGGCAGGGCAGGAGGAGGGCGGGGGAACTGGAGGGGGGTGAACACCAGGAGGCGCATTGCGGGGTTGCGCCGACCCAGTGACTAGCACCTATGGGTGGTGCAGTGGCCTAGGAACGGGGCAGCAGCGGATGAGGAAGGTGCGGTGGCGGGGAGGGGCTGGGGGTGCCGAACTGAGGACGAGGGGTTGTGGGGGTGCGGGTGAGGCGCCGCTGCCGCAGGGGAGGCAGGGGAGGCAGGGGGGAGGTACCGGAGCCCCTTCAAGGTCACATTGGCACATTGCAAATGCAACAGCAGTGGGGCGGGAGGCGATTTAAGCTTGTGGAAAGGGCTTACGGCTTAAGCTGTTGACTGCTACCGTATGTGGCACAGGTTGCTGAAAACAACAAACGTCCGGTCATGAACTAGTGCTGGCAGAGGGTTGGGGGTTGTCATGTCTCATGTGTCGCTCAGCCCTAGCGCTTCTGTAAGCTGTGGCGCAGGGTGTGGGTGCATGCCTCACTAAGAAAATATAAACAGTCGACACAATGGGAGGAGGTTTCCTAAGACGCTGCGGCGGTTAGCCTTACTTGCAAGGAGCGCTTGCCCCTGTGGAGCAGAGGCTAAGGTAGCATGTGCATGCTTTCGTGGGGGTGGTATAACCATGTTGCAGCGGGCCTGCGCGACGGACTCGAATTTTGCCTGTCCCAGCCTTGGCAGCATGGACCGGTAGCACCGAGTTTGTTGTCCTCGGCCCCCGGCTTGTACGAATACCGCTGTGCATGTGTATGCACTGTACCTATGTTTGGTAGCACGGTGGTGCCGGGTGCCGTGGCTTTCCGCCGGCATGACGGCATGAGGCCAGGTTCTGCTGCACTGTGTGACATTCAGGAAGTAGCGTGCATGCCGTATCCGCGCATGTGTGTTTCAGGTTCTGTCAGGGGGCTCACGGCTGGGTGTATGAGCTGCTACTGGGATGAGCATCCAGTGGCTGTTGCATTGTGACATGGGCATGGAGCGCGCAGATAGGACCTTGCAGGTCCGTGCTGTACCATATGTAAACTATATAGCTCTTGATCATGACATCATATAAGCGGCTGCACCTGTGACATCGACATGGTGAAAAAGCCCTCTCCTTTGGTCCACGTGGCACAGTCATACGACATTTGTAACTCGCTTTCATGAGCACCATGGCAATACAGTTGTAGCATTCGTGACATTCGATTACATTCTAACTCCTACACCCAAAGAGCTGCTTGCTGTGTAACTAGTAGTCACTACAATAACCGAGCCTTTCACGCCACTCACGGGACAGTCAACCTTCAAGCGCTGCGTTTTCTATCACTGCGTTACTGGTTGCTGAAAAAACTATCCGTCCACCTGACGCGTATGCGGTCGAGCATTGTACTAACTTTAGGCCACCTACACGTTAGTCACGCGCTGAGTTTCTCCAGTGGTAATCGCACCCGTTATGGCTAGTACAACGGCGGTCGGTTGCCCTCTGGCGCTCGCTTCGCCTACTGGACATGAGCGTGCATCTTCGCGGCGCTTGTGTTTTGTTCGGCGCCAGCTGGATCGGTGCAGCAGACAAACCTGGAGCTCCCGAGGTAATCTAGTTATTATGCGTTTTCTAGCAAAAGATCGATGTGCGCGACCCACCAGGGAATGCGCAACGCATGCAGGCCTGGAAGCTTCTCGCCCAACGCGGCGCGCCTACACCCTAGCGGCCGAGCCAGCCGCTCCTGGAGTGGACCTCCACTCCGCCGACTTGAAGGACATGTGCACGTTGCAGTTGGGCATGCTGTACCAGCTGCTGTCGCGTACAGGTACGGTAGCACACGCTCCTCTTAGTCCTTGTGCTACGGTATGGCACCGCGCGCATATCGCACCATGCCCCTGCCAAGGTATACAGCCCCCAGCTCGCAGGCTGCTAGGCCCCATGCGACCCCCCAGCTGCCACTGTCCCTACCCCCTGGCCCCCGCAGGCACCAACTTCCGCTCCATGCGCTGCACGGTGTATGCGCGCGACTTCACGGTGGTGGGCCCGGGGCAGGTGAAGCTGGTGCGGGTGGCCACCTTCCCCGTGCTGCCAGGTGCGGGGGCTGGGAAGGGGGAGCGGGGAGGGGAGCGGGGAGCGGGGAGGGGAGCGGGGCGGCGAAAAAAGCGGGGATGAGGCCAGGTTGCAGCCGCTGGGTGGGATGTTGGGTGGCCCGCGTGCTGCTGGCGGTGCGGACTGAAGGTGTGTGGCACTGCCGGGGATCCACCTGGCGTCTGGGGGGAACCTGATAGCCATGCGCAGCGAGCGAGAGGCAGCAATGGAGGCGCTTGTTGCAAGTGGCCAGTTGTTCATCCTAGTTCTTCTCGCGCCGGCATTGCCTCACCTCCGCTCCCCGGCTCCGCAGGTCGGGATGAGGGGCCCCCGCAGCAACAAGACACGCTCCTGTTGCACACGGTTAGTGGGGACAGGTTAGCGAGGGCGCAATCGAGTTCACTATTGGGTAGCAATAACAGATGGGCACCCGACGTTGGAGCCATCAGCACCAAACGCTCGATCCGAGCGACGCACGCCGCATGCGCCCAACCCGCTGTCCCTGCTGCCCACCCGCCACCTCGCACCTCCACCTCACACCCAACCTCCGGGAAAGCACTACCTCAGTCCGCTATCAACTCCCCTCGCCCCACACCCACCTCTCCAACCATCCGCTACCTACTCTCCCCCACCCTGACCCACCTCTCCCCTCCCTCCCTCTCCCTCTCCCTCTCCCACTCTCCCCCCACCTCCCCCCCCCCAGGAGCAGTCCTGGGCCCTGCAGGGCGGCTCCGCCTCCTCCGACCCTAGCTCCCTCATCGAGGAGTGCCTGCTGCGCAAGGAGGTGGTGGCGCTGCCCTCCTCCGCCGCGCTGGTGTTCCCGCTGGTGGACGGGGGCGTGCTGGTGGGCCTCATGCTGGCGGAGATGGGCAGTACGGCAGCGGAGGCGGAGGCGGAGGGAGGGAGTATGGCAGGCGACGTGGGGGAGGAGCAGCGTGGGGAGGAGGTGGAGGAGGGGCGGCACGGGGGAGCGACCGGTGCCCTGGGGCCGGGGAGAAGCAGCGCGGGTGCGGTGCCGGGGGTGCTGGGCGATGCGTGCTGTGGGGACTGCGGCGCGGCGCTGTTGCCGGTTCTGAGAGGGGTGGGGTCGGTGGGTAGTGCGGCGGCGGGTGCGGCAGCGGCGGCATCGCATGGGGTGTGTGGCGGTGGTGGCGGTGGCGGCGGAGGAGGAGACGACGGAGGTGGCGATGCGGTGGATAGCCACGTGCGGCGCGGCGTGCGAAGACAACGCACTCTTACGGGTAAGAAGCCGCATGCATGCATGGAGTTCCTATCCAGCTACTGCTACCGGTACTCTGGTACCAGTAGACGGTACCCTTAGTCCGCCAGTCCTTGTTACCTTGTCCAACCCCTTGTTGCCCTTCCCTAATCCACGGCTCACGACACACCTTGTCCCACCCTGCAGAGGAGGAGCTCAGGTGCCTGCGGCTGGTGGTGCCACTGCTGTCCAAGGCGTGCGGCATGGACGCGCGCGCGTCCTGGCTGCTGGCACGCAGCTCCCTGACGGCGGCGGCGGCGCGGGGGCTGCTGCGGGAGGCGCGGCGCCCGCTGGCCACCCTCAACACCTTTGGGAGCATGCTGGTGCCGCGGCTCAAGGAGGGGGAGCCGGACAAGGACATGGCGGAGGGTATACTGATGCAGGTGGGGCGGGGCGGGGGGGTGAGTGGGCGGGGCGGGGGGTGAGTGGGCGGAGCGCTGCATGGGATGCTTGTCAGCGTGCGTGTGTTGCAGTTTGGGTGCGTAACCAAGGGCTTTTAGCTATGCGTCAGTGGTTCTGCTTACGAACCATTCCCCGCCGTGTGCTGTTCTGTGGTGTGCAGGGTAAACGGCTACAGGACCTCCTGTGGCAGCTAGAGGACGCGCTGCACGGTCCCCCGACCCACGGGTCGGCCGCCATGCCCGCCAGCATGCCACTCCCCGCGTCGGGCGCCCTGCCGGCAGCCGGTGTGCGGAGTCCGCTCCCACCCGCCCCGCCAGCCCCGCCGTTCTCCGCCCCCAGCGCCCGCCCGTGCGACCCCAGCCCCGCTGTGCAGGAGCTGCTGCAGCTGCCGCAGCCGCAGACCCCCACAGCAGCCACTGCAGCCGCGCTAGCATCCGCCTCCCCTCACGCAGAGCCCGCTGCACATCCTGACGCGGGACACACAGTGGCCACAAGCGCTACGGAAGCGGCCGACCGGGGGCCCCTGGTGATGGCGGCTGCTCCCAATGAGGACAGCGACGCAGCAGCGCAGTCGCATGGCAGCAGTGCGGTTCCGGAGCCGGTCCTACCCGGCCGCGTTACCTTTGTGGATAGGTCCTCACCTGCATCTGGGACAGATGCCTACCCTCTGCGGCAGCCGCCCGCTCAGGGCGCTAGTCAACCCGTTGTGCTCAGTCAGGGCTGTCGGCCCTACACGCCGCTCCCACCCGCCCCAGCCTCCACGACCACCATCGACGTGGAGATGGACGAGCGCGGGTCCAGCACTCGCAGTACGGCAGCCCCCGCGGCATGGGACTGGAGCTCCCCGCAGCACCAACAGCAGCAGCAGCAGCAGGCGCCTCACCACCACTACCACTACCGTCAGCAGCAGCACAGCCCTGCGGGTGCTGCCGCGGGGCCGGGCGGCCCGCTGGGCTCCGCGCTGAGCACCAACCTGGTGGCGGCGCTGCAGGGGGTGCTCACCGCCGCATGCAAGCTGGCAGCGGTCAGCGGCATCGGCTTCAGTGTGAACCCGCCACTGATGGCCATCATGCCGCGACGTAGCAGCGTCGGGAGCGCCAGCAGCAAGCAGCCGCGGCCCCAAGCAGCCACGGACGCGGGCGTAGCTACCCCTGCCCAGCTGTCCATGCAGCTGCCCGAAGACCATGCAAGCGCTGAGCATGCAGGACCGGCACCTGGTCAGGGGTTGATACCCCGGCCTGTGCGGCCGCTGCTGGTGGGGGTCCGCGGCGTGCTGCTGCAGCGGGTGGTGGGATACGTTGTGGATATAGCGCTGCAGTGCACGCCGCGGGGCGGGCAGGTGTGTGTGTCGGCGCGGCCGGAGGGTGCGGGGGTGCAGGTGCAGGTGCAGCACAGCGGGCGCATGGAGCCGCGCAGGCTGCAGGGGCGCGCGGGGCACAGGAACGGGGCGGCGGCGCCCGCAGGCGCAACGACACACGTTTCCTTGGCAGCAGCAGCAGGGACAACAACAGCAGTAGCTGGGGCGTCAGCAGCAGCAGCAGGAGGGGTTACCAAGACGCGGGATGGGTTGCTGGGGCATGGCAGCAGCAGTGTTGTAGCAGCACCGGGGGGTGGTGTGGGCAGGGTGGGCGGGCGCGGCTCGGGAGGGGGCCTGCAGGTGGGCTCCGGGGCTCTGAGTGTGGAGATGGCGCAGGAGCTGGCTCGGCAGGCGGGCGGCCGCCTCACGGTGCTGTTCCCGACCAACCTGGTGAATGCGGCGAGTGGGGGAGTGGATGTGGGAACCAGTGTGGAGATATGGCTGCCGGGGCCCAGTGCGGCATCGGGTTGAGGGGGGGGGCTCATAGCGGGCTGAGGAGAGGCGCAGCGGAGGACGCAGGCTGTGGTTTGGTTTGTGTGGTCGGAGTGGATGGAGTTTCTGTGCGTGTGCGACTGTGGGTGTGGTGGGATGGTTGATGCGGGTGTGGAGTGGCAGGGCCGTACCAATCGGTTGGGGTCAGTTGCCGTGTTGGATTGTTGTAGTGGCATCAACTACACAGGGGTGATGCCCTTGTACCGGTATGTTTGCAGCGTTGGTTGGTCGGCCAAGTTTGGTAGCCCTTGGCATCGAAGCCAGTCTTGCACCTTTGGAAGCCGCTTCAGTAGTCTTCCCGTGGAGCGTACAGCTACACTGGGAAGTGTGGAGTGTGAGTTGAGCGGAAAACAAGCGCAAGCAGTTGGGATAGGTTCGCATGTGAACCGCGAGTTACAGGCAAAACAGAGGTAACCAAACCTGAAACATAACTCAAAAACTGCTTAACTAGCTGGTGCTGGATGTAAGAAGAGTGGCGGGTTGACGACGCATGTCGGTGGGAAGTGTGGAGTGTGTGTTAATAGGACTGGGCGCGATGACCCTGCACGTACACGTACACGTTGGGAAGGGCCGTGCAAGCGTTGCCAAGCGTTGCCAGGCTAGCAGTTTGTAGGGTGTTGGTTGCGGCGTGAACTGCGCAACTCCATGAAGTTGCTTATACTGTCGGTGACATTGAAGAGGGAAAAGTGGAAAGCGTGGATAGGCCAACACGCCCACGGGCCCTTACCTCGCCAATGCACACATTCCATTATCATTTCCCTTGTGTGCGGGTATCATTTGATAGTGACTATACACTGCGGTGCTCATGTCCTCGAGCCTTTCAGCGAGGTTTGATCTTGCCCATGCTGGGCACGTGGGACGAAACCGGGGGGCATGGTGAAGACGTTACTTCTATTGTACGGTTGCTGGACATTGGGGTGAAGCCGTGGCCAGTAGCCCGGCCCCTAGCGTAGCGATGTAATGCCGGTGTGTGCGCTGGTCGGTATCCGTTGTGTGGTAGTTAATAACAAAAAAGAAATATCGGTTTGACGCGAGCGTCTTGAGAAACACTTTCATTAAGTTTATTCAAAATATGGCTAAATCGAGCTATGCCGGGTATCCTGAGCTGCCGTGCTGACACGCCGCGCGACAGCTTCCATGTGCTGCTTTTTACAGAAAGCGGCCATTCTTAAGAGATTTTGGGTTTTGAAGGTCAATTACAGCCCCAGGCTTTCTGTTGCACGCCTTAGATCTAGTACGCCCGCTCAAAGGCGAACAACATCCACCTCGCGTAGCGCAATGGAGGTGGACAAGGGTGACGCCAGGACATTGAGCCTTCTCACCTATAACATAAACGACGAAGCCACTAGTGAAAGCGCTTCTTGTGGCTGGAGTCTGCAAACCCAACATAAGCACATCCGGAACCTCATCCTCGACCACAACCCCGACTTGCTCTGCCTCCAGGAGTGTTTCTCCTTTCCAGACCGGTTAGTTTCTTCATCAAAAATTCCTATAGGTTTTGCGAAGCTGCCACGGGCAGCGTGGCCTGTACCTTCCCTCAACTTCTCACATGTCATATGGTCACGTCCAGGCTGACCAAAGAATACGAGTTCCACGGAACAGCACGTTCCCACCGCGGGACCTGCTACATTGGCACGAGGAAAGGCGGCCCCCTCAAGGTAAGCAGGACGCAAGCGGGCCTTGGAGCTCCTGTATGCTGGTCCCCTTACACCCCGCCTTGGAATCACACCTGCCAACCTTCCACACATGTACTGTCCCACCTTCAACAACCCAGCGGCTTTCCCCCCGCACTCAGCTGCCTGTCCCGCTCCAACCCTGCACCCCTCAGGTGGACGGTCCTGCGACAACCGTCGGTCCCTGTGTGCTGGTGCCCCTCCGCCTGGGCGACCGCAGCCTCCTCGCCGCCTGCGCCCACCTGGCTCCCTTTGCGGAGTTCGCACCCATGCGGGCGAGGCAGGTGGCGGACATCGCAGCCGCCGCGCCCGCCGCCGTGCCGCTGCTGCTGGCAGGCGACCTCAACATGCGCGAGAAGGAGGGCGTGGCGGTTGCGCAGCAGGGGCTGCAGGATGCATGGGTGGAGGCGGGCAGCCGACCAGAGCACCGGTGGAGCTGGAACACCAAAGTGAACCGGTACTACGTGGAGGGGCACGCGTACACGGCGCGGTACGACAGGGTGCTGTACCGCGGTGGCTTGCGGGTGGTTGACTTTGCGTTGACCGCGAATGTGCCATGCTCTGAGGAGCCGCGGCACTTCTTGAGCGATCACTTTGGTGTTGTGGCACGGCTACAGCTGGACTAGCGTGCTTACCGCACACAAAGGTTACATGCAGGTCTCTGAGGAGTTAAGGTTACATGCCCTTGCGGCAGGGCTAGGGCGGGCCTATTTTCTTAGGGCTACCGAGCCATGCTTTCAGATGGAAACGTGGTTTCTAAAGCCTTGGGCCAATGGGGTTCTGGGCCGGAACCTTCAGGTGCACGTTAACTTGTAGCACGAGTAGTCTGGGATTGGACACTAGGACCGTGGGACACAATCTGGCACACCAAGCCCCGACGGCATGCCTGTGGCACTGCTCCCGGTCTAACTAACAATTATATGCGCATGGTGTACCTACCAGAGCCCAAGAGGCATACCTAGTGCTCAAGCTGTTCAGGGAGACAAGTATTTGTTGCTTTGTTTTGCGGTTTACCTGATGTGGTGAGCTCATATTGCATGTGTCCCGCTGCATGGGCAGATTGTTGCCGGAACGCCGCCGACTGACCGACAAGCCATCCGAGATGGTGTCGGTTGGTTGTAAATGGCCTTGCCTTCACAACGTTTCTATCTGTCTGGCGGCTTACTAAGTTGCAGCACCAATACTGTGGGTTTCAGTAGTGCTAACCCGGATAGAGGCTTTCCAGCGGGCGCCAGCTCGGCGTAGCCATCCTGAAACCCCGTTAGTAAACCCTATAACCTATTCACCATGCTCTACCTTCAGCAAGTTGTACGAGCTATGCTACCACACACGGGTAAGTGCTTGTCTGACCGATTGCGAAGGGCGCTTGCCGCGTTGTGGCGGAATACGGACTCAGGACGCATCTATTGCAAGAGCGTTTCGAAAAGCCATTTTAAATATTTTACTCCTCGGTGCCTAGGTAAAGTACAGATAGCTGCCAGGGTCTCATATGTACGACACCAACTTGTACGGCGTCAAGCAGTTTATAGGTGCCGCCCTCTTGCATGACATACCAGTCGCACTTAAGTTGGAAGTTTACATTTCTGTTAGTGCCGCTTGTGCTCTTTTCATCCTAGCGTTGCCTGCTCGCCTCCTGGTCTTCACTACTTTAGGCTCGGAGGGCAGCCCCTCGTGTATGAACCCTCACTACATGGATAGGCATGCTTGATCATCGTATACCTTCCTGTCGCCTGTTCGTAAGCTGCACAGTGGCGACGGTCCAATCAAGTGACCAGCCCCCCTGGGCCCTTTTGGGCCGCAATGGGCAAAGACCAATGCCTTAAGCGTGATCGAGAAGCGTCCTATCCACACAGCCTCGATGCACTGGATAGCCTCTCTCCCGACCTTTTCAAGACACCTGTTCCTTGGAATGTGCCTGTCAAGTCAACTATTCCCTACCGTCAATTGCGAACATATGACTTCGTCGGCATTGCTTGTCCTACACCGCGGACTCCAAGGACTCGAGTGCTATGGCACTTGCTTGGGCTAGCCATCATCGCCCTCGTCGTTCTCCAGGCGCTCTCTTGTAGATTATTCTTCTGTGTAGCACTGCCAGTTGGCAGGACCTCGTATATGGACCTTCGGGAGGTCTTCACGGAGTTTCGACTATTTAACCAAGGCAACTCATGGCAAAGTGTGAAGCCAGCGGACCCTGCGCCTATGCTCATTCCAAGGTATTAGAACCAATGTTTGGGGGAATTCGGTTGTTTGGGGTTTTCGTTTGCGAGACCTGGGCTTACTGGACAAAGCCACCCTGCAAAGGACTCGGTGTTATGATAGTTGACGGCGCCATTGCGTGATCGCAGGATCATTCACCAGACGTACAGGACACGGCAAGTGCCGGCGTCCTTACTCGCCGTGATGCAGTCCTGGACACGGGTCAACGGCCAAGGCTGGCAGGCGCGTTTCTACGACGACGGGGCGTGCATTGACTTTGTTCGACGTGAATTCCCGGAGTACCTCGACGCTTACTTGTCTCTGCCGAAAGATGTGGAGCGCTCGGACTTCTTCAGGTGGGTTGACCTGGACCAAGCATACTCGTCGAACCCCATCCGCATTCATACCTCTACCATTCGTTGCCAGTGGCGCTAGCGGGACACCCTTCGCCAGTGCTCTACCTACTCCCCTTTGCACGCTCCAACTGCTCGGTTGTCCCCACGGCGCACCTCGTTGTCCCTGCTGCCACCGCAGGTACATGGTGGTGCTGCGGCTGGGCGGCGTGTACGCGGACATTGACGTGGAGCTGCGGCAGCCGCTGGACTCGGTGCTGGGGCCCACCGACACCCTGGTGGTGGGCTGGGAGGCGGAGGTGGCCACGGACGCGGAGGCCTTCAAGCGGCACTTTGTGAGGAAGAGACAGGTCCGTCTGGCGGGTGTGAGGGTTGAGGCAGCTCATGGCGGCACGAAGTGGGAAACCTAGTTGCTGAATGTCGCAGCAAACGGGAAGGCGCACTATAGAAGCGTAGGCGAGGCTCGAGCATCACGCATGCCCTCCCCGGCAGGGCGTGTGTGATGCAGTCCCATCAGTGGCCCACGCCGGCTCCCTTCAGCATGCTCCCCGTCCTGGCGTGCAGGTGTTGCAGTGGTTCTTCGCGGCCGCCCCGGGCCATCCGGTGCTCCGAGCCGCCTGCGACCACATCGCACGCTACGCGCGGCACACCTTCTCCAACAACACCAACCGCGACACGCTGGAGCGCACCGGGCCCGGCATGTGGACCGACGCGGTGCTGCGGCATGCGGCGGCGCACCCACCCACACTGGTGCGTTGAGGAGGCAGGGAGGCGGTACTGGTCAGGGTGGAATTAGGTCGGCTATGGGCACATGCACCCTGTACTTGTCCGGCATACTTCTCTCTCGGGTCTGCTGTGTGCCTTCCGTGTTCCTTTATGATATGAATGAACTTCACCCGTGTGCGTGTCCGCATGTGCAGGTGAACGACCCCTGGAAGGTGCGTATCTTGCCTCGAGTGGCGTTTGGCGTGCACCCCGCTGGCATTGACGGGCTGAGTCCGGAGGCCAAGGAGATTGTGGTGCTGCACCACTTCCTGGGCAGTTGGAAGAAGCGCGGCGGCTGGCACAAGCGCCGCACCGTGCTGCAGATTCTGGCGGGTGCGGCCACGGCGGCGCTGCGGCGACACGGCGAGGCGCCGGCGGCCGAGGAGCCCATCACGCCCTCCGTGCTGCCGCTGTTTCCCGTGTCGGCCGCCTTCTCGCCGCCCTTCACCATCATGACGCACCTGAGAGGGGAAGGCGACATGCAGGTAAGGGATGCACTAAGCGAGCTAGCCGTTATGTGGTCAATAAGGTTAGACCAATTAATGAGAAGCGTTGTCAAGAAGCAGAGCCATGTAATGCTGTCAGGTTAACTCGATGGGCACCCTTTCGTGTTTCCCTCTTTGCCTCACCCCCTCACTCTTGCCCTCCCTTCCTCCAGTCCGGCTCCGATGTGTCGGCCACGTTGACCAGCTGGGGCACCTGGCAGGCGGCTATGGCGCGACCCAGCCGCCGCCCGCTGGCGGTGGAGGCGCTGGTGGGCTCGCTGGGGCCGCCCGAGCAGGGCGCGGTGCTCGTGGACGTGTCGGCGGGGCAGGGCTTCTTCAGCCTGGCGGCCGCAGCGCGCGGCTACCGAGTGGTGGCCTTTGAGAGCAGCGCGCGCAGCCTGGAAGCCTTCAGCGCCTCCGTGGTGTATAACGGCTTCCAGGACCGCATACGCCTGTACAACGTCAGTCTGGGGGCCGCACCCGCGACGCTGTGCCTGCGCAGGCGGGTTGCTGCCGCCGATCAGGGTGCAGGCGCCGGGGATGCGAGTACGGCAGCGGCGGCAGAGGTGAACGACGCGGTTGCGGCTGCGAGGCGGCGCGGGTACGGCGACCGGGAGCTGCATGCGCTGCCGCAGTCGGAGTGCGCGTCCATGGCAGTGCGGCAGACGCTGGCGCACATGCTGATGGGAGGCGCGGAGGCGGTGCCCTCACCAACTGCTGCTGGCACCCGCACCGGCGCCAGAGCACTAGCAGCTGCGGGCGCTGCTACAGTCGAGGAGAGCAGCAACAGCAACTCCTCGACCGGGTGGAACGAGGCGTCGTTGCCATTCCGTGTGGGGGCCCTGCGGCTGTCCGCTGACGGCTGGGAGGGCTGGATTCTGGATGGAGCGGAGTCCTGGCTGGCTCGGCACCGGCCCGGGGTGGTGCTGCTGGAGTACTCCCCGGCGCTCGTGGAGCGGGCGAGCTACCCGGGGGGTGGCGTACGGCTGCTGCGGCGGCTGTACGACATGGGCTACGTGCATGTGGCGCATGCGGGCCACGTGTGCGACGAGCGCTGGATCAACATCAGCAGGGCGCTGAAGGCCGGCGGTGCGACACTGGGCGATGTGGCCGCCGCGGCACATGTGGGCAACGCTGCCGGTGCCAGCAAGTCCCCCGGGTCGCCGTGTGCCAGTGGCGCTGGGGACAGCAGTGGAAATGGCAGCAACGGCGGCGGCAGGGACGGGTGTGCCGTGTCACGTAAGGAGGCTCCTGGACACGGCATGGGGTCAGCTGCCGGCAGTGCGGCTGGGGCGGCGGCTGCGGGTGATGGTTCTCTGCCGCACCAGCCCACCTGGTGCAAGTTGAAGCCGGAGCTCTTCTCGCTGCTGACGGAGCGTGCGCGACCCGGCGTGGCGGAGAATGTGCTGGTGCGTAGCTTGCTACCTGTTGGCGTGCGGCTCTATGGCTGACGTGCATTCCTTGTTACGGTCCAACCGTAGATCGGAGTTCTACTTAGTTGTCCACTTAGATATTGATGCTTCTCTGCATGTTGGCAGAAGTCGCGTGCTCCGACAGCTTTGAAGGTTGCAGATGCGTGCAGCAGTCCCTCCAGGTTGATACCATGCACTCGATGCAGCAACCTCATGAACCCTCGTCCTGTTCCCCTGTGCAGTTCATCCACCACACTCACGCCAGTGTACGTGACGAAGCGCTGTCACCAGTGCCGGCGGATCAGTCGGGCCACCGGGATCAGCCCAGCGCGGCTGCTGCCCAGGCCACGGCCCGCGATGCCGGGGTTGCAGCATCCGCGCAGGGCCCGGGTGCTGCAGCAGTGCGTGCCGGCGCTGAGAGCGCAGCAGCGGCCGGCGAAGTCAAGGTGGCCGCAACGGGCAGCCAGGCAGCGGCGGCAGGAAGCGTGTCCGCGACCCATGTGGAGGGGATTACGGTGGCTGGGGTCGCCCTGGCAGGGGGCCAGGGTAATGGTACCAGTGGTGGTGTGCAGGACAATGTGGCTGTCCGACAGCACCGACCCCAGCGGTTAGGCAGGCGCGTTGCTGGTGCCCTGAGGGGTGAAGTGGCGGTAGCCGGGTAGTGGGGGCTACCGTGTTGATGGGGCAGGGGAGCGAGGTTGAATGGCGCCGCGGCTGGTCACATACCCGCAAGGCTAGCCAGAAGCATTAGGTGGGCTGCAGGCGGGGCGTGGGCCAGAATAATGCAGAATAATGGACGTTCGAAACGCTTAATCTTTTACCTGCTATTGTGTGGTCAGTTGGTCACTCGCAAGCCGACAAATTGTACATACGGAAAATCGTCGCTGCCCCCCTCTGCCCGCCAAGTGCGGGTTGAACGGTATACTAAGAGACGCATAGTGCAGACTTGATGGTTGGTTGAAGTGGTAAACGGTTCACATAGCCCTGCGTATATTCGGGTTGACGGGGATGCGGGTAGGAGTAAAACGTAGCGAAAGGACGCGGTCATGGTCTCTCTTTTCCTTATTCCATCTGTTGGCTTCTGGGGCAGTGAAGTATGCTTTTAAAGTGCGTCGGCTCTATATGCAATTCGGACGTTTGTTACATGTGTTTTGTGTTCGTGTGTGCTGTTGTTCAGAGTCTCTCGTGCAAAATTTTGCACTGGCACTTGAAGAGCACGACAGTTGTCATTATATCCCTCTTTACATGTCGAACGTACATGCTACCTGACGTAGCCCTCGGATATGCTGCACCTGCATAGGCCCTGCAGGGGGCCCCGTTGCCAGTGCAAGAGTTGCTTAACATTGGTCACCAAGATAGTTGCGCAGCGAGGGCCTAGAGGGGGCTCCTGTAACGATTGCTGCGATCTACTTCCCCATAGCACTGCTATTGTAAGTGCCAAGGACGTTTGCGCCAGAACCACATGCTATGCCTTGCAGCAGCAGATTAGCTTGGCAGTCCCTCCTGTTGCTCACATCGCACAACTGCAGGCGCTCTCATAAAGTACACACTGGTATGCCCCAGAAGCAGTATAACCAGGCAGGAGGAGTATAACCGTACCTCACGTAAGCACAACTGTCATGGCTGGGCCACGCAACCCAACCCAACCCAACCTGGGGCTGTAAGGTTGTTGGTGACCTTTTAGACAACCCCAAATACCAACCTTTTGCACCACCTGCTATGCGAGCCATGCCGCAGGGGGTACAATGGGATTCACCAAAACCACGCACGCCCCAAAATCACGGTAAATTCACGGATGCAACACATACATGGGTAATTTGGCTGCCAATCCGCAGCACAATGCGTGCGAAAATGCATGCGCGCTTTGAAGAATACCGGTAGAATAGGGATAGCAACTGTCCCTTAAGTCGCCGTCCCAGGACTCATCCAACGGAACAGCACGGAACCTATTCCGTACTGCAAAACAGCACTGCACGTCTTACTCAAGGCCAGCACGTAGTACGAACACAATAACCCCGTACGGCAGCTAGCCTTGGGCCCATGGTCCCGACACCGGGTAGACATGTCCTGCATGCCTACATGCCTGCATGCCTGCCAGCCGACTGCGAAATGCTATGCAACCAGATTAAGCCACACCCCCCTGCTCCCAGGGACAGACCCTGCCTCGCCAGCACTGCTTTTGCTTGCGCCCATTTCCAGGGCGCCACAGCCGCGTCACTGCGGCACCCCTGCATGCATGTGTACGAGCCATGCAGCTACACAACATATCACTTGGTCTATGCTACACTATCCTATTATACTTAAGTCCAGGCGGCCCCCTGTCGCACAGCTAGCTTTCCTAGGATACACCCCTGCGTGAAGGCCTAGCAGGAACCGAGCTGCAGTGCTGACCCCCCACGGGTGCGGCACCCGTCGTACGGTACTCCCACGCGTTCACATGAACAGAAAATAACTTAACTTGGAATTACTTTATCAGATAACCCTGCGGTGTTAAGCCGCTTGCAACCCGATCGAGCCCGCCACCCTACCCGCCTGCAGCCTCGCCTCTACCCACCCACGCCTCCCTCCCTACTTCCTGCACGGCAGCACCACCAAGGGGCGGCCGCTGCAGAAGGCCTGAGCGACCCTGCCGGCGGCCTGCTGCACCGCGCCGCTGTCCCAGGCGTTCTGGCACACCACCCCCGTCGCGAACGCCAGGCCCAGCCGCAGCAGCGCCGGGACTCGCCGCCGGCGCTCCGCCTGCACGTGAGGCGGGAGTGGAGGGGGAGCGGCAGGGGCGGAAGGAGTGGAGAAAGGGGTTCGTGCGAGGGGAGTTTGTGATGACGTGGCGCGTACTGGCATCTGGGTTAGGAAAGCGGGGGAAGGGACGCCACACATGTTGCATGCAATCGCATATATCGGTACACTGCGCCCACTGAAACCAAGCCCAGTCGCCCCACGCCCTGCCAGGCCCCGGTTCCCCCAACTCGCTCGCGTCCCTCAGCGCCCCTCCGCAGCTCACCAGTTGCCCGCACAGCACCTGCACGCAGCTCTCACGCTCCCGCAGCGCAGCCCGCAGCGCCGCCACCTCCCCCTCCAGCGCCGCCACTTGCCCCCGCAGCCGCCCCCGGTCCGCTCCCAGCCTGCCCGCCTCCGCCAGCAGCGACCCCACCGCCCCCGCCAGCTTCCTGCGGCCCCGCTGCACCGCATGCAGCCGCACAACCAGCAGCAACACCGCCAGTCGGGCCCGGAACACGGCAACCTGGGGCCGCAAGCCGGTGGACTCAGCGGGCGCTGGGGTGTTCACCTCAGGGCCGGCCTCGGGGTCAGCGGGCGCTGGGGTGTTCACCTCAGGGCCGGCCTCGGGGTCAGCGGGCGCTGGGGTGTTCACCTCAGGGCCGGCCTCGGGGTCAGCGGGCGCTGGGGTGTTCACCTCAGGGCCGGCCTCGGGGTCAGCGGGCGCTGGGGTGTTCACCTCAGGGCCGGCCTCGGGGTCAGCGGGCGCTGGGGTGTTCACCTCAGGGCCGGCCTCGGGGTCAGCGGGCGCTGGGGTGTTCACCTCAGGGCCGGCCTCGGGGTCAGCGGGCGCTGGGGTGCTCGCCTCAGGGCCGGCCTCGGGGTCAGCGGGCGCTGGGGTGCTCGCCTCAGGGCCGGCCTCGGGGTCAGCGGGCGCTGGGGTGCTCGCCTCAGGGCCGGCCTCGGGGTCAGCGGGCGCTGGGGCTTCCGCCTCCTCAGATGGGGCCCTGGTCGGGGTATCTGGCTGCGGCTGAGGCCGTGGCTGGCTTGGTTTGGCTGGGGTCTGGGGCTGCGGCGGCAGCAGCGGCTCTGGCTGTTTGTCATGTACTCCCTCCTGACCCGTAGCGGGGTCGGCTGCAGGCTGCTGCGCCTGGGTCGGTCGCGTCGCCCTGGTGCCTCCCTCGGGAACAGTCACCCGGGCTGTGGCGTCAACAACGGTGGGCGCCGCTACGGTGGCGGTGGCGATGCCGGTGGCAGCTTTGTAAAGGCCAGTGCGGGCCTGGGCGACACTCGCAACTGCCAGTTCTACCTCCTCTGCCATGAGAATAAGGCAGTGGCCGGCGGCCTCGAGCTGCTGCTTGTAGTCCTGGGCGCGGGCCTCAGCCTCCGCCGCCTTGGCCTCCGCAGCAGCTACCTTGGCTTCAGCTGCCGTGGCGCGTGCATCAGCAGCGGCTGCTGCAGACTCGGTAGCTGTCTCCCTGCCGGCGTCTACCGCTGACTGAGCTTGTGCAGCAGCTACCTTGGCTTCTGCAGCGGCGGCCCGAGCCTCAGCAGCGGCCGCTTTTGACTGAGCAGCTGTTGCGGTGGCTTCAGCAGCATTTGTCTTGGCCACAGCAGCTTCTACTGCTGCTTCTGCGCCCGCTATGCGGGCCTCAGCTCTGGCCAGTTTGGCCTCCGCAGCGGTTGCCCTGTCCTCCGCAGCGGTTGCCTTGGCTTCAGCGGCCACTGCTCGGGCCTCAGCTGCTGCGGCCCTTGCCTCCGCGGCCGAGGCTTTAGAGTCTGCAGCTGCGATCTTAGCCTCTAATGCAGCTTCTAGTTGCCGGCGGGATTCGGCTGCTTCAGTCACCGTGGTATTGAGCCTATCGACGGCCTGTATAACCTGACGGTTGGCTTCCTCGCAGCGCCTTGTGAGCAGGGCATTTTCCTCTTTGTATATCTTTGCTAACGTTGATGGTCCAAAGACTGCAAAGCACATCTTAGCGCCGGCTTTTTCCAGCTCAATGTTTTGGTGTTCTACTTCATGTAACTCTTCCACCGTCGCAGCAATCAGGTGGCGCCGTCCTTTCCCTATGGAAGGTAGCCCCAATACTACGTTATGGTAATTGTCGGGTTGCCAGCACGAGGTACAGCCTACACACAGCAGGCCGTTCGACTCCTAAGCGAACGGGCAGCAAGTACGAAACGGGCAGAAGGGCAAGCATTTGTCGAAAGCTGGCATTGAGAAGGCTTCAAATTGGCCTTCAAGTCATTGCTGCGGCGAGGAACTTCAGCGTCGCCATGGCAACCATTAAAGGGCCGAAGGTCCACCAACGATCGACATCTGCAGCAACATGTGTGTAGAACCCTGAATCCAACGCCTGTCATGACGCATGGAACTCCCATCCACAGCATATTCGGTTTGACAAAGTGGATGTGAACAGATAACATGCCAAAGCAGGACCATATGGGCTACCTAGCAAGGCTGCGAGCACCATGTTGCTGCAGTTGTCTACAACAACGTCTGTTGTAAACGTGGAACGCCTGCTAAGGTGGCCAGGGCTTACTTTCCCCGCATGTGCATGGATAGGATAGGCGGTCGGAAGCCTATCGGCTGGACAGGAGCAGATGTGGGAGTCGCGATTACATGCATACACGCATTAATTCCGTTTGGTGTCGCCGGGCATTTTGCTTAGAAGCCAGCAAGCAACGCCTCACCTATCTATGGGTTCGGAATAGGTGCAACACCCTGTTTTTTTTCCCTGTGACAGCCGGCTTCAAGCACGGGTACTCTCTTCCCTTGGAAAAACTGAAAAATCAAGCACCAAGGGCCGTATTAATGAGGTCTGCGGATCTAGCTTATCACCTGCAGCTGCCAACCAACCGACACGACGATTGCAGCAGGTTCATTGATTAGTCCTCAAACGTTAACACATTCCTAAGCATGTACGACAAACGCACGCAGTCATCACCATCACTCGTCGCATCTGCGTTACTGAAGTCTTGCGGTCAACCTTGACGAACGTCAACCTTTAAAGCCCACACTTCTAAGCGCCTTGGACCCGACAGCAAAGCAGCAGTATGGCTGAAGGCAGCGACAACACCCAGGAGGATCAGGACTGGGAGTGGATCATCGCTCGACACCTGCTGGCGAGTTCCCAACTGCCCCCACCTCTTCCACTTGCCCGCAACGCATGTGCCGCTTCCCCTTGCCAAGTACAGCACAGCCCTGAAGTCTATAAGCTCTAGCACATGCGAACCACACTGGCCTTCAGAGCTAAGACCCTGAACACCTTGACTCGCACTCCCCATCTCCCCTCCCATCCACTTCCCGCACGCACTCCCAACTCCGCTCATTCATCCCTGCCCGCCCCCCCACCCCACCCCAGGACCTCCCCCCCGAGGTCCTGGGCCCCCCCGACCTGCTGCGGCTGCGCCTCGTCAACCGCACCCTGAGAGACGCCTTCAGGGCCGCCGTACAAACCCTCCACGTGCGCTACCCGCCTGCGCTGCCCAACCGCCACAACTGCAACCACCACAACCGCAGCGCCCCTAGAGAAGATCAGCAGCTGCCGGCGGCTACAGCGCCAGCGCCAGCGGGGGCAGGGGCTGCTGCTGATGGTGGTGGTGCCCGGTGCGATGCGGACCCGCTGCTGTCCGCCCGGCTCGCCTTCCCCGCCGCC